GGTTAGGGACTGTTCCCCTCGAAATCCACGTGCTAGATTACCTCCGCCGCGATGGCTTCAAACACCCCAATATTGTCGAAATGGCCGATTTTTTCGAGGACGATATCAACTACTACATTGAAATGATACCACACGGCCTGCCAGGCATGGATTTATTTGACTACATTGAGCTACGGGTTAACATGGAAGAGAAGGAGTGCCGCAAGATTTTTGTTCAAGTTGCCGAAGCGATACACCACCTGCACACAAAGGCCAAGGTTGTACATCGCGACATCAAGGACGAGAATGTGGTACTGGATGGCGAAGGCAACATTAAGCTCATTGATTTTGGCAGCGCGGCATATATTAAGAGCGGGCCTTTTGACGTTTTTGTTGGCACCATTGGTACGTCTTTTTGCTTTTTAACCCCTGAGATTTACGCCCACGTACTAATGATGCCCCAAACAGACTACGCTGCCCCCGAGGTTCTAGCCGGCAAAGCCTACCGCGGCAAAGAACAAGACGTCTGGGCCCTAGGCATCCTCCTCTACACCATCATCTACAAGGAGAACCCATTCTACTCGATTGACGAAATCATGGACCACGACCTCCGTGTCCCCTGGGTCATGTCGGAAGAAAGTATCGATTTGGTCCGCTTGATGCTGGACCGCGATGTTGAAAAGAGGATCACGATCAGTATGGTGCTTGAGCATCCGTGGTGTAAGGGTGTGAGTGGTGGCGAGGTTACGCCAACTGCTGCTACGGCGCCGGCTGCTGCGCTACCGGCGCCTGCTTCAGGTGTTCCGGGTGAGGTAGACGGATAGATGGCATGAAGAGAAAAGACTAAAACGTTCCCTCCTGTTTTAGAGAGAGAGAGACACGGTGTTCTGAGAGCGGGGATGTGCAATATAGAAAATGACTTCTTTTTTTATCTTTCTTTCTTCTCTTCCTTTCCCTCCCCCCTTCTCTTTCGACTTTATCTTTTCATTTTTTTTTTCATTCTTCTCTCTTCAACGATAACGTATACTTTGGATACCTTCATTACTTTCGTTTTTTTCTTTCAGAACTGGCTGGATCCTTGGTATCCAAGAAAATTTGGGATATTAGGGTAGTAGTTTCTAGGGACAAAACGCATGGCAGAAAAGTTTCAGCAAGCTGTCCCACTTCATGATCCTGTTCTCTTTTTTTGTCTTGTTTGATAGATGTATGGAGGATTGGATATGTAGTAGAGAGAGGATTGATTCGGGACATTCGCTTTTTTGATGACTGTTTTCTTTTTCTCTCGTTATCTTTACGATCACTTTGGTACCATCAACTACACTTTTTTTGAAATGTTGTCGTACAAGATTAACAGTTCATAAATATTTGATTGGTGATTTCTCTCTTCTTCTACTTCTTCGATCTCTCATCCTCATCATATCGACCCTAGAATCCAAGAGAAGTTTTTCTACTAATCGTACAGTGAATGCGTTTCTTACAATGCAAAAAGTGATGGAAGCCAAGGTAGCACAGCCCTGGGCATGTGGAACTCGTTCAAGAGTGGAATGGAATACCCCGCCGTAATAAAAACGCCCTAGCTCGCCCATGCCAATGGAAAACACGCCTTCATATCACAGTGGAAGGAAAAATCAAGAAATGGACTACATTTTCATCACCTACTGCTGTCCAGGTCCTTGAATGTGGCTGGGCTGGGTGGTACAAGAGGGCCCTTGACGCCGTCGTCACCCTTTGGTTCTACGTATCCGGGCGCCTTGCCGTACTCGCCCGAGAAGTACTTGTGGAAGTCTTGGTTGTCTTCAAAGGGCCTGGGACCGAGCAGCCTGATCATATCTTCGCGGCCGAGCATTTCCTTCCTGAGCAGCTCTTCAGCCACCAAGCCTACTTCATGCTTCTTCTCGGTAAGCAAGTCTTTGCATTGCTTGTAGGCTTCATCTACGATGCGCTTGACTTCCATGTCGATGTTCTTGGCCGTGTCTTCCGAGAAGGGCTTGGTGAGTTGCTGGCCCTCGCCGTCCTCAAAGTAGATGTAGCCGATCTTTTTGCTCATGCCCCATTTGCTGACCATTGCAGTGGCCATCTGGGTAACCTTGCGGAAATCGTCAGACGCACCAGATGTGACGGTATCAAAATGCAGTTCTTCAGAAACACGTCCGCCGAGTGTCATCGCCATACGGTCCATGAGCTGATTGACGTTCATAAGGTAAGTGTCACCATTAGGAAGATATTGGGCATAGCCTAGTGCACCTTGGCCACGGGGAATAATGGAGACCTTGAGAAGAGGGTCCGCCCACTTGAAGTACCAACCACAGATAGCGTGGCCAGCTTCGTGATAAGCGACAGTCTTCTTCTCTTCGGGCTTGAGGACAAGAGACTTCTTCTCAAGACCACCAATGACTCGCTCAATGGCCTGTTCGAAGTGTACCATGGCGACAGTATCCGCGTTCGCACGGGCGGCTGACGAGTATTAGCAATAGAATGTGTAATCAGGATGTAAAATTCTTACCAATCAAAGCAGCTTCGTTGACGCAGTTGGCAATGTCAGCGCCAGAAAAGCCTGGTGTCAAAGCTGCTAGCCTGCCCTTCAAGAACTCCATGTCTTCCTTGGTGACAATCTTCTTTAGATGGACACCGAAGATCTGGCCACGGCCATCCATAGTGGGTTTGTCAATGTTAATATGCCTATCGAAACGACCCGGTCGCATAAGAGCCTTATCTAGAACGTCCGGTCGATTGGTACCTGCAAGGACAACTACTTGCTCAGTGGTATTGAAACCATCCATCTCAGTCAGGATCTGATTGAGGGTAGCTTCACGCTCGTCGTTACCACCACCAAAGTTTTGTTTCGAACGAGCACGACCAATGGCATCAATTTCATCAATGAAAATGATGCATGGTGTACTCTTACGCGCATTGGCGAACAGGTCTCTGACTCGCGAAGCACCAACACCTACGAACATCTCGACGAACTCTGATCCACTGACACTGAAGAAGGGTACACCCGACTCTCCAGCAGTAGCCTTGGCAAGGAGTGTCTTACCAGTACCCGGGGATCCAGAGAGAATGGCACCACGAGGGATCTTTGCGCCGAGCTTCTGGAATCGGCCAGGATCCTTGAGAAAGGAGACAAACTCCATAATCTCCTGCTTGGCCTCATCCATACCGGCAACGTCACTAAACTTCACCTTGACATCTGTCTCATGGTTGAACTTCTTAGCACGGCTCTTGCCCATACCAAAGACACCACCGCCTCCTCCTGCGCCTCCTCCTGCACGCCTTGTAAAGTAGAAGAGTGCTCCAAGAAGGAGAATGGTAGGGCCGAATGACAGGAAAGTGCCAAACCAGGAGATTTCGTTCGAGTAAGCGACAGGGATGCGCTCAGAGCTGGGGATGCCAAGTTCATATTGAGCGTCGTCCATTTTGCGTTCAAAAGCCTCAACTGAGCCAATGGTGAAGTAGTAGTAGAAGTTCTGGTTAACAGAGGGAGAGTCGGGGTACATGGAAGCAACAGCCTCGCGATGTAGGTGCACCTTTGCCTTGTTGCCGTTGAGGATGACAATCTTCTCGACCAGGCCCTTGTCTAAGAAAGTAGTCCGGAACTCCTGCCATGTAATCTCCTTGGTGTTCTCGCCTGGGAAAACCATCTTGTAGGTAAGGTATGCGAGGAAAGCACTGATAAGTAGGGTGTTTGTGTCCATACCGCCGCCAAATTGGGGTCCGGGTGGTCCACCAGCACCACCCTTGGAGCCCTTGCCTGGGCCTGGGTCGTGTGCACCCGACTTTTGCTGTGGCTCTTGTGGGTTGTCGTTGTTGAACTTTTGCTGCTCGGCGGCCTTGCGGGCCATGTTGGTGGTTAAGCGCGAGATCTTCGCCGCCGTGGCCAGATCCAGCTTCTCGCCTCTCTCTAGCTTGTCCATCTCTAGGCGGAGCTCGGGTGGTATGCCATTTCGCTTGATTTCCTCCATTGCATCCTTGATGTTCTGCTTCTGAGCCTTCGGAACGCCCATGGACACAAACGACACCAGCTGATCCAGCATCTTTTCCTCCTCTGGGGTCAGTTTAGCCATCTGAGGCTGACCTTGGCTGTCCTTGTCTGTTCTCGAGGATTCATTAGAACCAGGTCTCTCAGAATGACCATCCTTCTGTGCCGAGTCATCGTCCTTCTTGTTCTTTGGCTCTTCTGGTGGTCCTGTCGCAAATCTCCGAGCGCGTTGCTGAGTGTATATACATTGTGGCAGTGGTGCGCGTATCCGTAATGTGCGTGGTGCTCTTGTGACGGCAGCGTTGAAGTAGGGTCGGGAAAGGCGGGCAAGGTTGCCTGATTGTCGGAGGAGGGTTGACATGGCAGCGGTGGCCTAAGCTAAATGATGGATGGGGGAGGGGCTACAATAAGTGACTCGGGATTGGGGTATAATACAGTGAAGGCGGGGAAAGAAAGGGAATTAAAACGGCGAGTGACCGGGAAATCCGCGCCTGAATGGATTGGACGGTACTGCCGCGCGCTGGCAGGAGGAGAGTCTTTGTGGCGGGTGCGCCCTTGATGGCAAAAGCTAAGATATGACAGAATCATCGAAGTTCCTCGCATCGCCGACACGCCGACTGACTAAGCGGGGTCCGGCCAGCCTGCACGCGTTTCCTCATGGATTCGACCTATCAGGCTAGCGTAGACGCTAAATATCCTGCTTTATTTCAACTTTACACGAATCAGAGATTACTTACAGAAGTCATGCATGGCTAAAGATAAAATATGATTACATTAATTCCACAATGTAGAATTCACTCTGTAATATTTTCCTGTCATTGGCACTGGAAACAGCATTGAATGCATAGGTGAGTTGGCTGATGCAACACGCCTGCCCCACCTAAGTTCGACCACGGTAGCCAGGACTAACCCTTACCAAATTCCTATGTACATGCATACTGCTATGCCTGCCTAGGGTCCACGATACCGCTGCCTAACAGTGCATCCTTCGCTCTCTCACCAACCGGTCTGAGCTCGCTGAGACAACATAAGAGTGTTGTTTCACTTTCACTCCGCACAACCATCTTGCCCTAGGCTATACGCCACGCATACCATACCTGTATTACCCCACTACTACAACACAACCCTAAGAATCTGCGCAGACATGACCTCATGTCCACAAATCTCCCTTGCGGACCTTCCAGATGGCTCCCAGCTGGAAAAGAACTTTCTCGATACAACGTGGTTCAAGACTCATGGCCGAATACGACGCTTCCCGCCACCTGAACACTTACTTTCCCTCTGTCCAAAGGATAACCATGCCAACATAATGAAGTTTGAAGAAATCGGTCTTGTTGTCAAATTCGGGCGACGTGTTACTACAACAGAAGCCATCAATCTTTGGACTGTTCGCAGAATCTTCCAGGAAGCTGTTCCAGTACCGGAACTTTATGGATGGAGAGTTCTTGAACAGGAAGGAAACGGTCGCTACGTTTTCATCTACATGCAACTCATCCAGGGCCCCACGCTTCTAGAACGATGGCCTGAGCTGTCTTGCGCTGACAAGCAAGCAATCTGTACTGATCTACGTGCCATGGTATCTTCTCTTCGGAGCCTCCGGGACGGTGAATCACAGCAAATCATTGGTAAGTGTTTCGATTAGTTCGATGTGACTCCGCTAAATGCTTACAGGAAATATATGTCGTGGTCCTGTGGAAGATGTCTGCTTGAAAGAAATACCTTTGTTGAGGCCGTTTCCCTCTCGGGCTGAGTTCCACGATTGGCTTTCCTGGTCGTGGCGCCGGCGTGTTCCAGATCCACAAAGCATCCCAGACCCCTGGAGAGACCTACTTTCAGACAATGGGTCTATTGTCTTTACGCATGGTGATCTACATCGAGGTAACATCATTGTCAGCGCCACGAGTCCTACTAAGATTGTCGCAATCATTGATTGGCAATTATCAGGTTGGTATCCAGACTACTGGGAATACTGTAAAGCCTTGTTCACGGCAGAATGGGGCAAAGGGTGGTGGGATTATGTTCATCAGTTCTTGGATCCTTATCCACCAGAGTTCGAGATATTTGATTTCTACATGCGGACCAATGGCATATTTTGACCTTTAACACTTCTAGCGGGGGTTTGATTTTCAGAATACATCAATGGACCTAGTAGTAAAAGCCGAATGAATTGAAAATAATCATAATTCTAGTAGCAAACCAAATCCAACCACCAAACAACCTAACCCTGCCCACTCCTGCCCGACCTATTTTGTACCGTCCAAGTGTCTGTGTCGGTTGTGCTGACTATCCCATGACCAAACAGTCATAGTTAACACAGATTACTGTTGACTTTGCTGCGCATCAGCAATGGATCGTAGTCCAACGCCAACTTGTGGCGGGTCTTGTTTTGACTGAACTATGTTTATGGCCGCTTCATCAAGGTACCCGATGGCAACAAGATGACGAACATACTCCAGCATCCATGTCTGGCAGTCAGAACTCGTTGTCTGTATCTGTTAGTAGACGCACATTTCTTCCAGAGTCTTACTCTACACATACCGTCAGGAAATTTGGGTTGGCTCTGGGCGGCTGGACTTGTGTTGCTGCTCTCTCAATGTCATTGCATGGCATGTCCGAAGCTTCAGAATTGCTTTCCGAAAGATGCAAATGCTGATCCATGACGTTCCCGATTGGAATCATCTCTATCGTACGCCAAGTAGTGTCTGGCTTGTAGTCGCGTTTGAATTCCAGTGAGAATCCTAACATGGGAGCACCAACCACATGAATGATGGTTCCACCTCGCGCATTCTCTGTTGTGGGGACCCATATACTGAAGTGAGAACGTCGACCAGGCGGGGCTGCATAGATAATGAGGAATATGGGGCGAGAAGGCATGTTCGATTGTAGTGGTAACGAGTTTGATGTGAGAAAGACAAGATATCTGAATGAAGATCTAATAAGGTAGTGCCTGTTTGATAAAGTTGAGATCATGGAGGCTCCCTCTATATATTGGAGAGGGCAGCTTTCACTCGGACGTCACTGCTCAGGCAGCAGCAATTACTTCCTTTACCTTTACCATAGCCAAAATCTCTAGTAAAGGCAAACAAGAATCTTAAGAAATATATGAGAGGGTTCATGTCCCATGCGAATAAACTAGAGCGCCAGCAGTTCTTATAATATCGAAAAAAAATCTCAATTTCTCGGTGTGCCACAGCATTTGACTATGCAGTCCTTGTGCAATTGAAACTGGATACACTTGGAGTACTGCTGCGCCTCTCGTAACCGCAGTTCGCTATTCTGCTCCCACCTTCAATATGCTATGCGAGCCCCATCATCTCACCTTTACTAGAGATTCCATCTATATAGTACATAAAGGGGAGTGAATTGGCTGCTACTTCCTGGGAGGTGACTTTCAAGGGAGAGCTTCCTTCCTCGCAATCACAATTGATTTAGCTATTGTGTCCAATAAGAGTGTGCCTCGTTCACCGATGTGCTATGCTACAATGAGAATTTTAACCACAATTGGTTCGTAGGCGCGCGAACAGACCTAAGACGGAATCATATTGTATGTTTGTGGTATTTTAAACTCAATTAGTAAACTCTTAGTGAATATAATCGGCTTGCTATCAAGGTACGGCTCGGTCATCGCGTACGTGTGATGCAAGTTTGGGTAATACCGAGCCCAATCACATACGCGCCCACAAATCGTGCCGCATAACTTTCAAAAATAGTGCACAACCATGGTACACAAGTTTCATTAGGAATCTCTTGAGAGGACCCATTTCCCGCGCGAATAAATCAAAGTGCGAATCGTTCTTATGATGTTGAAACGGGTCGTGATACTAAATAGAACGAATTTCACATCGAACCATAACAATCTTTGCACCATTACTGTGCTAAGGAAGTCGGAATTCCATTAGTAAGTGGTCATAGCTATTCTGGAAAGCTTTGTGTGGCTATTTGAGTGATACTGTAGTTATTGAGGTTGCTTCCTAGAGAAATTGAAGATGCCTCCACAACGAAAGTTGGTCCCGTTTCCCTGGCTCATTCCCTTGCTTAAGCCCTCAATACAGACGATGAGCATTGCGGCGACTTTAATAGCGACTTTCCTCGCGTTTGCCTTACATCAAACTCTAATATCTTTCTCACTTCTCTACCAATGATTAACCAAGCACCACTGGCCTGTTTATGGTTTAAAATTGTGTGATATCTATATCCAAAACACTGCAATGTCGACCTACAGCTGGGCAACATACAAAATCGACTTTGAAGGACATGGAATACACCTCGCAAAGCAAAAAAGCAAACCAAGGCTAACCGCAATTCTCTCTTTGGTGGAAAAAAGCTAGAGTCCTTTGCCTACCGCTTTTTGTTTATAGGGTAAGAGAGATTGGATCTCGACTATTGAAATTTCTTGGTATACCACAACGTTTAATTCTGCAACCTTTGTGCCATTAAGGCTGTACATACTTTTAAGAATATGTTGCTACCTATTGAACTAGGCTTGCTGTATCTAATAGCCAGTCACTGTCAGAAGAATACTATTTAACATAATTCGAAAACGCATGCAGGCAGCCCGAAGGAGCCGACAGGGCACCTACAAAGTCAAACAAACAGAAAGTTATAGATTCAAGTCGTGGTTGTACAGTCTATTTGTCGTCTTGCTATAATGACTAGCATGTTGCGTGTATCCTTCACTTGAGTCTTTCAACGACATGCACTACCCTCCATCAAGCCAGCCTATCGTCACTTCTGCTCCCCGCATTTACTCCTCATCGCCGTACAGAGCACGACCAGGCTTCGAGTTGAGGAATTCGTTCCTAGTCACATCGTTAGCCTTCCAGACCACCTTCGGTTTCGTCCTACCCGTTGCCTTTCCATTTCACATCTCAATCCAGCATCATAAACTCACCTCTCGATTGCCCACTGCATGGCTCCGTATCCGAGAACTAGCGGGGGAACGATGTAGAGAACCTGGTTCTTGGATCGGCGCACAACGTTCCAGAAGCCCTTGCTGAGGAAATGGGCCATGGGGCGCTGTCGGTTAGGGCTCAGCTGGTAGGTGACAATGCCCTTGCCGGGTCGGCCACCGCCCTCATAGGGGTTACCCCATGCGCCAATGTGCCATCTATGCTATCGTCAGCATGCGCTTCACTCTAGTCGGCCATGCACACGTGTGCCGTCTATGGAATGCGGGTTGGGGGCGCGGAATCTTTCGAGGCGGGTGCGGGTGCCGTGGCGTGCGGGGAGGGTCAAGACATACGTGGTCTTGGTCTTTGCCTGGGATTCGGGTCCGAGAGCCATTGTGAAGATGTCAGGTGCGGGTGTGGACGTGCAATGGGATGGGCGGTCGGTCGTGACGATGTTGCTAGAAAGATGCAATCCGAGCTGCGATGCCAAGCCTTTTCGTGTGCTAGTCTATATCAGGAAAGGGTTGGGACAGACGAATCAGCTGAATGCTATTGGTCAACCCGTTAGTGAATGAATAACCTGCGCTTGGAAAGTAATATACCACTTACTTGAGCTATCCTAAATCTCACTCAAAAAGCCTCCAAGCAGCAGGAAGAGAAATAAACCACTGCTACTTGCCACATCCTGTCCACCTTGACTAGCAATTGCGCCGCGACGCCTACCATACTGCTTGTATTCTCCATACGTCTAGCATTTTGTAATTTGTTGATATAGCGTAGACCCTTTTTGTGGGTTATCCCCTTTTATTGTTAAGTAGTGGCTGTTGTCTCGTAAGGGTGTTGCGTCAGCCCAGAAACACCTAACACGTAATGGAAGAACGAAATTTGAGTAAAGGGTGACTTGAATTTCCGTGATGCTGAAACCTGGTCTAGTAGTCTCATGTGAAATACATCATCAGACAAACATTTACGATTTCCAAAGTCCTTCATCACTGTATCACATAAAAACTGCAACGCACGGGATTTCATTTCACACTAACTCCTAAACCCCAAAAGTCCTCGCATCATCCAACTTTCTACTCGGTTATCTCAACGCCCTCATTCGCGATAATACCATAAGTAACAGCCGTGCTCAGTTTCTGTGGGCAGCCCTCATAGCTTTTGTAAACTGTGGCATTGAAAAAATTACACATATCACTGACAACGGGACGAGCGTTGTAAAGATCGTTCACGGTACAGTGACCCCTGCCGCCTAATCCGGGAGGGATAGCACAGGGCTCGATCAACTTTACGTTGTTAGATCAAATACTGGCAGAAGGTGCAGAGAGGAAAGTGTGGTAGGAACATACTTGAGAGTATTTATAGTGATTAACGCAGTGACAGGCGAAGTCCTCCGCTGCGCAGCCATCGAGCATGCTGGCTTGGACTTGGCAATCGTAGATGCAACCGGGAAGCCAGCCTTTGAGCTTACTGTTGTTCCTGGTTCTTTATGTTAGCCCAAGATATGATGCAAGTTTCATATTACGAGATACGTACAAACAACGATATTTCGCCATATTTCCGGGAGCGGAAGCTTGCGTAATGTTGTATGTGAGTTGAGCGTTTGCAACAGCCAAGACCGAGAAAAGCGTAGCAATGGAAGTGAAATGCATTTTTAGAGCTGATTTGCAGATAAAGAACGTAGAAATTGCGGTATGACAAGTGCTGATGAGTGAGTCGTTGGTACTGTATTTGAGCTCAGGAACCACCAGTTCATATATCACGCACGACTTTATTTTCTCCATAAAGCTGGCCCGTGGTTAAATGATCCGCAAGACATGAGTGTGTATCTATGCGATTCTGAAGTTGCAAATAGAATATCCATGTTTGCAAACATCACTTTTTGCCGTAGATTCAAGCAAAAAGCATTTGCAAATTGCACTCCTAAGAATAACTTAAATTGGAGTGTCTGTTTGGCATAGAGCTTACCAGATTATTTTTCTTAAAAAGAATAGCACACCACACCCTAACTTGCCAGAACTCGCTAACAGAAAATGGACTTAGCAGTTAGGGTAATAATTTAAATAAAAAGCCTATATTACGAAAACCTGAAACCTAAAGCTCCAAAGTCTGTATAAGCGAAACCCTACTTTCGAAATAAAGAAGAGTTATCTAGTAGTAATACTAGTAATATACTTCTCTATAGGCGTATATCTATAGGCGCGTTAACTTTCTTAACAATAGTTATAACGAAGGAAACAGAACAGCGAATTACGGCTGCGGAAAGGTAGCAGCACAACGAACTATAGTTGCAACAACGACATGCAGTGCGACAAAGCACCACTCAGAATAGTTTTTCGATCTAAAATCATCTAGTCTTTTTCGGGCCATGCCTGTTTGTCATGGAGCTATTTTGTTGCACGCTGAGACGATAATGCACTCATGCCTAGCGGTCTTGTGTGACAGGTTGAACTCTCTACGTTCATCGTCTCCAGTGGCAAGAAAAGCAATTCGACCAAATGAGCTAGTGGAGATCATCATGTAACTCAACTACGTCAGCTGTTGCACCGCAATCAATCAAATCTGATTGGCTGTAGAATAGGAGACCTAAAACAACTTTCACTCAACATAATTTCTTGTTCCTTGATAAAACCTATACCCACTAAGGCACAGGGCAAAAGGGAATGTGAGAGCTCAAGTTGCGGCTACAAAACAATATGACTGACACATCAAACGAGATGACTGAGGAATGGCGATATGCAAGTATACTAAATGACGAAATAAGCAGATTGCCGATGGATCCATTAAAAGAAATCCGAATGAGAAGCTCGAAGCAAAGAAAATACATCTCGCGGAACTTGACGATGGCAGGGCATGATGCTGTGCGAATCACCCTAGCATTCCTCGCAAACCTAAGACATCCTTCCTAACCCTTGTGAAATAAGGTGGCTTTTTTACCCATGCGACTCAAACTGTTGCGTGCAAAACTCAAATGCACAAACATTTTGAGATTTGAGCCTAAGCATCAACTCGTCCCCTTTTCTTTTTCCATGTCATGTTTGAAACAGCACTTGCTTGTTGCGTCAAAACTTACCCATTTCTATCTTGCATCATCGAATAGACAAAGATCAACCCTGCAAATTTAGGCAAAGTCCAAACAAACCAATGAATAAACAGCTCCTATCCTGACATTTTGATGTTTATGCTCGCGAAACCCCAATGCTCCACACTAATACCTTCACATTTCTCTGCTGAATACTCTCATGCTTTTTCCGCTGCTAAATTTGTTCTTCTTGTACACAAACACAGGGGAAACATATCTTAGAACGCTAAGTCTCATGTAAGGCTTCCATGCTTTATGAGACCGTTCACATTTAGATATAACTTTACGATAATGAATAAAAGCCACCAAAGACATCGGCTTCTAGAATATTCGCTACTTTACAATAGCACCTCAGGAACTACACGGCCCTACCCGTGGCAGTAAACACACGCGCACGTGTCACTTTAGTGATGCTAAAACTGAGCAAACTAGATGAACAGGGTAAACACGCCTTGATTTCCGTATAGAAAGAGACGCTAGACTCTAAGAGCACATGAATTATGGCTTTGGATTTCTCATTATGTTGGCTAGCTCATTGAAACCTTTTCAGGAATTCTGCTATCAAGCGCGTTTGCAAATCCAGCTGGTTTATTGTAAAGCGATTTCTGCATTGGAAGGCTCTTATCTTGCTCAGTAGCAACCTGTTTGTAGTGTTTGTAGTGAATGCAAAAGACAGTGACCGTGAAATTTAGTGCTTCACACGCGAGAGCCTGTCTCACACAACATGCCTGGCCCAACTATCCCCATTACCCACTTCATCACTTCTGGGCATCATTCTACTATCAATTTCCCTCTAAGAAAATGGGTCAATCACACCCCCGTTGTAGCTCATGTATGCCGCACTCGACACTTCCTGTGGGATCCAGTTCCCTTGCCAAACCAGAGTCACGACTACAGTCTTTTATCAACGAAATTAGGGGAATCAATGACTTACAGAAACAACATACGAGACGTTCAAGGCGTTGAATAACTTTGCAAAAACACTGCAGCCTAATTCAAGCCCTTGCAATCAAAGGTTTTAGCCTATTCACTTATTACCCATTCGGGAAAAGTCTCTTCAGAAACTAAATGGACGTTTACTAAATAGATCGTCGTAACAGCTTTAAAAGTACATGTAGGCTCAAAGACAGCAACTTCCTCCACGTCTCTTCTCGCATGACCATACCTCCTACTCCTCATCAGAAAACATATCTTCGTCCGAAACCTCCTCGCGTGTAGCCTGCTCCTCAACCACACCCCTCTCCTCCCTCTTGCTCTCCCCATTTTCCAACCCCGGCCCATTCTTCCGAAAATACTCCCACCCAACCAACCGATTCCCCCCTTCAACCTCGCAATCCTCCTCATCAGCCAACCCCCCATCGCCCCTCCCCGCAAACTTCTTCCCCCACCCCACATTAAGCGGCAACCCCGTATGCGCCGCCGCCGTCCCGCCACGCCTCCTCACCCCACTCCAATGCCTAATGCAATGCCCCAGAACCGGCAGTTTGGGGGGCATCAAGCGATAGCTCTTTCCAAGCTTGCCTCGAGGGACTTCATACCGTGTATATTTCAGGTATCGGCGGTTTGTCTCTGAGAACTTGACGGCTCGCACTTCTTCACGCTCGAATTTAGTTTCCAAGCTGCCGTCTACTCGTACTACATCATCTTCTGCCAGCTTGTTTGTTTGAGGCGGGATGTGGTGTTTGTGCTTGCGTTCGCGGGCCCCAGCGGGTTTTGGGTGGCTGCGGTCGGGCAGCGAGCGTAGGGAGTAGGTGCCGATGAGGTGGTTGATGACCGGGTCGAGGATTGCGAGGCCGCGAGAATAGAGGCGACAGATTGTTATTTCGATTGTGTCGAGGTGGCAGGCGGAGAGTTTGGTTTTGTAGAGTTGGAGGATGAGGGCGTCGATGAGTGGGGATTGGATGAATTTGGGGAGGCCGAGTTGGAGCATGCAATTGTAGAGGTGAATTTTTTCGAGGAGGGTTGAGGGAATTTCCATTGCGATTGGGCCGTTGGGGTTTGTTAGGTAGTTTTTCATCTTCCGGTTTGTAGTCTGATGAGACGTTTTTGGCTGATTTTCATCGGTGGTACCCTTGCTCTTCTGACTGATCATGTATGCTCTCACCTTTTCTAGCCACGGGATGATGTATGCTTCAATTTCATCAGCGCGTATATATGCCAGTTGATCGTCAGCCTGTTTTTTTCCTTTTTCTAATGGATAGCAGACTGGGAGATGCAATTCGTCGTCGCCGGGATTATACGTAAAATAGTCCTTAGCAAAGCTCGAGCACAGAATCAGAGTTTCGCGGCAAAGAGGTCTCGACAATGGCTTGTCCTTTCCTTGCCTGAACCCTTTTATGTATTCGAAATCGCTGCCCCAGCCAAACATTTTTTCGCAATATAGGGTTTTGAAGATTTGTGAGTCAATAACGATTTTCACATCATTAGTAGACTTGGGCCAGTTCCTCTGCTTGCACACATCAATCGGATCTGTGTATGGCTCGTTTTTCGCTTTTGCGCTCATGCAATGTTTCCTCGCCTCTTCTTCTAGGTATTCCTCGTGTACGATCACAACTCTGCCGTCTTCGTCGTAAAGAACCATTTTCTTCGTCCAGATATCAGTGCGTATTGGAATAAAATTCCTTAAATTTGAAATGCAAAAGTCGCAAAAGGAGTTGGTGAGGGGGACGCAATGTTCGAATACTAAAAAGGAAATACTCAATTTCCCCATTCTTTGTTTAGGTCGCGGGTCACAAAGACCGGTGCATTCCCCAAGGGCCGAGAAACAACAAGCAATTTCCTTTCATGAGTGCCGGATTTGAAATAAACTCTATTCCAAGTACAATACTTCTTGCTAGGGATTACTGTATCGTATCATCTAGTGTCGCGTTCGTGCAGGACTGTTGACGGACCACGAGCCATACTAATCAGAGCGTGAACTATCTCTTGGGAGCTGAGACTGCTGATTCTTATTCGATAATGATTCACCAAAGCTAATCAGGATTGGCATCAACCGAAATGCAACATGTAACACGAGACAGACACTAGATGGAGTGAATAAACTGTTCACTACGAAGGCGGAGCTGACTATGATCACCCTCACTGACTTTCAGTAAAAACAACGGTTCTTGTAACCATGATCTACATACAGTAATCCTACTTCTTTCCTCCCCCACCGCAAGCCCTCTCTAGTGTCAGGAATGCGAAATGGCCACCAACAACCGGCCGGGCAAAGAACCACGGCCCAGGGAAGCCACCATCACCCTCTGTCACGTAGAGATCGGTAAAAGCCCGGTCCGTGACCGTCTCGTTTAGCCATAACGCCACACGATCTAGTATCTCAGAACGCACTTTCTTACTTGCAACAGCCGCTGCCTCGAATTCCCAGTCGGATTTGGTGTAGAGATGGCGGGAGTCGAGGGGCAAACCATACTTTTGCATAACATTACCATACCATTCACTTTGCAACGAGTAGACAGAATCTGGGATGAAGTCTTCGGTTATAGGAGTACGGCCCGAGCTGTCTTTGGAAGGTGTCAAGGGCCTTTGCGCGTCTTTATTACCGGATGCGTAATCTAACTTGTCGACTGTTGATGACGAGTTCGTGAAGGTGGGATGGAAACACAGGACCGCGTCTGCGTACAATGAGTAGAGCGTAGTCCAACTTCCATACCAGTTATAAGCAAGCTTAGCGTGTGTGCCGTCACGCGAAATGGCATACTCCTGCCACTTCTTAATGTAAGTGTTGGAAATGTTGCGATAATGTTTCGCATCGCCAGGTCGGTCCATAAGATCTGCAATCTCACTAAAGGCTTTGATACCGACGATTCCCTTCAATGCAAGGTTAGTCTGAAGCGGCAGCCAGCCCGCGAAATCATCAGTGGAAACTGGTGCCGTAGTTAGCCAGTGTCTCAGGTCAAAGTATGCGTACTTACGCTGATTGTGTGGTTCCAGCGTATCTTCAACAAGATAACCGGTCCACTGTTTCCAAAGATCGTAACTCCCTTCAAGCCATTTCTTAGCCTTGTCGACTCCCTTCGTACTTCCGCCCCAGAATTCGTCGATGTACTCGATGCCATCATATGAGGCGACATTTGTAAGACCAAAAACACTCTCATCAGACTCCTTCATGTCACTTTCAGGGCCAACAGCGGACCAAATAGACTGGGCTTCGGCTTGAGAGCTGTAGGTCAACGAGTTGACAAGCGCAAGACCCATGATGAGCATATCGCCACATTCCTCAACTGGCATGTACTCGTCCCTTCCATCAGCATGTCCAGTAAGGTTAGGGAAGTGAGCGCCTAAGTCATGCATCGAGTATTTGTTTGGATACTGCCCACTCAGCTGATGTTCAAGAAGCGGCTCAAGAAGGTACGCCAGCCATCGGGGTTGCGTGTAGAGGAAGAATGGGAATGCTGGAAAGATGACATCCACGGTTTGACAGTTACCGTTTGAAGAGATCTCCTTGAGGAATAGCAGTGGGTTTTCCTTGGTGCCAGAAAAGCTGGTCGCGCCCATCACCTGTCGTGCAGACAGAGCAACGATGTCGACATAATTGGTAGAGCCAGATTCATAGGCGTCAATGCGCAACTGCTCGGAGTAGTTGCTGGCTAGACTGCTGGCAGTGGCAAAGTCACCATAGTGGAACTGAATCAGCTTGTCTTCGTCATGGAACCATGACTTCCACAAGGGTCGCATAAAAGTGAGGCCCCGCGCAGATGCATACTGTGTGACTGGGTCTTGGACATGTGTGAGGGTGAATAGCACGCTACCGCTGGCAGCTTTCGAAGCAGTGCTCGACTTCCCCAGCTCAAAGGATTTCACAAAGGCAAAAACTGGCTCCTCATCCATTATGCCACGGAAGTTTCCATCTACTTCGTTTTGGAGTGTCCCGGTGCGGGCGAACCTCTGGCGGAGTAACGCGGAAGTGCCAGACTGGTGGCGTACATCTGCTGGGCCTGTGAAGTGCAACTGACCCCACTCGGGCTGATCATTTGTTTCGGTGAAGAGTTGCTCGACCTGTCGCTTCACTTGCCACGTCTTCAGCTTATCTTTCAGGCCAGGCGCTACATGCTGGAATAGGCCCCATTCTATGAGACTCTCCCTCTTGCCGCTAACCCATTGACCATTGACATCAACATATATGTTGACATCAACAGTTCCTTCTACATGTATGGAGAGATACGCTGCCGGAAGAGTCTGTCGCAAGGTTGATGTGGGTGTTATGGGAGAGAGGAAGGACAAGGTGATTTCGACTTCCTCCGCTTTTTGGGATTTCTTGGATACTTGAAGCGAGTACGTGAGGTTCGTAGTGGACGCGTCGTACTTGGCACCTTTGTACACCGGATACGCTACTGTGTAGCTGCACAACCAACAAGTCAGCGTTGAATAAGTCACGGGTGTAGATGTCATGCATACCTTTTGTCGGTTTTATCTAAAGAATCATGTGGCCTGCCTAACAGTGGAAAGACTCGATTCTCATCGGGAAGCGATGCAAGCACGCCGAATCCAATCTATACAGAGCTTGTAAGCACAGCGCCCAGTGTGGCTGGGAACCACGTCGCCGTAGAGAAAGTGGGCAATCATACCTCTGCACCAGTCCAAAACATAGGCCATTTGCTCCAAGGCTCCTCGCGCGCATTCTGCAGCCATGTGCTCAAATACGGATTTCTTACGATCAACGGGAGGACCGGAGGCTGGAGAGTCGAAGCATCGATGACGCTTGCTAGAATCGCCGTAGCGAATATACCGAGGGAACGCATTGGGGCGGCCCGTGCGCAAACGATTACACAGACAAAAGGGCGAACTCGGTACTAAAACCTCAGAGACATAGATTGATGTTACACAATATACAGAGAGATCGAGGTTGTGTTGGGGATGAGAGCTGTCAGCTGGGGGATGGAAGCTCGGGGTAGCTGCATTCTGCGGGGTTGTGGAGCGACCAATGAGCGCCAGGTGCCTTGCATCATGGGTGGATCAGCAATCGTCCCATGTTTCATGACGCGGCCTGACCTCTCACCGTCTCTATCGTCGCAGCATCCAGCTCTTTGGCCAAAGAAAAGTCTCCAGCTGTGAAGATGAACAGCTGCAGCTGATGTATGTGGATTTCGGTGTACCTCTTGCCTCAACAAGGCACATACTATTGTAAACCAGGTGAGACCTCCATATCGTTAGTCGACGCTGCCGCACGTGGTGTTTGCGGACTTCGATGCTTCCATACAGATGCAATGGCTCTCATTAACGAAGAGGCCATGCGACCTCGCCCCTTACGTTTCCTTGATGATGATGTGGGTATTTCTTCCCCCGGTGGTTTCGTAGGACTGGGAGTACGCATAGTCCGGTCGCCCATGGCATACACTGGGCTCGGATGGTAAATGGGATGTACCGGAGAAACATCTCTTTGTGGAAGACTGGGGAGCGGTCGAATAGTCGGTTTCGTAGGCTCTAACTTGATGGAAGGCGGGATAGACAGACGGTAAGATGGCGGTGGTTTGGACATGAAGTTATCCCTCTGTAATGCTTGCTCGTTGGACTGTTCATCCAATTGCTTTACCCTGGTGCTGGGAGTACGGTGTGGGATGTATGTACGCGGCTGCCACTTGGATGTTTCTCTGGGAAAGGGACGGGCAGTCGTCGCTGATACGTATCTTTTGTTACTCGCATCCAGATTTTTCGTCACACTGTTATCTCCTTTGTCAATTTCAAAATCATTCTGCAGTCCACTGTTGACTGAATTGTAGGTCGCTTGGTCCGTACTAATGCTGCGTATACGTGTGTCATGTGGCTCAATCACCAAGAGGTTGTTCTCTTCTCCAACCCCGTTGTGTTCTGAGCGGAGCACCCCCAGGTCTCGCAGTTGGTCTCGAGTGCGGTAATAGTATCGGAACGTAGCGAAAGGTCGATCGACCGGATCAATAAGCGCAAATTTGAAGAAGCGTTTAGGTTGTTCTGGCCCGGCCCGTCCAGCGTTGACAAGTCTGCTACTCTTAGCACTGTGCCTTCTCCGTATTCAAACCGTACTTACTTGATCCCTCTACCCTCCTTTGCATGTTGCGTATCCTCGTACATCTCTACCTGCCTCTGAATACGCTTTCTGGCATGTGCACGATGCACTCGTATCTCCACGCAAGCTGTCTCATCAAACATATCCACCATGCCTACCCGGTGTTTATCATTTTCCATCGGTGGTGCAAAACACAGCACGCGTTTCTCGATCTTTTTGACTCCCTCTGCATCTTCGGGGCTCTCAAATAAGCCAAACATGGTTTTTCCTCGCCAGCCCTCTGCTTTTCCAGTTGACCAACTCACAACGTGCGCGCCGTCGATATATAGCTTGAAGAAAAAGTAGTGCTCATTGGGAACTGGCGGCGAAACGGCATAGCTTATCCAGAACGCGGTGCCTGGTAGAGCGGGCACAAACACACTACATGTTGACGTTTTGCTTTCGAAAGATTTTGGCATGAATCCTGTGACCCCGTAGTCATCTCTGGGATCGGGATGGTACTCAGGAAGCTTTTCGATATCCAACTGAGAATGGAGCGTAATGTCTATGCTGCAATGGTGCATTGCGTCGGTTGTCTGCCGGTAAAGATGAGTAAGTGATGGTGCCGGAGCTGAGTATAAGCAGGTGCGATTGTATATTCAAGGTGAGGCAAACAGAAGATCCACTAGCGCGGTTGATATCTCAGTGTATATCACGTATCGTAAACGGGGGTCCAATATGTGCGGAAGGGCAATATCGATAAGCAAAGAGCAAACGAAGCAGCCCTATCTTGAACTTTTCTGCACCTCTGGTGGCTGGTAATATCTTATCGACCGTTGGTAAGCTTACCATTCTGCAACTGTGACTGACGCTGTCGCCTCCGTGCTGCTTCTGACTCCCGAATCTGTGAAGTATCCCTTTCCCAGAACCAATAGATGAATTCCGTTATTCTTGGGTAAAAGTGTACAGGGTATTAGATGTTAATGATACAATGACCGCATTCTGGAACTTTTTACTTTTCACCCTCTCCAGATCCTCCATTCTTCTCCAGGTAATCCTTGATACTAAACATACCCGTCCCCCTCTCGAGCGGCTTTTGTTGATTAGGACTAGGCTTCCAGCCAATCATGTAGATAAGCCTGAAAGTAGCAGGTAGTGTCCCATCTTCATTTCCATGGAGTTCCTTGTATATTCCCTCGGCAGCAAGTAGCACATCTCGATGTATGGCGCCCTTCTCTCTCGCCAGTACGGCATTCGATTCACCCATAGCCTGTAGATCCTTCATCAGTGAGAAAGTGTCGGGGAAGTCGACAACGATGTCGTCGACATCTACGGTAAGGAGGTTGAAGCCAGCTTTTTGCAACAGGCCACCAACGTCTTTTACATCTGCCAGTGGCGAAGTGTGTGTTGAGACACCGCCTCTCCGGTCGAGCTCTGCTAATTGAAGCGATGTTCGGAGCTCATATAAACTGTCACCACCCATCATGACACCAATGAAAGGACAGTCGGGTTTCAGTATGTTGTTGATCTGGGCGAGGACTGAGGGTAAGTCGTTGATCCAATGTAAACTGAGATTGCTCAGGACCGCATCGAAAGTGTTGGCCTCATAAGGTAGCAACTCTGAGGTAGGAAGAACCTCTCGCACAATGTCGATTTCCTTGTTGAAGGGCAAGTCTGCATCTCGGTAGAGTAAAGATCGAGACGAGTCAGCGGCTGTGATGGTACCGATGCGCTTGGACCGCGGGCCCTTTTCTGGCGCATCCTCGGACGGCAATGTCAACGCTCGAGAAAGATTGCATGCGTTTGCACCGATGTCGAGAACTTTTGGGAAATGTCGGTTTATGTCCTATTCGTCTTAGCAGTTGCTCGTTTCGCAGAGAAGAGGCGGCTCTACCAGGACTCGCTCACACAACCTTGAAGCAACCTCATCTCTTAGATAATCTACATCTCGACTTGTCTCAACATCTTTTGCAGCCCGCTCCTTTTGCATCCATTTTTGCTGTGCACTAAAAATCTCGAGTATGGGCGCACCGGGCGCTTGAACAGCGTAACGTCGTGTAAATTGACGGGGAAAATATCGTCGCCTACATGGCGAAACCAAGGCGCGCACAGAGAAACCAGCCATGTTTGCAACAAACTGTGCAATTGACTGAGTTGATAAGCAACGCGCTCAAACAAAGAGGCGTGAATAGAAAAAGATGTCAAAAGTACTACGTCAACATTGCTGTTAGCTATACCTGGGTACCTACCACCAGTCCGCCAATCGGCGTTTGGCTCCACCGAGCTGTACCTCCGCTGTCTAAAAGTTGACCTCCACATTCCCCCACGCGACAACCAGACCGGCGAGTAAGAGGAGGAATACCAAACCAAGACCCTTCCATTGCAACACGTGCAAATCACAATGGCACAAGCATTTCCATACACATACTACGCCTGCGACTGCTTCGACAGCAACAGCGTAGCAGGCACAAAACTCACCTCACACGTCCTCGCCGCAACCGACGACGAAGAAGAGACGCTCGACCCACGAAACCCACGCTCCAACTACGCCCTCTACCCGCTCGAGCACCTCCTCTACTGCGAAGACTGCTTGCAAATACGCTGTCCACGATGCGTAATCGAAGAAACGCTAAACTGGTACTGTCCCAACTGCCTCTTCGAAGTCCCCAGCTCGGTCGTCAAGAGCGACGGTAACAGATGCACGCGCAACTGCTTCAACTGCCCCGTCTGCATATCCCCCATGATTGTCAATCTGCTCGAGAACCCGGACGTCGACCACAGCACAACGGACCGGCATATCCTGGCGTGCCCGTACTGCCATTGGAGCACGGTGGAGACGGGCATCGAGTTTGAGAAGCATACAGGCGTGTATTCGCAGATTTCACGCATAGCAAATGGGGGGAAGCCGATACCGTCGATCAAGGAGCGGGACAAGGAGCGTGAGAGACGCAAGGAGCTGGAGGCTCAGCGTAGAGACTCAAGGAACCCGCAAGCTTCGTCTCGTGGCTCGGCCATTGTGTATGCGGGGGGCTACGAGCCGCCCTCGCGCGATGATCTGTTTGCCAATCTCGCTGCGTTCTACAAGGCGGAATTGGACGCGCAAACGCCGTCGAATCCGCTCGAGATGAACTTTTCCTCGCCCACGGCATACTCTCGCATTATGAACTTGTACTCGACGTCGACGAAGAAGTCGAAGCGGAGTAAGCCTACACCCATGAGAGACGCAGCGTCCGAGCTAGAAGGTCTGGTGACACACGACCCCGCTGCTGAAAACGCAACAATCGAGCGTATCAAGCGGGGCGGTTGGAGTGCTACATTATCGCCTACCCAGAAACTTGCCCAGCTCGACCCACACGTACAGTTCGACGACGAGCTCCGACCCATCCCAACACTACTCTGCACAAAACGCTCCAAACGATGCCGCTCCTGCCGCCACATCCTCGCAAAACCCGAATCAAAAATCACATCCACACGCTACAAAATCAAACTACTAGCTCTAAACCACATTCCCCGCCTCAGCGTCCGCGCCTTACCACCCCCTTCCAACCCACCCATCCCCGCCTTCCCTGGCTCTGTCCCAGCGCCAGCACCCCAACCAGCCCAGCCCCAGCCCCAACCCCCCTTCAACTACAACGCCCTCCGCCCGGGTATCCCCGCACACTTCCTACTCCATCTCAGCAACCCCCTCTTCGACCCCATCCGCGTCACCCTCGCCACCTCGAGCACCACCCCCGGCAGAGTCTCCTCGCGCGTAACAATCCTCTGCCCCGAATTCGAAGTCGGCGCCAACACCGATGTCTGGGACGACGCCCTCTCCTCCTCGCCCGCCCCCATGCCGCGCCGCTCCACCATCAACGCCGAAACAGGGCAGATCGAAGCTGGCAAGATTTGGGACAAGGGCCGCAATTGGACCAGTGTCGCCATTGAGGTTATACCGGGGTTCCTGGATGAGGTTAATGGCGAGGACGAGGAGCTAGAGCCCGATGATGATTTGCTCGAGATTCCGATTTTCGTCAGGTTGGAGTTTGAGGCGGATGTTAATGCTGAGGAGAGGGGGCTCGGGGATTCGAGGGGGAGTAAGGGGGAGAGGGAAAAGAGGGAGGAGGCGTTTTGGACGGTGGTGGGCGTGGGGAGGATTGCTAATGCTTAGTTTGGGGGTTTTGATGATGACGATGATGATACCCATTTGTTTCTTATGGTGATGAATAAACGAAAGCGTGGGAGAGAATTGTTATTCGTTGTGCTTGAAATGGCATTTTTCAAGAGGTAGTGTCGCTGTCTTTCTTCTTCTTCCGAGTCACCATGCCGTCCAGCGTTGCTTGGCTTGCTTCTCGCTTGTGCACTGGCTTCTTTTCTACTTTCTTTCCAGTCAGCTTTGCTCGCTTGGTACGTTTCGGTTCATCTTCATGCCCGCTTTCCTCATGGCCGTCTGCCTTGTCGTCTTCATGCTCCACCATTGCACCAGGTGGACCCTTTGTACCCTCAGTCGGCCCCTCGGCATCGTCATCAAATAACTTGCGCCAGCTTCCGTTCAGGACTTGAGGCGAGTTACCGTAGAGATTGACGCGGTATGCATTCTTCATGCCCTTAAGACAAATATCTCTTCTTGTAGGGAAATCAAACATTGGCTTGGGATATGTTTGCAGTCCATCATCTGCACCGCTTCCAGCAGTCCCATCACCCTTGATTAGACACCCCCATTTCTTTTGATCAGCGATGGGCGCCTTGTGGGGTTCGTAAATGTATTTTTTATCGAACTTGGCAAGTTCGGGTACGTATCGTCGGATAAAATTACCTTCCTTGTCCCATTTCTGGGGGAAGGCTACAGGCGAATAGCAGCGGTAGAATTGGGCGAAAAAAGCGGTGCAAGAGAGCCATTGCCAATTGCCTATATTACACGCAGCTTCGTGGTCAATGAGCCATTCTTCAAAGACTTCGGCACCGCGCTCCCAGTCAATGTAGCAGCCGCCTCTGGTCAGAAAGCACGCAACAGCGTGGCGGCCGAGGTGGTGGATCCAGCCTTCCTGCGCGAGCTGCCGCATCAGTGCGTCAATCCAGGGAAATCCTGTACGGCCCTGTTTCCAGCGCTGGAAATGGGATTCGGCTTCTGCATTGTCGATTGTGTATTCTCCAGTGATTAGGCCAGACGAAGCGTCGATTTTGGAAGGAAGATGCCAGGGGATAAAGCGGCAGTGCGAGTTGTTGTATGTTTGACCAAACGAATATCCTAGTGATGCCTGTGCGCCAAAGTACATGTCGCGAAAGAGGAGCTGACCGGTCAGACTGGTAGGTGGTTGTGAGGCTTTTCCTTTGTATTTGTCGGCTACATCTTGAGCGCGCCAGTAGAAGAGACGACAGCTCAGAGAGCCAAAGTGCATATGCGGAGACAAGAGGGTGGTGGATTGCGGCTCGAATGCAGTTGGTGCAGTATTAGGTTTCTCAAAGGTGGCTGTGTATTTTTCATTTGCAATTATTTTATCAAGCGCTTGCAGGGCTATCGTCTCTCCTCCGCGGTGTGGTGTCGTTGCTGGTTTCAGACCAAGCTCTTCCATTGTAGGTACAGCAAAATCGCCATTTGGTCCGGCCAGCGCAGTGTACGAAGCTTCTTTGCCATCTCTTTGTATCGAGTTGATATCCGGTTGGCTTTCTGGCTTCTCTTGATCAAACTCCAGATGCACTTCTCCAGGATCAGGTAATGTTTTGGGTGCAGGGATGGGCCTAGGGACTGGTCCAATCTTCTTGGCAGCTGCTTGTACCTGAGCCATGCTCATGGTTGGTTTCCCATTGTTGTTCTTGACCAAGTCATCTGGATCATACAGCGTCCTTCCCGTCTTGGTGATGACGTCGACGCCCGCTTGCTTCGCAATCTCCATGACCTTGGCATCACGCTCTCTGGCATAAGCATCTGTATCCTTTTCAAAAACCAAATGGGTGATATTCCATGCCTTGAAAAGCTTGGGAAACAAAGTTTGCGGGGCTTCGCGAATGAGGAAAAGCTTCGACTTTGGGTTCAACTTGGTGATGGATTTGGACAGGTCATTTTGGCAGTCAATGAGGTACTGCCAGCGATTGGGACCAACACGGGCACGATAGACATAGTGTGGATCCCACGTCCACACTGGATAGAGACATTCGGGGTCAAGGTCCAGGGCAGCTTTCAGGGCTGGGGAATCATGGAGGCGCAAGTCGGTCCGGAACCAGTAAATGACCCGCGACCTTGTCATGTTGCTTGGGGTTTGTCAGGGCTCAGAAAACGAGGGCGATGGGCAAAAAAGGAACAAAGAATTGTCACAGAGCTCAAGCTTGAAGAGAAGCTCGCTCGACTAGCGGACAGGGAGAGTGCATGGCTGAATGCATGCGGTCATCGATCGGAGCTAGGACGCTCGCTAATCGTTGAGTGGTGTAACAAACCAATCGGCCGTATTTTTCCCTGTGCCGGACACGATGATCAAGGTGAAGGAATCGACGGTGGTGCAGACAGCGGCAGCAGTACTCTTACGTTCGGAACTGGCGTGCCTAGGGCTGAAGGGTTCAAGAAGGGGCTCAAGAAGGGTTCAGGGAAGGGCTCAGGGAAGGGGTTCAGGGGAAGCAGGGTCTCAATTCTTCGTCGACGAAACACGCTGGGCCATGGTCGAGCATGGGGAGGGCGGGCAGGTCGCGAGAAAAAGAAAGGACGCGGGCGTGGGCGTGGCTGCTCGAGGCGGTGAAGGCCGGCTCGCACGGGCGTTCCCCAGCGTGGGCGGGCGATGCGGAGACGATGGGCGCAGGGCTGAGTTTGGAGCATGTGCATGCGAACTCGGGGGGTTGATGTCTAGATGAGATGCATTAGCAGAGGGGTTAGTCGGTAGACGACATGTACCTGTGTACCTGTACATATGCACAGCACACTAGACGGCCAGCCCGACAGGAGGATGGAGGCAGGGCTCGGTCACGGGACGGACGCACGATGATGGCGGCAACGGGTGGGTGGCGGACTTGTGCCGTCACTGGCCACTGGTCATGTTCGTCGACACAAGAGGTCCAGGGTGGGCAGAGGCCCGAGCTCCCAACGCCCGCCTGCTTGGGCCGTCGTCTGTTGTGGCATGGCAATCTCCCAACAGATAGCGCTTGGACTTCACAAACATAGCCCTCTCCATAGTCGCCTTTTGCCCTGTCGTGACGCTTCAATCGAGGGCGCAACCTCTCTGCCAAACTTGAAGAATTTTCGTGCTGTCGTGTCACTGCTGCTGTCGCGCGGCACCCTCGCGCCTTCTGTCTGGATACTTTACTGCGGGGAAACAAAAACAGCAACGCCCTTGCCTCGAAGCCATCCATCTACAGCTAGACTCTCTGACGTGGAGACCACGGACAACTGTACACCTACTGCCCCTCGGTCGCCTCGACTGAACGCTTCCTCACTCCAATTTTTCATTTTTCACCTCTTTGCAACAATGGCTGAATCACGGGAAGATGTGTATATCACGGTAGGCCTTCTTGCGCGCTCAATTGACTCGATTGCAACCCGACTGACATGCCCCACAGCTCCTCATGAGCGACTCGTACCTGCCCGGTGCAGCAGTCCTGGCCCATTCCTTGCGAGATGCCGGGACCACGAAGAAGTTGGCCGTGCTCATCACCCCCGAGACGCTCTCTGACGAGACTGTCGAAGAACTCAAGGTGCTGTACGACTATGTGATTCCAGTGGAGCGTATACGCACTGCCAATACTGCCAATCTCTACTTGATGGGCCGTCCTGACCTAGCATACACTTTCACCAAGATTGCACTATGGAAACAGACTCAATTCCGCAAGCTAGTATATCTCGACGCCGATGTCGTTGCCCTGCGTGCTCTGGACGAGCTGTTCGACATTGAGGCCCCGTTTGCTGCTGCCCCAGACATTGGCTGGCCAGATGCCTTCAACAGCGGTGTCATGGTCATCAAGCCAGACCTGAGTGTATACGAGGCTCTGCAGGCCATGGCAGCCGCTGGCGAGAGCTTCGACGGCGCAGACCAAGGCTTACTCAACCAGTATTTCGAGCACCGCCCCTGGCAACGCCTCAAGTTCACCTACAACTGTACCCCGAATGCCGAGTACCAGTGGGAGCCCGCATACCGTCACTACAAGAACGAAATTGCCGCCGTTCACTTCATCGGCAAGAACAAGCCTTGGACGGGCAACCATCCTGGTGGCAGTGGTGTATACGGAGAGCTGGTGGCGCGATGGTGGGCAGTACACCAGAAGCATTTTGGAGATGGACAGAGAGCTGGTGAGACACATGGCACGCTAAGTGAAGCCATTAACTCTTCCTCTTTTGTCCCTCCCCCTGCAGAAGCTTCTTCTGTCCCCACCGAGCCACCCATGACTGATACTGAAGATGAAGTGCAAAACGTTGACCAAGTTGATATAGGAACTCTCGCGAACCCCTGGGACCCAACCAAGTACGTACCTGCACCTTGAATCCATACCCCTCATGCTAACATTCATAGGTCCGGCCCCCCATCCCAATCAAAGCCCGAAGCCGCCAACTTCCCGAACCAGACTTATGGTTTCAGCGACGACCCTTCACTTTTCAGAGCCCCAAGTGCCTATCCAGATGCTCCCAAGGACATGTGGTACCAAGTACCAGAGACTAAGCCACAACCTGCTAACCTGCCTCCCCCCATCTTTCCATGGGAGCAGGCTGCCGATAGACCCCAGCCGACGCGTGTCTTTGCCGAAGACCGGTCGCCAGAACCCACTCCTGCTGTCGAGTTACCAACGCACCCCTTTTCGACTACCCATTTCGACGGCGATGACAAGACAGCAGCTGAGGCTGCCAAGAAGGAACCTTCACCTGAAAGGCCCTCGGGCCAGCAGTGGCAATCCACCACCGGCAACGCGTGGGATAACGTTCCAGGTATCGACAATTATGTGCGCGCCGTATCCGACCTCAATGGGCAGCGTGGTAAGAATGCGGCTCTCCAGAAGACGACGGGTACAGACGACATCGGCTCGCCCACGATTGAGCGAGGTCGTCGCGAGAGCCTCATCATCACCGACTTTCCTTCTGCTGTCGAGCGGCCAAGCCTTCCCGTAACTCCAGCCCCTGTCCGCCGCCCCATGTTCTGGGGTGATGAGAAGAACAAGACGGGTGAACTGCCTTCTGCGACAGGTGTGCCTGACCAGACCGAATGGGTAAGTCAACAATGAGTTCTTCTTTCTGTTCACTCTCTGAACTGCTTCAACGACAACACGATATGACATGGACTGACGTTGACATGCGAAGAATCCCGAGGAGAAGCTTGACCAGTTACGACGCTCATCCCTAATTGAATTTGAGCACCTCAAGAAGGACGAACACCCTGACCCGCCACTGCGCGAACTGCCAGAACACTCTGTCGGGGATGCTGCAAAGGGACCTGACGCTAGTGATGTCCCGGTAGGCGAGCAGGTCAAGGTCTGAGGAACGACGCTTATCCCGCCTACCTTTGGCAATGGCAGCCCCTCAGTCAAGGTTAAGGGATATGTTGTCATTCCAACCAAAATTTTAGAGTAAAAATGTCAGGGTCAGGACGAGTATGATGAGAGGATTGGGGGTTTTCGTCACTTTCATTTACCAGACGATGCGATGAAGTCATATACCTTGTGTTGTTGTTCGCTGTCATGGATTTTATCACGATTCTACACTTAGCCTTGCTGGCGTTGCTGTTCTTTTCTGTCTTTGATTGGCGAGCTCACATCAGCATTTGCATCTGCATTGACTAGCGATTAGCTTGCTTTACTCGTCGTTACAACAGTTAGCATGAGCATGAGCATGAGCATCGCCTTTTTTTTATCGTACACGACCCCACTTGTTCAAGAAAAAAAATGCTATTCTCTTCCCAAGGATTTAGGGTGGACGTGGAGAGATAGCCGCTGGTGACGCCGTCTATACAGAGTACCACGTAGGTATGCATGTATGGTACGCTCGGATGCAGGGTTTGCGGCACATGCATGGCATATGCATGCACGCCCCGACGGTGGGTCCGCACTAAAGAGCTTGACTTTAGCTGGCGTCTGTGCCGTTTGGTGTGACCTCTCCCTTGGTCCCATGGCTCAGCTAGGTGATCCAAAATGCCCCGCTTGCCCCTCCCTCTGCTCGCGCCTCGGTTTGCTGCCTTGACACAACCACCTGCCCAAATAAAACTCCAACCAATCCGTAGACCGCGAATAAGCGACAATCTATCTCGCAGGCCGTTCTTCCGTCTCTCGCAGTCTTTTTGTTCCTCATCGTCGCCCGGCTTTATTGCAACACCTAGACGTGTTGCCCACTCCATCCCCAAACGCATACCCAACGCCGACTGGCCCTATCTATACCACGGATTCGACAAGATGGCACACCTAGACCCCTATTTCAAGCAAGTCGATGATTTGCAAAGCACCTTCATCGAGAGGCTGAGGGAGGCGGTGGCCATCCCCAGTATCAGCTCCGAGGACCAGAGGAGGCCTGATGTCGTCAAGGTATGTATGTCAGCTGTTGATAAGTCTGGCATAGCACGTGCGAGCCTTCTGAACACTGCGTCTGACCATAGTCTAGATGGGACATTGGCTTGCGGATCAGATCAAGGCTCTTGGTGGCACTGTCGAGCTCCGTGAGCTAGGAAAGCAGCCTGGTCGTGAGCACCTCGACCTCCCGCCCTGCCTATTGGGTCGCTACGGAAACGACCCCAAGAAGCTCAATGTCCTCGTCTACGGTCACTACGATGTACAGCCCGCAAACAAGTCGGATGGTTGGGCGACAGATCCCTTCACACTCAGCATCGACGACAAGGGCCGCATGTTTGGACGTGGCAGCACTGATGACAAGGGCCCGGTGCTTGGATGGCTCAACGCGATTGAGGCACACCAGAAGGCTGGCGTAGAGCTGCCTGTCAACCTGGTCATGTGCTTCGAGGGTATGGAGGAGAATGGATCTGAAGGACTTGACGACACCATCCGCGCAGAGGCCAAGAAGTTTTTCAAGGATGTAGACGTTGTCTGCATTTCGGACAACTACTGGCTTGGTACCGAGAAGCCTTGCTTGACCTACGGTGTTCGCGGCTGCAACTACTACCAGATTGAGATTTCTGGTCCTGGCCAGGATCTCCACTCTGGTGTCTACGGCGGCATGACTCACGAGCCCATGACTGACTTGGTGCGCATCATGAACTCGCTTGTCGACCCGGATGGCAAGATTCTCATCAAGGGCATCGATGAGCTGGTTGCTCCGCTTACCGACGACGAGGCCGCGCTTTACCCACCAATTGCCTTTACGATGGATGGCCTGAAGGAGTCACTAGGCGGTGCCGTCACGATTCACGACAAGAAGGAGGATGCACTCATGTCCAAGATGCGATACCCCTCGTTATCCCTCCACGGAATCGAGGGTGCCTTTTACTCTGAGGGAGCCAAGACTGTTATTCCAGCCAAGGTCATTGGAAAGTTCTCCATCCGAACAGTACCAAACATGGAGATTGACCCAGTGACGAAGCTGGTCGAGAAGCACATCAACGACGAGTTTGCCAAGCTGAAGTCGAAGAACACGATGAAGTTTAGCGTGGTACACTGCGGCAAGTGGTGGGTAGAGGACCCCAACCACCCCAACTACACTGCTGCCGCAAAGGCTGTTGAGCGTGTGTTTGGTGTAAAGCCTGACATGACGAGGGAGGGTGGAAGTATTCCCGTCACATTGACCTTCCAAGAGGAGCTGGGCAAGAATGTTCTGTTGTTGCCAATGGGTAGCTCGACTGACGCAGCCCACTCGATCAACGAGAAGCTCGACAAGAGGAACTACATTGAGGGCACTAAGCTGTTGGGTGCGTACCTGCATTACGTTGCAAGCGAGATGAAGCGTGATTAGACAGATGGCAGTCGCAACTCATTGTAGGATTTTTAGGATGAGATATATTGAGCTGTAGATATCACATGAACAAACCAAAAAAAAAATATACCCTTTTCATACACATTATTCTGTTGAAGCGTGGTGTTTGAGCGCAACATTGCTTTGCACAAGTGTGGTGCAGCTTTGACCAACCACATCGGGGCGGAACAACGAAAAAAGTTCGGCCTTGAGCCTCACAACATCCAACGTCCCCATCAACCCCCATCTTGTGCACCACCGGGCCACGCCACAGCCCAAGGCCCAATTGCACAACCAACACAATGGCAACATGTAAACCACTTCTTCGGGTCTGCCCATCGACCGTCCAACCCGCATTCCTCCTGCCACGGACCCAACAACGCTTCGAATCCACAACCCGGCGACACAGAAAACTACTCGCGCTCCCCGCCGCACCATCCTACACACCAGACAGCTCGTCCCCGACGCTGATATTCAACCCGCCATCCTCAGCCCCCAGCGTGCACCACACGCCGGTGAAATTCCTACCCCAAACCGACAAGCGGCGCGCTCTCTACGCCAGCACCCACCAACAACTCGCCCGCACCGCCCTCTCGACCCGCACCTCGCCCACGACCTCGCCAGGCACCCCGCTCTCCGCCCCGAGCCACCTGCCCCCCAAGCCCTCGTCCGCCCTGCCGCCTGCAGTGCGGCAACCATATGACAAACAATACCACGTCACCGAAGAGCAAGTAGCGGAAATGCGCCAATTGCGCGCCCAAGACCCGGATACGTGGACGCGCGTTAAGCTGGCTCAGAGGTTTGCATGCAGCCAGTTTTTCGTCGGCCTGGTGGCTAGGAATCCGGACAAGGCGGAGAGGGTGGCGCTGGAGCATCAGAGGGCGAGGGAGAAGTGGGGGGCTAGGAGGAGGGAGGCTAGAGAGGATAGGGTGAGGCGGAAGAGTGCGTGGGCGAGGGATGAGTAAATGGGGTTTATGACATTTGAAAGTTTTATGATATATGGGAGAAGTTTTTTTTTGTCAAGGAAATTCAAAACGAGGTTGTAGAATCCTCTGTTTTTTTTTGTTTCCCCCTTCATCTGTTTTTTTTTTGTTTTTTGGTGATGGAATTGGGAAAGTGATATATGTGTATGAGATGGTTGGTTCTTATTTGACTTTGTGGAATGAAGATTTTTTTTCTTTAAAAAAAAAAGAAGAAGTCATGTTCGACGAGTATTACAACGAAGGGAAAGGGAAAATGTACCTAGATTATCGAATCGTGTGGTTTTTCTTCTCTCTCTCTCTCTCTCTCTCTCTCTTCTCTCCTTTTCACTTGTTCTTCTCCTTGTCCTTGATTTCGACACCGTTGACGCCAATGTTGATTAAGAAAGGCGGTCCAGTACTCGCTTGCTGCACACCAGCACCACTAACCCTCGACGCCTCACAGCAGCCCTCCCTAACGACCGCCCAGCTCTCCGCCGTCTCCCTTTCCACCTCGTCAAGACTCAAGCCCGCGCCAAACTTTGTCGCCTCAACTTTCCTCAGCGCAACCCGCGTCTCGCGCACGTCCCTATCCCACATGGGCATCGCAGGACGGAGGTACCTCGCGCTCTTGGCGCGACTTGTCGTTATTATCGCGCAGGAGAGCATGTTTGAGAGGTTGAGGAGGTGGAACGACAGAGTTGCGGATGCGGATGCGGGGGTGGAAGTGCTGGGTAGGGTAGGGAGGAAGGCGTCTGTGTCTTCGAGGATGAGGGAGTGGATGGTGCGGTGCGTGCTGGGGTGTGCGGTGGGGGTGAAGAGGTAGGGAGGGAGGGAGCGGAGGGTTGAGATTAGGGTGGGGAAGGTTGTGGGGTGCAGGATGTGGAGGTGGTGTAGTGCGTTGCGGACTTTTTCTTTTACAGCGGAGGGGGAGGGAGGTGGGTGGGTGCTGGTGGAGGAGAAGATGCGGAGGAGAGTTGAGGATAGGAGGGGGATGCTGAAGTGGTGGAGGGGGTCGATGAGGATTATCGCGTTTGAGGTGGTGGTGGAGAGGGCGGTTGCGATGATGAGGGTTACTAAAGAGGTTTTTCCGGAGCCGGAGGGTTGGTGGGCGGAGGGCGGGGAGACGAGGGAGAGGATTGGGGGGTGTGTTGAGGAAGGGAGGAGGAGAGAGTCGAGGGGGGGAATGGTGAAGTAGGTACTAGAAGGAATGTTAGTTAGACGTCGTGACGAGCAAAGAGAAGGGGAGTTTTGTTTGGAGAGAGAGAAAACAGACCTTTGGTTGGTGGTGCTTAGATGTATTAGACGGAGGGATTTGAGTACCTGATTTCTCGTGTTAGGAATATTGATTCATGTTGGGTTACATTTTTTTTCGTTGTAGTGATAACAACTACGTACCGAGTTCAAATCCGTCACTTGAACATCTGCCAGCGACTTCTCACCGAATTTCCTCGCCTCGTCCCCATTCATCATCATCTTCTTCTTTCTTCCTATAACCCCCACTTTTTACCGAGTCTATCTTTCAAGTTTTTTTTTGTGTTCCCCGCCTGACACCATTCACAACATTTCCTGTAGTCGAAACAATGGCACCACCTGTTTCCGCGATTCCGGTCTCGGAACTGGAAGCGCAGCTTAATACGCTTCCGTCTGGTCGAGCGCGGAATCCACCGATTGCGCTAAGCGAGTGCGCGCTGAAAGAGCTTGTGCAGTACAAGTGCAATGTACAACCGGCAGAGAAACGAGGGGGTGTGCCGACTGTGGTGTGTGAGCCTGTTGTGCGGATGCTGAGAAGGTGAGTGGTGTGCGAGATGGTTGTTGAAAGAGCTTGGCAGCTTGATTGGTGTTGAAAGAAGAGACGGACAGGCTTCTTTTTTCTTTTTTCGTCAGAAGCTGAATACAATGCTAACAGCCTCTTAGATGTCAAGGAGGACTTAGTGTCGAGACGACTGCTTGGGAAGGGTGGAAGGCGAAGCAGGAAGGCGCGAACAGCTAGACACGACCAAGTTGCCACCATCATGCACAGAGCCTTTCAATAACCGTAAATGCAGACACGTTTCACTGTAAAATACATGACATGTCAAATCACTATCATTCACGGTGAAAAAAAACCACGAAAACAATGAATACGTAATCAATTGATGAATAATAAGACGACGCATCAATGGCCCTCAATGCCGCTTCCATGGGACAAGCAGCTATAGTACAACCAACTTCCTCCAAAGAAAGTGAACAGAAAAACGTGATCAACGCCGGTCAAATGCCCCAAACGTGCCTTCATATCTCCAAGGCGGGAATGCCCGAATACCCAAACGCCTCGCTACCAAAATGCTTTCAAGATGCTTTTTCTTTCTTTCTTTCACACAATGTGCTGGCACCGAAGAGATGGCGTGGTGACAGGTATTAGACGCCGCTCCCGGATTTTCTCCAGTATTTGCGCTCGTAGTTGACGTGGACGCCTTCTTCCAGATTGACGGTACGATCGATTATGGGCTGCCGTGCTGGGGCATCATGTGAGGCGTTCCAACCGTCATCCTCGTCCAGGTCCATCTGTGCCTGTCGTCGTTCCTCGTCCTTTTCGCGCTGGTGCTCCTCGTTCAACAAATCTGTCATGGCTGCTTGCCATAACTGGTCACTCTCTTTCATGCGCTTGCTTCGCTTCCGCTTGCCCACATTCTGCTTCTGAACGCCCGCCTTTTGTGCTGCCATGAGCTTTCTAAGACTCTGTTCGGCCAAGATGCCCTCCTCGGTTGCTTTTTCCCGAATCTTTCGCGGATCATGTTCGCGGTTGGTGAAGACTGGTGTCGCAGAATACGTGTGCTTGGAAGGGAAGCCAGGAAAGTGTTTTGGGATATAAGGGCGCGTCTCCTTGTCTGCCTTGCCCGACAACTCGGGGCCTAACAAGGATTCGGTATCTGGGGGCGGGGCTTCTGGGGGCACGGGAGGTGCAAAGTAAGGCTGTAGTAGGGATGGAGGAATTTCGCCAGTGTCAAAATGTTGGTCGAGGGGTGCAGATCCGCGAAGACCCGAAGAGGCCAGCGCGTATATCCAGTCGTGTGCCACTGTTTCGGTGCGGCGCGAACTGGTCATGGACTTGCGCACTTGGGCTAGAAATCGGCTCATGTCTGGGTCAGGTTAGTCTGGGAAACTCTAATGGGCTGTGCAGCCAGCTGGCATCGCAAGATGAAGCCATACAGGAATCAACCAGCGCCCGGAACTGCTCCAGCGCGTCCGGGCGCGCACCCTCGAATCCCATGCTCTTGCATTGTATCGCTATTGCGCGGCGCAATTGCTGGTCGAAAAAGTCCTTGCTTTCACCAAAGCCATCAAACTCGGCGCTGACGGGGTCGACAATGTGCTGGACTGGCTGCGTGTGGTGCAGTGCATGCACGACTCGCCGCTTCTTCTGCTGCGGCTCCCCATGTGTTGGCGCGTTGTCCGCCACATGCGCTCGCTTCATGCCTGCGGTTGCGCCCTCGCTGCTGGCGCTGGGAGAGAGTATGATGCCTGGCATATGCTGCTGGTGGTACCGGGGTTGGTGATGTCGCAGGCCGGATGCGTGTACGCGAGGTTGGTAAAGTTATCGGGTGGTGGGCGCGCAGTCAAGCGCGAGAGATGGCATGGGCTGCAAGAGCATGCACCTGCGATTAAGACGGATGTGAATGTGCGAGAGATTCGGCGATCGATCGATGTTATTGTCCCTTCCCTTTGTTTGCTGGCGTCGTGCTTGAGTCGGAAGCTCTGAGAGCGCAGGGCGCTAGGCGACTTTGCCTTACGTCAGCAGCAGCAGTAGTTCTCCGTCGAACCACCACAACTTCAGCATACCCGCAGACGACCTTCACCAGCTCCCGCAACCCGCACCCGCGTCCCGAAACTCTCCACTCACCCGAAACCGAATTCAAAATGGCCATCAAACCGATTACCGGCGTATGTGCTGCCATTGAGTGTCTTGGGCAGCAGTGGGCAGGAGGCTAATGACTGGATTGCAGATGCTCAAACGACAGATCGTGCTCGATCTCTCTGTTGCCATGGGTGCGTAGAGCTCTTGCAGTGTGTGCGCGATTACTTTTGCGCCTTGAAATAGGCATACGGAGTTGGGCGCGAGTTTGGGGAGCTTGGCTAACAGTGAGGGCAGGTATTGGCGTTGTTGCCGGCTACGGCTGGTGGTACGGTACGTGATATCATCTAGGACTTGCAACTGCGAAGCGTGTTGCTGCAACAAAATCTACAACTCGACACTTACGTTCCAAGGCTACCACGTCCCCGCCGTTCGTCACCGTGACGCTTTCTACCAGAAGCTCGAGGACGAGCGCGCATCGGCTCTGGGCCAGAAATAGACGACGATTGTGCGAACGTGGGCATGATGTCTTTGTCAATTAATCATCGGATGATGGAAAGGATGATGGCTGTGGATTGGGTGCATCCCAGGTAGAGTGGAGTCATATAGAGCAAGCCAAATCAAACACGGTCAAACAGCCCTACACGTGTGTTTTTTTGCATGCAGTCAAATCTTCATATTACATCTTGTGTCTTTTTGGATAAAACTGCAACTTGCAATGCTTGCAGAGAATGCAATATGCCCACTGTCGTCTATTTGACACAGCATAGTCATGTTCAAACGGATGATCATGTCAGGAGTGATACAGAAGAGGGGCTCTGTATGGTATGGGTAGATGGCCAGATGAGATGAGAGATTGAATTGGCATCTCAAGGGGCAGCCATGAGCATGTGCAGGCATCAAGGGTGTTGGTGTGCCTGCTGTACATGTGTTGTTGATGACTGAGATTGGTCACATGACCAGGGTGAAGATGAACATCAGGTTGGGCAGTGGAGCCTTGGGCAACATCCGACGGCGGTGCATGCAAAGAGGGCCAGGGAGTGGTTGGGCGATGAATAGTGATTCGGGGGGTACGAGGCGGCTTGTACTGAAGCAGCATGCAAAGCAAGAATAGGTTGGCGCAGTTGACAGCGGCATCCGCGACGGGCCGGGAAGCAGTGAAGTGGATGGGTTATGGTACTCTAGCTTGAAGGAGGCGTGACGTGGGCAGTGGGCAAGGAGGCATGACGCGATATGCAAGCATGGAAACAGGTACATGTGTGTGTGTGTGTGGGTGGGTGGGTGTATGTGTGTACTTACAGGGCGATTCGCACTGGGGGCAGAGATGGCGAGGGCGTCTGATGACCGTGGGGGTGTGAAGCAGCGGTGGCCGAGCAGGAAACGTGTCGGGCAAGGCGTGCGATTGGCTGCATGGCTGGCTTGGTTCGTTCCCTGGCGATCACGACCAACCCATGGTGGTGGCTGCAGGGGAGCGAAGGGCACTGGCCGCCAAGGATCGACGTGAACCCAAAGCGTGGGCAGGCCAGGCAGGATTCAGCAGCCATTTGCACACGTGGATCGAACGAAGCCGACGATGGAAGAGCAGGCGTGCTGAGGGTGAGTGTGAGCAGCGGAAGCGGCAAGGGGCAGGCAGAAAAAAGCAACATCAGGGGGAGTGGTTATCAAGGTCGAGCTGGGAACCAGAGGCGAGTGCTTTGACAGCGGCCTTGCTGGCTCGGAACGGGGGGTGGATTCCTGGCGTGCGGCGTCCTAGCGTCAGATGCTAGTCTTTCGCCATGCGCTAGGGCAACGGGTAGTCGATCTAAGAGGCAGATTGAGGGTGGGCGAGATGCGACGTTTCTGTGTTTGAGCAAGGAGGGCAGGGGGGGGGATGCGAGAGTAGCCATGTGTGGTTTTGTGTTGGGCGAAACGGAGGCGCTGTAAGGGCGGGCATGGAGGCCACGTGGTGGAGAGGGAGAAGGGCAGCAGGGGGAGCGGCGGAAGCAGCGGCGGTGGGTTGAGAGGATGAAGGTGGTGGTGGTGAGGGAGGGGACTTGAGTTGGGAGTTGACCTGGGTGGTGACTTGGGAGATTAGTAGAGCGACTTGGCTGGGGTCTAGGTCATTTGGGCGGTGCGAGGTAAGCAGATTGGACATCTGCCCTGATCACCGGCCGAGCGAGGAGCGGGGCGTGAGTGGGCTTTTGCGCATCGTCGACGCCATGGCGTGCGGGCGGGCCATGGGCACCGGGGTTTTGATCACAGCAGAGGGTGAAACGCGGGTGGGCGGGCGTCGACACAAGAGCAGCACAGGCAGGCCGGGTTGCAGCATTTGTAAAACAAGAGGCAAACCTAGTGGAATGGGCGCGGGTGCAAGCGCGTGAGCAGCACGAGGGCAGTTTGGAGGGTGCGGAAGATAGGGTGGGGACATGGAGGCGGCACTAGGACGGCCTGTCGAGGGCGCGCGCCTGTCGCCTTTCCGCTGCGAGGCTTGGGCGGGGGCTGCCCAGATGGCTTGCTGCTGCTGCTGGCTGTCAGTCAGTCGCTCCGTCAGGTGTGCAGCCACAGATGGCGACCAGGGTCAGGCTGGTGACTCGGCGCGTTGCGTGGGTGCGTGGTCGACAGACGGGCGGGCGGGCGCTGCACTGCTCGCCGCCGTGTGGGTGGGCAGGCTGCGTGCAGCGCACACCAGATGCCATGGACACATGTATACATGTATACATGTAGCATACACACATGTGCACCCACGTACTTGTACGCTGCACACACGCATCGCCATGCTCTGCACACACATGGCCGACTGGCGCTGCACGCATGGCCGGCGCTCTGCTGCGGCGGCGAGACGAGGCGCTAGCCCGCTTCGGGCCCAGTGCAGGCCTCGCTGAGCGTTAGAAGACGGGGGGGACTGGCTAGCACGCATAGCGATCCCTGCAGGCAGGTGCGACGGCGCCGGGCGCACTTGCTCTGTGCATGCCCTGCACCTGCCTGCTCAGCCAGCACGCCCGACTGCTGCTGCTGCCATTGCTGCTGTCGCTGCTGCCGTTGCTGCTGTCGCTGCTGCCGTTGCTGCTGTTGCTGTGCTGCTGCCGCTTCGTCGCCAACCACAGCACCGTGACGAAACTCGGAGAACCGCCGCTGCCTGCCTGCGACGCGTCCTCGTCCTCGTCCTCGTCCTCTGCTTCGCCCTGCCCTGCCCGGCCCTGCCCCTGCTCTTACCCTCTCCTCTCTACTCGACGCCCGCACTGCTTACCACCACGTTTCCCTCCTTCCCTCCCCCCCCCGCCCCATCGCTGCCCTCTTTCGTCTGCATCGACGCGCACCCCCCGGCCTCTGCCACCGCACACAATCTAGGCGCCTTAGGCTTGGATGCTGCGACTGCTGCGACTGCTGCTGCGCTAACGCCGCCGTCGATCACACACCAACGAGCCGCAGCTGGCGAGCTGTCGACTTACTGCTACTGCTGCCGCCGCCGTGCCCTTGCCCTTCACCCTTCACCCAAGCCTCACTCGTCGTGTTGGCTGCATGCTGGCCCTGCTCTCACCCCATCCTCCTCTGCCCCCACAGCCTGCCTGCTCTCGTCCACGCACGCACACACACACACACACACACACACACCACCCTCTCTCGACATAACCCACATCGACTACTCTCTCCTCTCCTCCCTCAGGCCCGTCATCTTCACCGCCCGCCCGTGGTGCCTCTCACTCGCCTACTCGACGCCCGTGCCCGTCCCGCCGCCTGCCGTCTGCCCCATCACTCCAGTCCGCGTCCTGCATGAGTGTTGCTCTTCTCTACACCTCTGCGGCACCGCACCGCCGTGTCTAGAGCCCACCGCACCGCACCGCCAGCCAGCCAGCCAGCTAGCGCGTCCCTAACCCTTTGCGCGTCGCCATGAACAACCCAAACATGCAACAGAACGGCATGCAGCAGGGTCGCGCCACCGCCGGCATTCACCACTTTGTCCAGCACTATCGCGTCCAGCAACAGCAGGGCAAGATCCCAACAGGATGGCAGCAGACGACGTCGCCCGACGAGCGCGGCCAGCTCGCCCTACAGTTCTTTACCCAGTACCGCCTGCTCAAGCCCGAAATCCCAGAGGTCGAGTCGATGCGAGCCGCCCTCCAGTTTGAGACGCAAAACTTCATGTCCGCCCCTTCCAAGGAACAGTACCTCTCGCAAATCAAGCAGAAACTCATCGTCATGACAACCGCACGGCAACAGCAGCTACAGCGCCTCCAGGGCGGCATGCCAAACAACATGAACAACGCCATGAACGGCATGACTCCAGCCCAGATGAACATGATGAACCAGATGGGCCAGCAAGGCGCGCGCCAGCCCCAACCACAACAGTTCAACCCAGCATTTCCCAACGCTCAGCTCCAGCGCCCCATGCAAGTCTCCCCCGTCCCCATGACACAAGGCCAGTCTTCCATGGGCGTCAACGGAGCCAACCCTGTCAACATGGCCCAAAACCAAAACGCTCAGCAACCAAACATGCAACCGAATCAGCAGCAAACCCGACAGGAGCAGTTGATTATCAACCAGTTTGCCAAGAAGTTGATGGATACTTGCAAAGAGGAGGTTCGCGTCAAGTTTGAAAATGATGTCCGCGCCTGGCCTGAAGACAAGAAGCAGCAGTTGCTCAACCAAGGAATCAACCCCCTCTTCCTCCGCTTTCGTCAGCATGCTGAGATGCTCTACCGAAGGGGCGCGCTGAATCAGCCCGCAGCTGGTCAGAATAATGTCGCCATGCAGGGAACACCTCAGCAGAACCGCATGCAGGGACAGCAGATGAATATGAATCAGCGCCAAGCCAATCAGGATTTCGATTTCACTGAAATCGCCAATCGGCAAATGGAGGCTATGCGAAGCCAGGACCAAGGTACAACCGTAGTACCTGCGAGCAACAACCCAAACAACGGTGGGCAAATGGGTGCATTCCAAGGCCAGAATCCACAACCTGGCCAAGCTCCAAATGCAATGGCACAGCGCCAGGCAGAAGCATTTCACCGCCAGGCACAAGCACAGCAAGCACAGCAAGCACATGCTCAAGCTCAGGTGCAGGCGCGATTAGAACAACAGCGCCAACAGCAAGTAGCCCAAGCAGCGCGTAATCAGCAGAACCAGTTGCTGCAAGGCCAGATTGGCGGCTTGAACCTCCCGCAGGGCACCCAGCAACCCAGTCCTGCCATGCCTATGCTGAATCGGCCAATGCCTCCACCAGGTCAACCAGGCCCACCAGGAACGCCGCAGCAACGTCCGCCCCAGGCTCATGTCCCCATCATGACACCCCAGCCCGGGCAGACTGATCCAAACTTGACCGAGCTCATGCGACAGGCGCAACAAAGAGCTGCTGCTGTCCAACAGGCCAACCAGCAACCGCTGACTGATCAAGTCCGCATGAGCATGATGCCCCCTGACCTGGATGCTTCTGTAAAGCAGCAGCTACTCAAGGTGCCAGAGCATCAGTTTCGCGTCATCCTCCAGAGCTACATGATGAATTTGCGTAGGAATAACGGCGGTATGCCCAACGGAGCATTCCCAACTGGACAGCCGAACGGAGGCCAGCCAAACATGGCCTTCAACCAGCAACAACAACAGCAGCAGCAGCAGCAACAACAACAACAACAACTCCAGCCTGGCGTTGCTGGTCAAATGCTTGGCGGACCTGGCATGCAGGCAATGGTTCGACCTGGTATGAATCTCGCACAGCCACCACCTGGTACTGGTCCTCAGAATCCCATGGGTGCCCAGCGCGGTCCTATGCCGAACCAGCAACAACGTGTTGCTGCTGCATCTAACTTGCTCCGTGCCAATCCTGGCATTATACATACTACTGATCCTAAGCCATTCCCTCCCAACGTGCTAAACGCGCAAATTCGACAAAGCCTTCCACCAGACGTCAGAACTTGGCAACAGCTCAAAGCCTGGGCTAGTCAGAACCCTGCTTTAGTACCTGGTGTCGACGGTCAAAAGTTACTCATGTTGCAAGTTCTACACTTCCAAGACATGGTCAGGCAGTCGAATGGCGTCGCTGGCGTCCATCCAACACCACAGCCTGGCCAGGGACTCGTCCCACCAGGGCAGATCAACCCAAATCAAGGCCCTGTCAGGACACCTCAGCAGCAGCCGAATATGCAGAACATGGCGGCACTCCAGGTCACTCCTCAAGAGTTGCAGCAGTTCCGCGCAAGAATGGTTGGTCAGCCACAAGCCAACCTGCCAGACGACCAATTGCGCGGCCTTATGATCTCCATGAGGATGAAGAACCTTCAACAGCAGAGACAGCAGCAGCAGCAGCAGCAATCCGCCATGCTCAACCAACAAGCTCAACGTAACCAAGCCCAACCTGCCGTCCCCATGGCTGCACAGCAACAACCACAGCATCAGCCCAACCGGCCACCTGCGGCGCAACCGCAAACACAAGCGACACCCCAGCCTAAACCAGCAATGAAGCCACAGCAAGCACAACCCACACAGTCGCTTCCCAACAACAACAATGCCAATAACAATGCCAACAACAACAACAATACTGTGAACAAGGGTACGAAGAGGTCACATGAGGATACCATGGAGACTAGTAATGAGACCACTCCACAAGCTCCTCCTATGACTTCTTCAAAATCTCAGCCTGGTCTTAACCTCACGCAAGAGCAAATGTCTAAGCTCACCCCAGCTCAACATGCGCAGTACAGAGCGCAGTTGCTGAAAGCTCAGGATGCATCCAACAACAAGATGCAACAACAGCGCGGCGGCATGCTCAACTCTGAGGAGCTTCGGCAGAGAATGAGTGATCCTGCACGCATCCGGCAGTTCAAGCAAATGATGGAGGAGGTGGAGAAGAGCATACCCGCGAAGCAGCCAATCGCACTGCCACCAGCAGCTCGTACCGCTCTACAGAAATCGCTAAAGGAACAGTTCCAACGTCTAAAACAGTCGGACCAAGCACTTCGCATCTTCCATGCCTCGTACGATACCAACGAGCCCGAACCAGTCATTCGTCAAATCATGCGATCGCGCGCGCTTTTGTTTAAGCAAATCAATGAGGCCGATGGCACTCTGCATCCTCAGGTGACACTGACAATCGACGAATTTAAGAATCACTTGAGCACGATATTCAAGTTTGTCATCAAGATTCAGGAGAAGGTTAAGCAACAAACACAGGGTCAGGGCCCAGCTGCCCAGCAATCCCAGCCTCAGGGTTCGAATGCCTCGCCTGCCCAACTTAATGCTGCAAATCTGAAGATCGTAGAACAACAAAACCGCAACCAAAAGGCCCCGTCCGCCCCAACGACCGACCGACCACCGTTTGCCATTGGCGCCGACCCCGGCCATGGAGCCGCGCATTACTTTGAGGGAGCAAGACCAGTCACGAACCTCGTGTTGCCTGAAAAGAAGCGTGCGAAACTCGAAGCAGGCAGCCAATCGTCGACCCCCGCTGCTAGAGCCTCTCCTCACATCGGCTCAGGCAACTCGCCCGAACTCAGGAGACAGCCAGCACCCGACAAGCAAGTACCACAAAGACCGACATTCCGATGCAACGATGCGACGTGCGAATACTCGGTACGGGGCTTTGATACCCAGGCCGAACTCGACTTGCACAGCCAAATACACGCAAAGGTCGAAGATCCGATGCAGTTCGCTCTCGACTCCATGGCTGAATACCTCGACATTGACCAAAAGACTGGCGAAGCGAAGACGGACCCTAATGCCTCCAAGTCGACGCCAAAGGCAGCACCAGCTACCCTGCGAGCACCGCCGCAAAACATCAAGACGGAGCAAACCCCTGGTGCTTTGCAGAATGCTGCTACGCCTGTCGGACAAACAGCAACAGCCTCGGCCATGGCGCGCGTGCCGACACAGACTGGGGTCAAGGACTCGCCGTCGTCTAATCTGCTAAAGACGCCGCAAACCATGACCAAGGTGACTACTCCTGGCTCAGGTGCGCGAGGCAAGGCTACGCCAGCCAGCATTCCCAAGTCTGTACCAAAGGAGCAGCAAGCGGCAGCGTCGGAACCAGCAGCAAAGGAAGAAGAGCAACAGCAACAGCCACTGCTGCCCATGTCGCTTCTCGACTATTCGTACGAGGATACGTTTGCAGCTCTGGATGCAAATGGGCCCTTTACCGTACTTGATCTCAAGGACGAGGACAATGCCTGGGCGCTTCGCTCTCGGCCCGCCTCACCGTCGACTACGCCCGAGTCTTCTTCCAAGGACACGCCGTCTACGAGGCAATCGGATATTTCGGAGAATGACAACCTTGTCATTAGCATTGATCTTAAGGATGCGGACATGCCTGACGCCTGGGCCGTCGGCATGTACGGCGACGCACTTCCGGTGGACCTGCAACTATCGGAAGACTTGCAAAACCTCGGTGTTATGCTTCCTCCCATGGACAGCGAGGATATGATGTTATTTCCCGACTACGGAAACGGAACCATGATGGACCTCGACATGCTCGAGAAGACTATGGATAGTATGGGTGGAACACTTGATGCACCTATTGTAGGTGTTTGATTTTTGAAAATTTAACTTCTCGGGGGGGCTTTTTTGTTTTATCTTGTTCTTTCTTCTAGCGTTGCTCGAATTTTATCTGCAATGTTTTCCAGTGCGTCTGTGTTGTTGTTGTTGTTGTTGTTGTTTTCAGAATTTCCCCATGACCTTTGGACCAATATTTTTTTTTCTCTCTTTCTTTCTAACCTACCACGCAATGTATTACCACCTTCTCTTGTTACTTGCATCTCGGTATTTCCCCCCGCCCACCTACCCAACCCACCTGATTTCTTTTCTATTTGCTTGGATGTAAGGAGTTTGGAGGCTCACATTCTCTTATCCTCGATTTGAGTTTTTTTTTTAACGGCCGAGATACCGTCGGAGTTTTTATGGGGAAATGCGAAATTTATGGGTGCGTTTGCTCTCTTTTTTGCTTTGACCTTTTTTTTTGTCTTTTTTTGGCTACACGAGTGGAAATGCGAATACAAACTGGCTCCCATTTTCTTGGTGTTTCTTTGTGGGGGTGTTTATTTTGATTTTCCACAAAGAGTTCATTATATCTTTCTCTACTATGTCATCTTGATTTCTTGGTTGATTTTTTCGTTCAGTGACACAAATGTCTTTGTTGCGTGCGTGTTTTGTTTGATTGACTGAAGATTCGGATTAATTATATACCCCCTTTTATCGATTGATATCCCCCTTCCCAATTTATGTAACTTGTCGTCTTTTCATTTTCCCCTATGCAACAACAATCTGCTAGAAGAAATTTTTCTACAACAATTTATTCTGCGTTTAGATGGAGAGAGAGAGAGAGAGAGAGGAAAGAAAATATGACCAACCCACTTTGACGTATTCCAAAAATGAAAAAAAAATACAAACTTGTGCTACAATAATCCACTCTATCCACTCTACCATCTCAATCTTACCCCCCCCCAATACACACACCTTTTTTTTCCCCTCCCCTCCCTCCGTCACCCTACACCTACACATTAACAAACACCTCTCTCCATCGCCATCCCATACCGCAAAAGCAACCCCCCCCCGTCCCTCTCCATCGCCACTCTACAACCCAATCATTCAGCGTACGTAACAATACCGGCGTTCACAGCCACATACATTGGTGTGGTAGATTGAGCCAGGTAGTAAGTATATCCCGAGGAGTGATTGCATATGTAGGCATACGTATGGGTACTCGCAAGTCGAATTGGACGGGGGGACAGGGACAAGGGAGTGAGGGGTGGTGATGGTGGGTTAGCAAGGATAGGGGTTGAGGGATCGAGAGTGGGATCAAGGCGGGAAGGGGAAGGGGGGGGATGGGGATCCGGGGGTGGATGCAGATGGGTGGGGGGAGAGTAATCGTGATTTGGAAGTAGAGCTATGTATGGAGGAGATGGGTTGAAGGGGGGGGGGGTTAAAAGGGATTGTTGTTGGTGGGAATTGGGGAGAGGGGCGAGTGGCCAAGGGGGATAGGGAGGTATGAGGAAGTGTTTTTTGGTGCAAGTCCAAATGTGGGTAAAGTTTTGTAGCACACGGTAATGGAGATGTAAGTATACAGCTGCACATCTCATGTGTAGAGTAAGGTGTATTCAAACACAGCAGTAGTAATGGTGATTTCTTCTTCGCCTGAACAACGGAGGGGGGGGGGGGGGGGCAACGGCAGCGGAAACGGCACATAGAAACCCGGCTTGGTAGGATTTCTTATCGAGATACACTACTGTTACATACGGGCCCACCACATAAAAAATCGATGCGAATGGCGGGTTTCCCATCGACGGCCAAAGGAGCCGTGAGATGGTGACGTCACTATTGTACGTGCAAGAGCCCACGACCAACGCACAAGGGAAAACAAAGACGAGACAAGAAGCAAAGAAGAAAGAAAGAAAATTTCTCAAAAGACCGTTGTAGGTTGGGCGCATGGATGCAATTGGCAAAGGGGATATGTGACGCAACAAACGACCGAAAAACGGGCCGCTTGGGGTAAGCCAAGCGAATGATTGCCATGTTTTGTTTCCTTCCGTGTGGGATGCAGATGCACATGGGTGATGTGAGCAAAACGTTTGCTGACAATGGCAAAAGTGCGCGGGGTTTGTGAGCCATGACGAGCGGATGGATGGGTTCGCCCCGCAATCGTCAAAGGGGGGGCAAAAATGCCACATGACCCGTCTTTTTGGCTCCGTGGAACTAGAACGTCGTCTTGCCTCTAATTCGAGGTCGGCGAAGACCCTGATGTTCAACCATGGTACATGTGCCATACGTGTTTGTTGAGAAATGGCGTGGTTTTGACACGGTGCGACAAGCCCACATGTCCCACGAGCGAGAAAGCAAGCGAAGCGGTTTGCCTTTACACACACATGCACTAACTGGTACCATGGTACGGCGGACGCCTTCCCCTTGGTTTGGTTGCATTGCATGTCCCAACGACAAGGGATGAACGCCTCGATAGTGTATATCGGAGAAAAAAAAAGATCGAGGTGACGTTGCCCCAGGTGCACACCAACAGTCTATACTACTACACTTAGGTTGCGGGAAGTGAAGGCGGAAGATAAAACAAAAAAAAGGAAAAAAAAATCTTTGGGCGGTATGACGTTGAGCGCAATGCATGGCCGAGTGGCGACTTACACTAGATACATGCTGGAGTATGTAGCTACTGTCCACTTACATGTCCTGTCTGGGTTTGACTATCGACCTACATGCAGGGAGCCAACAGAGGAAATCGCATGGCGCAACGACGGATGCGAGGAGCTATTCTCGGCGAGCTGGGGTGCAAGGGGACGCCACGCGGGTCATTGCTGCGAGGATGACTTGCACGGCAAGATGAAGATGTGTCAGCGCCTTGCTGTGAAAAGGTAGCGTTGGACGGTTAAGGACGTCGTGGAAATGCTAATCAAGTGTCGTGCGGAAAAGCTGCTATTTGCGGACACAGTAGTATGAGATGGGAAAGTGGCCTGAGCGGTGAGGGCAAGGCTTTGGGCGGTGAGAATGGTAGTGGTTGGTGAGACATGACCATGGACAGGGTCTAAAGGGGTGGGTCTGGGGTAGAGTGGGCATCTGGTTCTGCTCGGGTGTGTAGCCAGCTTGCGAGAATCTTGGGTAGCGATATGTGGTCGGGGATGGCTAGGTATTATAGGGGAGATGCTAGTAAGCAGGCGGGACTTTGTGTTTGTGATAAAATACGCTTGTGGAGATTGGAAATTGCGATGATCATGCTAACCAAGACGAGCCGAATGCAGTGGCCCAAGACGGCTAGGAGGGCAGGGCGATTTCGCTAAGATTGCCGCGGCTCGTTGCAGTTGCCCCCCATCAGGGCGTCTTTGGCTTTGGGCGTGCATGGGGGTGCTGGAAGCCAACACCAAGAAGCAGACAGATGCGCGTCACGGCCAGCATGTAGACAAAGGGGATGTTGCCAATGTCAATGGCATTCCAGTGCCAGAAGCTCCAGTAAATGTGGACGCCGAGTGGCAAGACCGTGTACAGGTGCCCAAAATCGGCGAGCAGCAGGCCGATGAGAAAGGTTTTCCAGACTTTGACGTCTGAAGTGGCGCGCAGGACTGAGGCTTCGAGAAAAGCAAGGCCGAGATACATGTTTGCCAATTGAGTCAGGACGATTTTTGTTGGGATGGGGACGAGTGCGTCTGGGGCGCTTGGGGCGTGCATGGTAAGGTCCAGGTAGGTCGTCTGGAAGCATGCTGCATACACGGCGCCGAGTAGAATGGAACATGGTTCTATCCACAAAAAGACGAAGCGGTAGAAGCCGGGTATTGCTAGTGCGGGTGGAGCGGCAGCCGGCATGTTTGAGTCCAAGTGGTTTGGTTTCGAGTGGTGTAGACGCGACTCAGCCCAAACCCGTCGCAGAGCGGGCGTGCCCGGCGGTGGTGGTAGCAAGAGGGTGGTAGTGTTGCAGTGTGAGGCCGGGATGTGGAGGATGATGGGGGGGGGGGGTGTTGGAGAAGGGAGAGAGGTGAGGGGAGGATGGTAAGCGATGAAGAAGCAAGGGGGGGAAGTGTGCCAGGAATAGTAGAGGTGAAAGAAGCAGTGCAGCGGTGGCAGGCAGTGGCGATGCAAGCAAGCAGCAATGGATGGATGCAGCGGTAGCGGAAGCAGCAGCAGTAGCAGCGGCAGCGGCAGCGGCAGAAGAAGAAGAAGAACGAGCAGAAGAAGAACGGGGTGACAATGGGGTGTGGCGGTGATGGCGGTGATGATGGTGTTGTGGTGTGCATGAGCAGCAAATTGCCAGGGGTGGAGCCGCGAGACACTTGTCGCCGCCGTCGCTGTGTTATGATCGGCTGGCACTAGCTAAGCAAGCACAGCGGTGCGACGGAATCTGGCGCTGGCTGCTTCTACTTCGTTGGCTCCTCTGCCCTCGTTCGCCTCGTGCTAGTCTTCTCTCTACTTACTCTTTTCTTACTTATGCTGCTCCTCTGCCCGTGAGCTCCGCCCTTGTTCCGCATCCTTGCTCTGCCGCTACAATTTCCTTCACCCTCATTTCGCCGCACCCTCGTGGTTGTGCACGCTCTCTACCCGGCCCCGTCTCCGCCCTGGCCTGCCCGTTGCTGCTCTCTCCTTAGTCTGCCCGACAACGCTCCCTGTTTCCCCGTCTCTACTGCTGTTGCTCACGCTGCTGCTACTGCTGTGACATTACGCCTCGCTTTTTGTTTCGGTCTCATCCTCACCGCAACTCTTACCCGCTCCGGCCGACACGCCTCCAATGTATCGCAGGCAGTCTATCCTGTCGCATCGACCCAAAACCTCTTCCGACGTAGACGCTGAATCCTCCTCCTGCGCTGCCAACACGACAAACTTTGGAAGCCACCACGCCACCCCCAGCGGCGCCAACAACAACACACACGCCACTGCTAACAGTAACAACATCAACAACAACATCAACACCACGACCCCTATCCCTTCGTCGCCGCCCCACACCATGAAGAGGACCATTTCACAGACCTTCCCGGCCCCCTATCACTCCGACATCAAGGACACCAACATGCTCGATGCCGTCAACGAAGCCACAATGTCCATTGACGGCTCTTCGCAGCACTCGCAGACCAGCTCCTTCTCGCGCGCCTTTGGTGCCGTTGCCGGCAGCTTCACACGCCAAAAGACACGCAGGCGAATGTCGTCAGTCTCTTCGCCGACACCTGCACAGCGCCGCCGCGGTTCCATTCACTCCCTCTTCGAGTCCCTGCCCTCGTCGAGCTCAACACAGTCCAAGCCCAGCGCCGATCAACCACGCATGCCCCTTGTCCACCAAGATTCTGGAATCCCCGTCTTCCAAATGCAGCCACAATCCGCCTCGTCAAGCTCAAAGGCTTTTGCTCCCTTTCGGCGATTGAGCAGCATGCGCCGCCGCCCCAATGCTTCTTCATCGTCAGCCGACATGACAAAGACTGTCTTTGCCGCCCCAGTCTCGTACCCCAGTCAAGCCATCCCCGGCACCGCAGCACGACAAGCAGCTGCAGCCGCCAACCAGGACCGACAAAACCAGCTCCGCCGCGAGCAAGAGCACACGCGAAGCTTTCTCGACGGCCTTATTCCGTCATCGCGTGATGACGACATCAAGGACAACGAGAGCGGCGTGGACATGACGTGTGCATCGCCTATTGTTCGGGCGGATAGTGTCACCGAGAAGAAGATGAGTGAGTTGTTGCATCCACTCGCCAGCCGACCTTCGCTAACCACCCCAGTCGATCCGTTCCAGCGTCTCCCAGCCGAACTCGCTACCACTGTCCTCTCCAACCTCGACGCTGCCTCGCTTGTCCGTGCTGAGCGGGTATCGCGCAGCTGGAACGAGCATGCCGCGTCGCCCCACGTCTGGCGTAATGTCTTCCTCCGCAAGCACGAGCCCGAAGTACACGTCTCACCTGCGCCAATCCAAATGGGCGGCCTGGGCACTGGCAAGATGGCGGGCGGAAACCCAGCACCTGCACAAGACTGGAAGAAGATGTTCCAGGCGAGAGCCACCATCGACGCCCGATGGAAGGCAGGCACGCCTGCTGCCATTTACTTGAACGGCCACACAGATAGCGTCTATTGCTGCCAGTTTGACGAGAACAAGGCCATCACCGGCTCCCGCGACCGCACCATTCGTGTGTGGGACCTCCAGACGTACAAGTGCATCAAGGTATACGGCGGCCCTAACCACCGTCCCACCGCCAACACCCCTCCACCTATGGAGGAGCGACCAGAGCGTGTCATCAGCAACGCCTCGATGAACGGCACAAAGATTGGCAACGACATCTACACAGTCCCCGCTGATTACCACGACGCGTCCATTCTCTGCCTCCAGTACGACAGCGAGATCATGGTCACTGGTTCTTCAGACTACACTTGCATTGTTTGGGATATCACAGGCGAGGAATACGTTCCCATGTACAGGCTGCGTGGCCACGAAGCTGGTGTTTTGGATGTCTGCCTCGACGACAAGTACATCATCTCGTGCTCCAAGGACGCCATGATCAAGGTCTGGGACCGCAAGACTGGCAACTGTCTCCGCACCCTCAAGGGCCACCGAGGCCCGGTCAACGCTGTGCAGCTTCGAGGCAACTTTCTCGTCTCTGCCAGCGGCGACGGTGTAGCCAAGCTGTGGAACCTCGAGACTGGTGTCTCAATCAAGGACTTTCCATCCGAAGACCGCGGCCTTGCTGCTGTCGAGTTCTCCGATGATGCCAAGTACGTACTCGCCGGTGGTAACGACCACGTTGTCTACAAGTTCGACGCGTCTACCGGCGAGCTTGTGCACAGCAGGGTCAAGCACGACGGCCTTGTCCGTTCGCTTTTCCTCGACGCCTTCAACGGACGCATTGTATCAGGATCATACGACCAGAGCATCCAAGTCTCTGATTACGAAACCGGACAGACATATGCCGTATACAAGAACTGGACAACGAGCTGGATTCTATCTGCTAAGAGCGATTATAGGCGAGTAGTGGCTACGAGCCAAGACGGCCGAACGCTGATCCTGGACTTTGGCCACAATGTGCCAGGATCTGAACTGCTCGTCGGATCCAAGTGAGACGTTTCCAGTTTGACCTGCACGCATGCGGTCAAGATCGTGTTTGGAATCGAGGTCACCACCCACCTTGCTATTATTCCCACTCACACGGCTCTTCCCGCCTTGCCTCTTTCTGCTCTATGAATCTATACGTATTATGACGTTAGCAGACGGCTTGTATGGGACATGACGCTGGTCTCAAGGGTTCCCGTGACGAAATTGGTGGGTTTAACAAAAGTCGAGGATTGCTGGTCCCGGAAAAGAAGAGTGTTGCTTTTTTTTTGAGTTTGCGTATAGCATGCACATTATGGCGTTGTTCATTAACCTTGCAAAAACTGCGGGGTGGGTCATATTTCCCCCCCTTTTTTTTCCCTTACTTCTTCTTCTAATCTCTTGTCATCCACAATCATCATACTTTGCATTATACTAACATATGCTTGCGATTCATTCTCTTTTTTTCTCGCACCCTCACTCTTGCTCATGTTCTGTTTTTAGCGGCTTCATAGATTTCCCATTCGCTTTTTTCCCTTTAATGCATTGTTTATTCACTTTAGTCATGGCGGTCATTCCTTTTTATCTAGTTTATTTCGGGCATGGAGTGTTGGAGGTATATAGATGTGCAGATGACGCGGGACGAGCGGAGGGGAAACAATACGCTCTTTGATTCAGTATTACTCCTTATGAATTTGTGCACTGCGCCCAACGTGAGATTGTGGATGCTATATTGTTGAGCACTATTGCCTAGGACTCTCTCTGCCTCAAACTCTAAGCACGCATGTACGTCGACATGCACAACGTCCACTCCTCGTGTGCTTATGCTTTTTTTTTTCCTTTGCTGGTGCAGTTGAAGATTGTGATTGTGTGTAACGCGTGGTTGATTCTATCTACCTCAAACGCCACAAAAACGTAAAAACAAAGCATGCTTCCTTATCACGTTTGTCTTACCTGCAATGTATGTACAACGCACAACAACCACGGCGTTGGCAGCCCCACACACCGATATCGTCAGTATTCATCCCCCATTTGCATGCACATGCATGCAATGCAATGCAAACCCACAATTTTTTTTAGCCCCTCCCCACACCGTCTCCGTGTACGGGTTAAAGGAAAATCAAGACTCCACCCGTACATTTTCCATTGAACAACCCTGTAGCAACCTAGCCGTTCGCTTAAAACTTGAGGTCGGTGTTTTTAGGTTGGGTTCGTTATTTTTTTTTTGTCTCCCGCTATTAACACCACACACACAAAGTCATCGTATCCTTCTTCATCCCTATCGAAACCAAAGCAAACGATGGGGGTGGCGAAATGGAAAACAAAACGAAGTTCATGTAGAAAAAAAAAAAAATCAAATACAACGGTGGATATTTTTTTTTAGAGGTCACTTACTATCCAAAAACTCTTACCTCTCTTTTCTACTCTTCAAGCCCCCCTCCCTACCCGAAAAAATAATAATCTCGCGTTGAATTTTTCATTCTTGAATCGAGAAAACGAGGTACTCACACTTACACACTACTTACCTACAAACACTAGATTGTATCCATCCATCCTCCCCAAGCACACAAGATACAAGTATCAGCCCCCCTATCTACCTAAAACTCTCTCTCTCTCTCTCTCTCTTCTCTCTTTCTAAAAAGTGGCACTCACCCTTGCAAATGGAATGATGGGTGTGGATTTGGAATGTGTGCCAAGTACAAACTATGTCGGTACATGGGTTGGGGGGGGTTTTTTTTTTCTTACTCGGTGGGGTATGTATGGATAGTGCCTGAGGGGTGGGATGGGGTGGGGTAGAGTTTGCTAGGAGGGGGGGAAGTTGGATAGGAGGGAGGGAAGGGATGGAGAGGATGCGGGGGGAAGAAGAAGAAGAAGAAGAAGAAGAAGAAGAAGAAGAAGAAGAAGAAGAAGAAGAAGAAGAAGAAGAAGAANGAAGAAGAAGAAGAAGAAGAAGAAGAAGAAGAAGAAGAAGAAGGCGTGGGTCCGAGGTAGAGATTGTGGTGAAGCGTTTAGTTAGTATTGTGATTTGTTTTACTGGTGCGATTTTGCTGGGGGGTGAATGCTAGTTGCTTGAGTATTTGCGATTTACTATTCTATTCTGGCTGTTTTCTTTTGCTCGCTATGATTACTGCTCTTGGCTAAACCCTATTGCTGCGATTTTGCTGGCTAACGTGGCTTCTCTATCTTGATGTGACTGCTGACCGCTGCGGTTTACTAGTTGCTAGGGATAGGAGAGGAAATTCTCGTATTCACCAAATGACTGGATGGAGCTGAGGAGGAAGAGTCCAAATATCTTAGTATAGCTCTGATCAATGTCAGTACAAGTACCTGAAGCTATGCACTTTGCGTTTCTTCTTTTAGAAAAGGTCACTTGGGTTGCTCGTAATACAACTAAAGTCGCAATCATCATAGCAATCAGCAATCAAGAAAACATATTGAACCAAGTAAAACTAATACTTTTAAAGGCGTGACAGAGACTCTATTGATCACAATTGTATCAACTAGACCTCTAGCCTTCACCCTCTCAGATACACTAACATAGTGCGAACCTATATTCACACGACTACCTATCCATCAAAGGACAGTTCCCTCCAGAAAGACAATAAATACATGCATGCATACATATGTGCATGTAAGACCAGTTTTAAACAAAAAAACAGGAGGCGTAGAACCGGAGCAGTGTTTGCTCAGCTTTAATAACGCCAAAAAGGGTATGGAAACAACCACATTTCGCTCCTAAGCCCAGGGCTCAAAAGCGATAAGTCGTCAGAGAATGGAAAACACGCCGACCAAAAACAAAACACACGTTCAAAGTAAACGGGAACAAGAAGCGTAGTTTGAAGAAACAAAAAAAAAGACAAGACATTATCTTTATCGGGCCAAGCCAGCATGAGGCCGACCGGATTAGGGACAGTATGAGGGTGAGTGAGGAAGGCCATTTGTCCGACAAAGAATCCAAAGGGTATAACTGAGACCAGATGGCCGACCCAAAACCAGCTGTGAGGTGCTGGCAAGCAAGCCCCCCAAAAAAGAAAACCAAACAGTATGTGCATTTTCATGCGTGTCGTGAATAAAGTATAAACAAAGGGTAAACAGAGAAGCAGAGGCTAACAGGTCGTTCAAACATTCTCGGTGAATTTGCTTGAGCGCGACCCGTCGGCCGAGGGCAAGCTTCTTCCGAGCGTACCTCTAGGAGGCAGGTCACCGACAGGAGAATGTGGCGGGCTGAGGTGGTGGCGATCTGCAAAAGGGTTCTCATCGTCGGGATGGCGGATGATGGGTGTCCTCGCAGGGCCGGGTCGAAAACTCATCTGTCCTGATTCACGTGGGGCAGAACTCTCGCCAATCTCCTTACCCATCTCTTTAGATAGACCTGTGCTACCGTAGAGGCCGTGGTCGTCTTGGTAGAATGACGAACCAGACATTGTGTCTCCGCGAGAGAATTGATCAGACGTCATGCCTTCACTGAATGCAGATGGCAGCTTGCGGCCCGACACTCGCTGAAAGCTCCGCTCACCAGCGCTCGTGCTAGTCTCGGCCGTCTTGCCAGACATGCCAGAAAAGCGTTTGAGAAAGGCGACAGGGACAAGGGTGTTGCTTGGGGCAGGCGCCTGGGTCATGGACCGGTTACCTTCCTGGTGGTGTTGGTGGTGGTGGTGGTGATCGTCGCCAGTGAGCTGTAGAGCACCGCCTCGCTTCTGCTTGTGTCGCTTCAAAAGAAACAATATCAAGGCCAAGATAAGGGCAACTCCGGCAAGACTGCCTAACACGCTACCAACGACTTTGGGCGTTTCGAGAGCACTAGGGCTGGAGTTTGCGTCAGCGGTCGACGTAGCTGATGTAGTTGGAGCAGGGGCTCCTCCGGTGCCAGGCGCATTGCCGCCCCCGCCGCCATAATTGGCCGTTGTAGTCGGGACACTCGAGGTAGTTGGGACACTCGAGGCAGACGCAATGCTGCGGGCCGACTGTGAGCTGATTATTGCCTGTGTGAGTGACGTCCTTGTAGAAGCAGCAAGAGATTGTGAATCAGAGGGTGAGCGCGTTGGAACGGCATTGACTGATACAACAAGGTCTGTTGCGGAGGAGGCCGAAATGCTATCAAAAGAGGCCAATGCAGAAGACGACAACAATGATGAGGTAGCTGTCAGAGTCAGTGGAGAACAAATGCGGAAATACGGCATGCTTACATGATAGGGTTGAGTTGGCGGCGGAGCTGATAGCAGAGGGAAGAGATGGCGTGGCAGTGCTTCCAATCGAGGATGATGACGCATCAAAAGTAGATGTAGCCACGGGTTGGGCGACATAATTCAGCGACGGAAAAGGATATGCTGGGACAGTTGGGACGACCAGATCGCTGGGAAACGGGGGTACTGCTGGCACAGATGGTAGAACCGGAACAGGTACGGATGGCAGCACAGGAACAGATACAGCCGCCAGCGCTGGAGCAGACAGGGTTGGTGGTGCAGGAACAGCGACAGAAGATGTTGCAGGAGTGGGTACAACTGGCAGTGCAGGGCCGGGTACGAGTGGGGCAACCGCAGGATTAGATACAGGCAGCGCAGTATCAGGCACAGCCGGCAGTGCGGGAGCTACAGATGGTAGGGCAGGAGCAGGCACAGGCACGGGCGGCTGAGCGGGAATGGGCACGACAGGAAGAGCGGGTAGAGCAGGCGCAAGCGAAGGAATGGCCAGCTGAGCTGGCTGAGCGACTGGCGCGGCAGAAACAATGGCGGCGGCGGCGGTAGCGATTACATCTGGCAAAGATGGTGGTGGTACAGGTAGCAGGGTCTCCTGGGCGATGATTTTGCCAGCTTCGTCGACTGTAGCAAGGACTGTGACGATTTGGACATTGTCCAGCACAGCGCGACGGTGGAAGAAGCGATGGCCTCTGCTCATACTCTCTCTGCTCCTGGGTCCGGCGTCAGGTCTTGGGGGAAGGAATTGGTCGTGTGGCTGAGGCTGGTCGGGCGCAGGAAGCCTCTGCTGGGGAGCCTGTTGGGCTTGGTAAAGGTGGCGCGAATGAATTCTCGATGCGAGGGTGGGGTTGGCAGGACCGTCCATAAAGTGGCGACAACGTGACCAAAGCTAGAGGGCCAGGGCCAATGGTGCAGACGTCGTGGTGGTGGTGGTGGTGGTGATGGTGGCGGTGGTGAGGCGGACGTATTGGCGGAACATGTGTTGTTGTTTTGAATGTTTCTGATGTTTTGAATGTTTCCGGCAGGCAGGGAAGGCAGCAAAGTTGAAAGTCCGGATTTAGAGCAGACGAGGCAGGGGATCCAGTCAATGGAGGCCGATGGCAAGCACAAGCGAGTGAATGGCGAGAAAAGAGCGGAAGGCTGGTCAGCGGCGAAGCAATGGGTCTGGCGGACTGGAGGGTCAGTGTGTGGGCGAGGCGAGGCGACAAGCAGCCGAAGTGGGCAGATACACACGCGCAAAGGAGGCTTCAAGGACGCAGCATGGAAGCAACAGCAGACAAAGGAGTGGCGGGCGTGAAGGGTGTCGCGCAAACACGAGGGCCTTTCTGGGAGGTGAATGGGGGAGGAGGAGGCGGCGGCAGCGGCAGCAGCAGCGGCAGCAGCAAAGGGATTGTTGGCGTCTGCAATCGGCGACGGGGACGGGAACGGGCCCTCTGTGGGCATGGGAGAGGGAGACAAAGAGAGGGCGGCGGACTGAGGCAGCGAGGCGGCGAGGCGGCGAGCACGAGACATGGAGACAGGGCTGGCAGGGCTGATTGGCGCACAAGCGAGATAACACGTCCAGGAATAGCAGGATCCGCCCCCGGCACGGCCATGGACGCGCCTGCCCGTCAGCGAACCAGCGTGCCAATGCCGATGCTGCGATGAATTGGGATGGATGGATGAATGAATGAGTGAATGGCACAAGTGTGCGTGTCGGTGGATCCCATGCAATGGACACGACCGGCCGTGGTATCCCAGACGTGCAACCACATACACGGCCGGAGAACAACAACACGCCCACGGCGCTCGCATGGCACTCGTCGCCCACTGTCCAAGTATTGCCCGTCGTGTGGCCGGCTGGCTGGATGCATGTTGCGAAGTACTTACTTACTGTACTAGCAGCCACCGACCACCCGTCCCGTCTGCAGGTGCAGCGGTGGCGCCCACGCCGTCGCTCAGGAACCGCATTCCCAAACGCTGGACACGCAGGACCCGCAAACGCTGAGGTTATTCTTAGCCGCCGCCTCGCTGCTGTCCCGTCGCACCCAAGCAGCCACACGTCCTTTTATTGCCAAGCCCGTCTCGCCAGCATGCCCATCCTCGTCGTCGTCGTCGTCGTCGTCGTCGTCCTCGTCGTCGTCACGATGCTTGTCGCCGCTCTTGCTGTCCACATGCGCGAGCGTTGCCTGTCTTGGCTCCAATCTCCGCCGCCCATCGCCTCCACCGCGAATACGGCATGGCTGCTAATCACTGCCTGCTATAGCACCCGTCGTCGTCTGCGCTTGCATGACGGCCTATGCCTGCAACCACAGCCGTGTTTCCTCGTCCACCACGCCATGTCCAGGTACACATGTCTACCTGCAATTCCACAGCCTCAACAACGGTTTCGTCACGTGACCCGTCGCATGCTGCACTCAGCGCCTGCCAGGCCAAGCCGTCTGGAGCCTGCCGCCCTGCCTTGCCTGCTGCCCTGCTGCTACCCCACATTGCCCCTCTGCCGTGTCCTCCGTCGTGCTGCGCCTTGTACCAACCAACCAAGTATAACATCATCCTCAACACCATCCCCAACACCCTCCCAGCCCCAAATACCGTTGTTGTCTCCCATACCGCAATATCCACATGTAGCCATGGTTGCTGCAGCCGCAAGCCACTGCCGCTGCAACCCCAAGTAGTTCGCCCAGCCATGACGTCGCCTTCGCCCTTTCCTGCCTTGGCCCCCCACGGCCATACACGCCCACCACCACTGCCACCGCGCAATTCCACTCCAGCTGCAGACACGCCCCCTCCCTATTCGGCCATGTCTACCGCCATGTCCATGTCCTCAAACGATCCACGCTCCTCTTCTACCCAGTCCCTCGTTCCAGATCCCGCCCTCGAAGACTCTGGCCGTCGCCGCCTACTCCTCATCTACATCCATGGCTTCATGGGCGACGAAACCAGTTTTAGAAGCTTTCCCGCCCATGTCCACAACCTCGTCACCGTCACTCTTGCAGACTCTCACGTAGTCCACACAAAAGTGTATCCCCGCTACAAGTCACGAGACTCGCTGCAAGTCGCCAGAGACAACTTTTCAGCTTGGTACGCTACACGCCTGCCCGGCTTGCACTCTCCCACTAACAGCCGCCAGGCTCGCCCCCCATGAGGACCCCTGGACTGACATTATCCTCGTCGGCCACTCCATGGGCGGTCTGCTTGCCGCAGACATTGCTCTAGCCTTTCGCCATCGCATCATTGGAGTCGTAAACTTTGATGTCCCCTTTCTGGGCATGCACCCTGGCATTATCAAGGCTGGCCTAGGCAGCATTTTCAACGCACCGCCGCCCCCACAAGATGCCATTATCGAGGGCCCCAGTCCAGGACAAAAGCCCACCCGAATCAACACACTCTTCAACCCAAAGCCAACGGATCCAAATTACAATCCCAGCTTCGCGAATGATGTTCACCTACCAAACAGAAAAGGCTGGGAGAATAGCTTGCACTGGCTCACCAAGCACTACAAAGACGGCCTGGCAGAGGCTACCAAAGGGCTCGTCAAGTCGCATCTTGAATTCGGAGGTGCCATGGCAGATTACAAAGAATTAAAAGACAGATATGCTAGGATACGGGCGCTGGAGGAAGACGACGAGGCCAAGAGAAAGAGCAGTCATCCCATGTTACCCTCGGTCCCCCGGGTGCGCTTCGTCAACTACTACACCGTAAGCACGGGAAGGCCCAAAAAACAAACTTCTTCATGCCCCCAGCGTCCAAAGTCGCCCGAGCCTTCGCATCCATCGAGCCTTCAGTTTCATCATCAGGATAGCGGAACAAGCCTCCCCCACTACAATTCGACAGCTGCCAGCCAGCAGGAAAATACCAGAAGCCCTTCAGTAACGTCATCTGACCCAGAACTGGCTCACGTACACCCAGACCCAATAGCAAGTCCACCCCCGACATCTATCGGGCGTCAAGAAGATGGACAAGCCCTAGAGCCTAATCACGCACACGCTCAACAAAACGGCCCACCTGATCTTCCTGAAATACCACCCATCCCCCAGGAGCCACCGTTTGTTGACTTGTTACGGTTCAACGACAAGACGCAGCGCAAAGCTGCTGAAAAGGAGTACGAACAGGCGCTCAAGGAGTATCAAAAGGCTGTAAAAGCCCGCAACAAGATCATCAACGAGCGCACTAAGATGGAGGAAAAATGGGACAAGGAGCAGCAAAAGGCAGAGAAGAAGTGGCAGCAAGAACAAGAGAAAAGGCACAAGGAGCAAGAAAAGGCCGAGCAAAAGAGGCATGAAGAAGAGCAAAGCATGTCGAGGGAGGAGAGGCAGAGGCAAAAGGAAAGAGAGCAAAGGCAAGCCGAGGCTGAGCAGAGAGAAAAGGAGGCGAGACAGAGGCAGCGAGAAGCAGATTTGCGTCAGGGAATAACACCTGCACCAGAAACACCAGAGCCCGTTGCTGCGATTGTGGGCATCGAAGAAGATGTCAGTGCCTTGCAGCTGCATCAGCCTGGTCCGCCTCGAGGTCCCTACGGTCACTATGAATTTTCCACTAGTCGTATCATGAACCAGGCCCCGCCAGACAGTCGTAACGAATCCATGTATGCCCTCTCTACAACCGACAGCCACGATAGCCACCCACCACGCACAGATTCAGATGCAAGCGTCCCAGCCAAACGTAAAAAGCTAAAGAAATTTTGCATGTTGCCGCCCAAAGACTCGGACGGTAACAAGGATCCCACCTGGATTGCTGTCTTCATGGACAACATGGACGAAGTCACGGCACACACTTCTCTCTTCTTCCTCAACCAGACGTATGAGCGCCTTGTTGGTGAGGCAGGTGCGAGAATCGAAGAGTGGGTCCGAGAAGCTGATAGCATGCGTTTGATACAAGATATGCAGTATCAAGGCAAATCGTAGCCTGCCTGCCTTGTTTATCAGGTAAAGCATTTAGATACCCTAGTTAGATCATCATGATATTATTCTACATCCGTCTAATATTACCATTACTATTGTAAAAAAGAAACTAATGTGTAGTTGTTGCCTAATCATCATCATCATCATCATCGTCATGAAAACCCACATCAACCTCTCCATCCTATTTCCCCTGCCATCCCTCCTCGCTCGCTATCCGGCTTTGCTAGTAGGTATATTGAAGATATGAGTGAAACCAGTGTTTTTTTTTGGCTGGCTGGGAAGGAGAGATGGGGAATGGGGAATGTATGGCAAGGTGGTGGTGGAAGAGAAGTGTGACGTCATTTAGGAACATAAATGCAGTGATCTAACCATGTAAGCATGTTTGAGCTTATACTTTGACAGGTTTTTTTGACAAAGGGGGATTAAAGTTTGACGGGTTTGGTTTAAATGCTGAAACGGTGAGGTTCAGATGGGGTTTTTTTTGAAATGACGAAGGGATGGCTAGTATGTAGTACTACTGTAATTCGAGACCCCTGGTTTTTTTTTCATCAAATTGCTAACGATTGCAGTGTTTAGTCCTGGGCAATCTAAGTGTGCATAGACTACTTTAACTCGTTGTTACACAGACGTTTTACTTTTGACCAGCAGAGGTACCTCGATGATGGAACCGATGATATTCGGAGAGATTTCGTAGCATTGTTCACATCGCAAATGCACGATGCCACCCCCCATGCCGCGGCCGATCCAGAACCGACCGACCCAAGTCCCGCCTGCGGCCCGTTAGCCAGAAAGATCGCCGTCGCAGCAATCACATGCACTTGTTCCTGATTGGACATATTTGGGTTGAGCAATATTATTACGCTATGATGCGTTGGAGACGGACGAGCTATGGCCGCCAAGGGGAGGTCGATATGCATGTTGAATGCGCGCACGCAGGGCAGTGGATCCAGCCTGCTCAACCACCATCCCACTGAACCACACAACGGTGACGGATCATAGGGATGGTAAATTACTCGCACCATGTGTGCTGCTGCTTACAGGTTGGACAGAATGACTGGCGTCTTCAACGGGAGACTCGACGCTGCATGAGGTTAGCGACGAGTTGCACCGTGTACTGAAGGCGGCCCCCCTCCAGTCCGTGGGAGCTTACAACCCCCCCGCGGTTCATCGTCTGCTTGCCCATTGGCTGCAGCCCCACAGACGTCTACCCACGCTCTCGCCGACGCGTTGCGGGCGGGTTTGCGGTTAGATGAGGCATGTTCTTTGAATAACCGTTCGCGGTGGGCTGTCACTTTTCTCTTTGCTCAAGAATTCGACAACTTTCTTCACAATGGCTCAGAGAATGCTTCTTCGTGCAAGTGGCCCACGCCGAGTCTACTACTATGGCTTCACCCGCTCTTTTAGCACTGTTCTCGACACGCCTGTAGATCCGGGCACGCAGCAAATACGCCTGGCCACACCGCGGACGACGGTGTTTGAGAATGCCGTCAATGCAAAGGCACCGCGGACAAACTGGACAAAGGATGAGATTTCAGAGATATACAACACTTCGCTGATTGACCTCACCTATGCCTCGGTAGGTCAGATTGCTTCTTGTCCAGCGACATGCCCCTCTCATCAGTCCCGTAGGCCTCGGTCCATCGCCGATTCCATGACCCCGCGGCCATTCAAATGTGTACCCTCTTCAACATCAAGACGGGCGGCTGCAGTGAAGACTGTTCCTACTGCGCCCAGTCGTCTCGCTACGACACTGGGCTCAAAGCCACTAAGCTCAGCTCCGTCGAGTCTGTCCTCGAAGCTGCACGCATAGCCAAAGAAAATGGCAGCTCGCGATTCTGCATGGGCGCCGCGTGGAGAGACATGAGGGGCCGCAAGACGAACCTCAAGAACATCAAAAAAATGATCAAGGGCGTACGCGGCATGGGCATGGAGGCATGCGTGACTCTCGGCATGGTCGATGCTGCTCAAGCAAAGGAACTAAAAGATGCGGGCTTGACGGCCTACAATCACAATGTCGATACGAGCCGCGAGCACTACCCTAGCGTCATCACCACGCGTACGTACGACGAGCGACTCAACACCATCAAAAATGTCCAGGAAGCCGGCATTCACGTGTGTACCGGTGGCATTCTTGGTCTGGGAGAAAAGGCCCGTGACCACGTCGGTCTCATCCACACTGTAGCCACTCTACCCGCCCACCCCGAGTCCTTCCCCGTCAACGCCCTGGTCCCCATCAAAGGCACTCCCTTGGGCGAAACCCAAGCCATTTCCTTCGATGCCATCCTCCGAACCATTGCTACTGCACGACTCGTGCTCCCCACCACCATCATCCGTCTCGCGGCTGGCCGCCACACCATGCGTGAGGAAAAGCAGATTCTGTGCTTCCAGGCGGGTGCGAATGCCGTCTTCACGGGCGAAAAGATGCTTACGACGGCGTGTAATGGGTGGGAAGAGGACAAGGCTATGTTTGCGAGGTGGGGGCTTAGGCCGATGAAGATGGAGGAAACGATTGGGGAGAAGCGCAAGGTACCTGGGCAGGACGAGGCCGAGGCTGTAGTTGCGGCGGCCGAGGCCGAGGCTACGGTGCAGGCACTTGCTTGAGGGGGAGACATGTAGATGTAGTGATTAGGCTCTTTCATACATAATGAGCTGTTCAATGTCCTGCTCAAGTCCAAACTATGTGTATGTATGTGATGTTCAAAAATATGCCTCGTGCGTTTAGAGTCTTGCTCTCTTGAATGCATCAAGGGGTTGGTGTTCTGTCTTCTCTTCTGCTTGACTTTCACACCACCTCTTCAGCGCCAGCACTAGTTTTTCGATCTCTTCCACTGTATTACCAGCATGCAGACATATTCTGACTCTTTCTGTGCCGGCGGGTATGGTCGGTGACACGACGGCTCGTACCATCATGCCCTGCTCTTGCAGTGAGCTCGCAAGTGCTTTTGGATTCACCAACTGCACTGCGAAGATGGGCGATCTGGGACACACCGACGGGATCTTCAGTATGCGGCGCGCATGACTAGAAGTTTTCTGAAGGTCCTCGAGTCTCTCGTATAGCATCCGGATGAGGTCATGAAGCTTCGCCTGCAGCTTCTCGCTCTGTCCCGACATCAGCATCTCATAAGACGCCTGTATAAGCGCGAGCGACGGATACGAAAGAAACGTCGTATAAATCAACGGCCGCGCATAATTAATCAGATAATGCCGTAACGTCTGCGATCCCAGTAGAATAGCTACACTCACATTCAGCGACTTCCCTTGTCAAATCCCTCTCCCTCCCCCCCTCTTTTTGAACCGCTCAAAGGAACTTACCTCCATTCCCCGCCAACGCCTTACCAAACGTATGCAACCGCGCAAACACCCTCCCTTCCAACCCCAACTCACTTACGAGCCCGCGTCCCCTCGGCCCCAGCACGCCCGTCGCATGCGCCTCATCCACCACCACATACGCGCGCCCCCTCCCCAGCACCTCATCCGCCACCTGGACAATCTCGCGCAAAGGCGCCACATCGCCATCCATACTATACACGGACTCGACGGCTATAAAAACATGACCTGCGCGCTCTGATTCCCTCTCGGCCCGCAAGACGCGCCTCAACGCCTCGACGCTATTATGCGCAAACGGCAGCTTTCTCGCCGCCCTCGACAGCCGCATCCCATCATGCACACTCGCATGCACCTTGTCGTCGTACACGACCACATCCCCCTTCTGCGGCACCGCCCCGAAGAAGCCCGCGTTGGCGTCGAACCCGCTGTTGAACAGCAGCCCCGCTGCCGCCCCGTGGAACCCTGCTATCGTCGCTTCCAGCACACTTGCCACCGACGAGTTGCCGTCTAGCAGCCGTGATCCCCCGCTGCCCAGCGGGTGCCTGCCCACGTGCGAGAGGAACTGCGTGCGCAGCGTGCGGGACGTGGAGAGCGAGAGGAAGTCGTTGGATGAGAAGTCGGTTTGCTGCGGGAGCGGGAGGGTCAGCGTGCGGAGGGTGGAGTTGTGGAGGCGGGTGGTTAGGTGGGTTTGGAGGGTTTGTTCTAGGGGGGTTAGGCGTTCTTTGTTCATTTTCTTCTTCTTCTTCTTCTCTCTCCCTGTGTTAGTATATTTGTAGAATTGATATTGAATCGGTGGATCTCTATTCTTTCTCGTGCCTCTCTCTCCCCACCGCCCTCTTTTTTTTTTTCCCTGGCGACGCGGGCTTGGAAGGGAAAAAAAAATAAGCCAATTGAACAATCGATTCACTGGATAAACTACCGAAAAGCGTGTGGGGGAGTGGAGGGGGGGACTTTGATTACTATATTTTTTTTGAGCCGCGAATTTCCGTTGAAAACAATAAAGGTAAAAATCGAAAGAAAAAAAAAACCTCCCCCCCCATTTTCATGTGCTTTCGGGGCCTTTGTAGTCATCAATTAGCTCAAAAAGGAAACTTTGGATAATATGGACTATGCACTTGCATACTACGTGCATATGCGGGTGCGGGTGGATTGTTTTGATTTGACTAATTCGATTTGTAGTACAGGTACTTGGGGAACGGGTTCGGTTCGGAGGGGAACATGACAAAGTCCCCCCCCCCTCCCCCCTCCCAACATGACTTGGCTACTACTATTACGTTGATTAACTAGCACAGCAACTCTCCCTATTCTTCCCCCACTGCAATTGAGACTTTTTCTAATGAGAGATCTCATGTGTAATTGGGCATCTTGATTGTTTTTCTTTTAGGTTGTTTGGTGCTGGGAAAGAAGAGAGCGAGGATGGCTAGAGTTCCAGGTGGACTGTGGAAGAGACTGGTTGCGGTGCAGGTTTATGGGGCGAATACGGGAGTTGGGAAGACTGTGTTTTCGACGCTGCTTGGTGCGCATTTTGCGAGGAGAGCGGGCAGGACGAGGTGGAGGGTGCAGTATATTAAGCCTGTTTCTACGGGGCCTGCGGATGAGGCTGATGATAGGTGAGATTACCGCTGCTGCTTACTGCAATTGTGGCTGACGGGGGATCAGTTATGTGCAAAAATACAGCGGGAGAAGTGTTTCGACGCTGTTCAAATTCAACGAGGCTGTCAGTCCGCATGTTGCGGCAAGAGGTGCAGACTTGATTGTAAGGTCTTTTTTTTTGTCGAGTCCTGCTGGCTGCTCTTGCTGATTGGCCTAGCCTAATGATGAGCTCATCAGTCAGACTGTCTTCAAGACTATTCAGCAAGAAGCGAAAGCAGTATCTCTGGAGAAAGATGTAATGGGCCTTGCTGTGATTGAGACTGCTGGAGGTGTGCTTAGCCCGGGACCTTCGGGTACTCCGCAAGCTGACATCTTCCGTCCGCTACGACTCCCCTCGGTACTAGTCGGCGACCATCGCCTAGGTGGTATTGCATCGACAATATCTGCTGCAGAGTCTCTGGTATTAAGAGGCTACGATATCGATGCTGTGGTGTGTTTCAACGACCAGAGTAAGTATGAGAATGCCGAGTACCTGCAAGAGTACTTCAAGAACTTGGACATTGCGGCCTTTACCTTGCCATGGATTCCCAATATGCAAGGCATTGGGGCGGGTACAAAAGAGGAAACGGATTTGATGCAGGATTACTACAGCTCCCAGAGTGGCGAGGAGCCCATTGACCAAGTTGCTACGAGGCTGCTTGACCGCCACAGCAAACGACTCGAAAATTTAAGTACCATGGCTTCTCGGACTAACGAAGCCATCTGGCACCCCTTCACCCAACACAAGCACGTGAAAAGTGCCGACGATATATTAGTCTTTGACTCTGCATATGGCGATTACTTCCAGGTCAAGCAAACTGGCGAAGCATCAGCAACCCACGAGGATCGCTCGGCACTGTACCCGGCATTTGATGGCTCCGCCTCATGGTGGACTCAGGGGCTCGGCCATGGAAATCCCCGTCTTGCTCTCCAAGCAGCACATGCCGCGGGGAGATATGGTCACGTAATGTTTGCCGGAGCCACCCACGAGCCCGCTCTCGAGCTTGCAGAAAAGATGTTGAACGACTCACACAACCCGCGTCTTAGGAAAGTGTTTTACACTGACAATGGAAGTACGGCGACTGAAGTCGGTATCAAGATGGCACTTCGGGCAGCTAGCAAGTACTACGATTGGGACAGCAGTAAAGAGAATATTGGCGTCATCGGCCTCAAGGGGAGCTACCACGGCGACACGATTGGCGCCATGGACGCATCCGAGCCGTGTGTTTTCAACGAAAAAGTAGACTGGTACCGTGGCCGCGGCTTCTGGTTTGATTTCCCTACTTTCAAACTCAAAAACGGCAAGTGGATTGTCCAGCCCCCCGAGAACATGGAGTCGGAACTCGGACCTACGCAGTACTTTGAAACCCAGGATGCCGTTTTCGATTTGGCCGCGAGAGGCCTGTCTGAGCGCTATGAAGCGTACATTGAGAAGACGCTGGATGAGCTGGTGAGGAAGCAGGGGAGAAAGTTTGGTGCGTTGGTTATGGAGCCTGTTGTTTTGGGTGCGGGAGGCATGCTCTTTGTCGATCCGCTCTTCCAACAGACTCTTGTCCGTGTCGTGCGACGTTACGACTTTAGCAATGGGTCTCGAGCTACTCGCGTCCTGGATGAGAATGATGTCGCTTGGTCAGGACTACCTGTCATGTTCGATGAAGTATTCACCGGTTTGTATCGCCTAGGTCGCTTCTCCTCGGCCTCGTTCCTTCAGACGCACCCGGATATCAGCGTCAACGCCAAGTTACTTACAGGTGGTCTTCTTCCCCTCTCTGTTACGCTGGCAAGTCAGTCCATTTTCGACGCTTTTTGGGGCGACGAGAAGGCAGAGGCCTTGTTGCATGGACATAGCTACACTGCGCATGCGGTGGGGTGTCATGTCGCTAATACTAGTCTGCAAACAATGCAGGACGCGAGCGTTGGTGACGAGTGGAAGCAGTACAAGAAGCAATGGACCGGTTCTAGCAACGATAGCACCGCTTCCTGGAGCATGTGGTCCAAGAACTTTGTTGAGAATCTATCTCGACACGAGCGAGTTGGTCATGTGAATGCGCTGGGCTCCGTTCTTGCCGTGTCGCTCATCGACAGACACGGATCAGGTACGTCTTACTTTGATTTCATTTCGCTTATTACCTAATGCAATGTAGGATACACTTCTTCTGCTGCCGTGGGACTTCGCGACAAGCTCTTGCAAGGTAGTCATGAAGCGCCGCAAGTCCAAATTCATTCGCGTATCTTGGGTAATGTTATTTACCTCATGGCGGGTATGCTGACGACAAGGCAACATTTGGAAGATGTTGAGAAAGCTTTTATAGAGAAGTTGCGTGTAAGTAATGGGAGTTAGAGAGTACTATTCAGGTATACCTGCTCGCAAAGTTGCGTACGTATCTCATTTTGTGTTTCCCTAATGAGAGTTTACAAGAGAAAGCCAGTGGGTTCGAGATTGCAAGCTGGAGAATGCCGTTTCCACCGACAAGATGTCCGGAGAGGCCACTATCATGTTGGTGCTGAAAGCATGTTTAGCAAAACGCAATGTTGGCGCTCTGAATGTCAGACCTACTGTATTGGTCATCTCTACTTCATATTCCACTCGTTATAGGTCTTCGATTCTCACGCCACTTCAGTGTAACAACACTCTTCACAACACCATGAATCGCCATCAGGTACTATGCATAGCCACACGAACATAGCCTTGTTTCATGTTCGTGATAGCAACACCTACAGCAACTACCGGCATGGAATGCAATCAAAAGCAAACTTGTCAAAGCGGGTCTATGACTACACTGACGTACTCCCCGTCAACACTCCTTACCCATCGACACCAAAGATCGCACTTTTGTGTGCATACTTCAATCCTCTGCCAGTGTACCGCCCACCAATCACAATATCGCGCTGCTTACTCCCGTCGTCTCCCCGGCCAATTACTAAATTTAGTCGCTGACCTCTACATACACAGCAGCCTGCATCACCACATCGCCCTCTCTCAACGGTATTATGCAAACTCTAAAAGGATTATGAGCACTTCTAAGCCCCTCCAGTCCCACATATTCTCCGCGTGAATAGCAACAACGAGCCTGCACCTTAGCTTGTTCCTGTACCTAAGCTTATGTCATACAACAAACCTTTTTCCGTTCTAGCTCGATCGCAGCACTCTTAATGTTGAGGTACAGGGAACACTTCCCGTCTTACTACCGGTGATCTTCGCCAAAAGACACACGACACTGATTTTATTCGATCCTGCTTGTTTTCGCTACCCAAACAAAGTTTGATGCGTTTGCATTGCCTCGAGAACTTTCAAAGTTCGGAGCGCGCGGGTGTATGCCTGGTCTATTTCTAGATCATAACAGCAGTGCAGTGGAGGAGCAGCAACCAAGATTCACTTAGTAGGTAGAGACGTTTAGGAGTTGCAGCGGATATAGGTAGACATGATGAAGCTGTGAAAGTCACAACAAAAATGATATATTTCATACTAATTCACTTGGGAGTATAGCATGAGTTTTCCATCATCACGATCATTGCGGCTCTACACGGTACTATGCCCGTTGGAGGCTTAGACCCCGATCTTAAGCGAACAACATATCGTCACTGCTGTATGACAGGATTGAGTTTCGCATTAAGCTCCTGGTAGAGGATGAGTAACACCGGCTACGAACTCTAGTAGCCGTCGAATCTAGTGTGACGAGTCTTCTTGTTAACGTTGTGTGTTGGGCAATCGAGCTTAGTAAAGGAGGAGGGGAAAAGGCGTATAAGGGATGAAAGGAGAACAGTGTAGAGACTCATCAACTCATCTTCCAAAGTCACTTGCACAAAGTACATACTTCCTTCCAACATGCGTTTCACTATCCCCCTCTTCACTCTCGCTGCCTGCGCCAGCGCCGCCGCCGTGCCCAACCCAGAGATTTCTGTCGACCGCGCTACAATTGCTGAGCGCGACCCCGTAGCCTACTGGGACATCGATTTCGTCCGCAACTACTTTGACGGCGGCTTCGTCGAGACCGTTTCAGCCAAGTTCATTTCCGACAAGTATCCTACCGGCCTCAAGTCCTTTTGCAAGACTCAATACTATAATGGCAACGGACCAGTCCAACCCAACTGCACTCCTGGCTATTTCCACTATAAATACGATCTGTCTGCTTCGAGTAAGTCGCTGTTCTTTCTCTCGTATATGTTCAGAGAGAAAAGTACTGTATACAGTTCCTGACGCATTGTGAAACAGCCCTTTCGGTTCAGCAGCGCGTTGCGCAGCCCATACATGAAATTATCACGGGTAGTGCCTCATTTGTGCCTAACCACCTCGATGACGGCACCCTTAAAGGCAGTGTTCATATTGGTGTCAATGCTCAGTATCCTGACCATTCCAAGTAAGAAAGCAGCAGCTAGATTTCTGGACGTGAGGCATACGGCTCGCGCAGTTGCTCAGGATTCTGCTTGCTGGTACGCATTCTTGAAGTATTTCAAGCCCCTTATTTCGTGTAAATAGAAATTTTGCAATCACATAAATGGTGCGGTTGCCCAGCTCTGCTCTGCTTGTTGGTACGGATTGCAAGCGGATACAAGCGTGTTAGTTGGTGTAGTATATACAAGCCTTACTCTTTAAATTCTTGTCTGCACTTACGTGTATTCCTCATCCGTGTAAGGTCTGTTTTCTGGGCAGAAGTGAACGCTGTATGATTTTGAGTCAAGGTTCATTGAATTATTGTCACGCGCCAAGAACAATATAAATGTTTGGATTGGCCAATCTATGCCACCTGGATGAAATAGTGCGATCATTCAGAAGAGTGGAACCCTATCGGAACTCCATTATTTCCAATACGCAAGAATCGATGTATCTAATTATCGCTTAACTTTTTTCTCTACTTACTATAGTTAGATAGTTTATAATTAGGTAAATCTCTATTGGGTATAATAACTAAAACGTAGTTATAATAAAAGTAGCACAGCGAACTAAAGTTGCGAAGAAAGTAGTAGAATAGCGAACCATAGTTGCGATAGGACACTAAACTATTATATTTTCAATAATAACACGTTGCGCACAGCGCTCCTGTGCTTATATATTGGCTATATCGTCTCTTATCACCGCCACGAATCCATCCGAACTCGATCTATACATAGTTTTGCTTAAAGACTGTTCATATCTTTTTAGAGCCTAACCAGTTCTTTGAAACCATCCACATTCACTGGGGTTTGTCGCAAGAAAACGCATTCTACCATAACGACCCACCAAACCTTACACAAACACATATCATAACACCCGAGTATCGCAAAAGTTTTCCTCATATTGCCTATAAGAGATTGAAAAATTTCGATAACGCTAGCTGTCTATCACTAGTCACGAGCTAACAAGGGCCTCGGTATACACCACGCGGACGATCGACACTCTCCGAGATTGTACTTCAGCGACACCTAATATCTACCCTTCAAAACGATCCAGAACAGTCTCAAAGAACAACATTAGATCCATCATGGCAGACTTCAATGATATGGCTGCTAAGAACCGCTCCCTTCCGGCAGAAAGAAACATAATAGGCACCATGGACCACGTTCTTGAGATCCTAGCGGTTCATAGTCATCCGCTTATATTAGCTGGATGGTCCGCACAACGATGGATGGGCTCTGCCGGATTAATGGACACCAGCTGCGATATACTTGTGAGAGATAGTGCACTCAAGAGTGTCGCTTCAGACCTCGTCGAAACTGGACACTGGGAAGTCCATCAACCGAGCCCACCGATGCCTCGAGAACCATTCCCTTGTTCCGATCGGGAATCTGATGCTGACTTTGTGCTTCGAAGGATCGATGCAGAAGATGAGTCAGAATATCGGCATCTAATCTTGTGGTCAGAATCTACGTATCACGTCAGTGTGGATGACTGTCCCCTCATTGAAGTCCCAGACGTCTATCCATGGAACCATGTTCTCATTGAAGAAAGGTGGCATCCAGCTATTGGTCAGGAAAATAGGTGGTGGTTCGGTCCTCGTCTTCATCCCGATACGAAGGTGCGCAACTTGCCTGAACGCGCCACACCGCCCACTCTCTTTCCTAAAGGGGCTCCACGTGGGAAATCCCCAACAAACACCCACTCAGTCTATATCCTAAGTATTCCAGCATACATGGATACTCTTGTGTACCACATGATTCATTACAAGCTTTCAAAACCAGGGCTCGCCACGCTTGCATCCTTGCAAATCGCGAACTTGACGAGGTATTTATATCTAGAACTGCCTCATCAACAACTACCACTGCTTATTGAGCTTGAAGAAGACGAGTTTATGGAGGAATATCTTCGCAACTATCAGAGAAAACCATTTTTTGTTTTTCGAGAAGCGCATAGTGGTGGATTGGAATCCGCTCGAGTGAAAGAGTGGGACGCTGATAGCTATCCAAGTTGGTGTAGAACGATCGAGTAGTTCTGTTGTAATTACTTCATTGGTGTTTATCCGTGTGATATGTACTTGCACTTTCCAAGATATTTTATCATCGCAACAGCCATCGTCTAGGTCAACTGTTTAGTGGTCTGAGCTATGCTGGAAGGCACGGTGAATGTGTTAACCTATATATCTTCGATTTTTCCCCATCTTCTGCAATCTTCTTTTTCAAACATCGGCGCGCAGAAACAAACAGTATGATTGGATTCCCACACCTGCCACTCATCTGCTAACATACCTTCACAGTTTTTTTATCCGCATTCATACCTCTCGGCCGTTGGGTTTGCTCTTGTATTCTTTTCAATGTAAGTTTGTTTTTGATTTGCTTAGTGCAACGTACTAAAAGTGCAACCTTTCAGATATACATTTGCCTCTCCACCAGCGACATATTCTCCCTCACCTTCCTCAACGTGCCCTGCCCTCTCGACCAGCTCTGGGACAAGTGACCCCCTTCTCTTCCAGTCGTCCTCAACATGCCATCTTCCAAGCCCATCACCCCCCGAATGAAAGCAGCTCTTCGCGAGTGCTTTCTGTCAGCCACCTGCCTTCTTCCGCTCCGTTTGCGTTCGTCGTTCATCTTGATAGGAGGGGCCGCCAGCGTATTCCATGGTTCAAAACATGAGACTCAAGACGTCGACGTGGCGGCCTCCTCCGAAGCCATTTTACGCTTTTACGACGCAATCGCGAGCGGCGCCACGCAATTCAAATGCGGAGATCCGTCGCAAACGATCGAATTTCACTGTAGCCAAGGCTTCATCGTCTGCCTTGAGCTCGTCCAACTCAATGGCGGCTTCGTGGATTCGATCGCCGCGTATGAACCCTTGTAGGAGGGGTTCATCGCGTCCCGGGCGGATCTCCTTGTCTTGCGTGGTGTGACGGTGGCTGACCGGGGGGAAGATGGTGACTTGCTAGACTTCAAGTTCTTGTTGGGGGCGGCGGCTGAAAGGGGCTCACTTCTCCCACAGCTGGAAGAGCATACGGTAGGGGCGTTGAGGGAGGCTGCAGGGAGATTGTCGCGGGTGGATGCCTTAGTTCTATCTGGATTATTTAGAGAAGATAATTTTATACAATTTGATTCTTTTCTTTCTTAATCCATCGATTTCACAAGATTGTTTGATCCTGATTGCCTAAAGCATCATGACGGTAGTTTCGAAGCTCCATTTGGACCAGTCGATACTTTATCCCACCCCTCCCCTTGAAATTTTCACAAGCATTGGGCAGCCAAAATTGGGGGCGATCCGCAAAGGATCAATAGATTAGGAAAGTTGTGTATGCATGTATGCTGGTGCGCTTCCCTAAGGACTGGATACAATACCATAATTTGTAGAATAAGGGAAACGATAAATACTTCATTTGATCGGTCATATACTACTAATTTTTTGATTAGGGCCATAATCAAATCTCTTGCATGGGCATGTACTAAGTTCAGATCAAGGAAGCAAACAACCTAAATCAGTTCGTTTCATGGGGACGAATGACAAGCTTTTTACCAGATACTCCGCTCTTACTCAAAGCAAAGGCCTCCTCAAGTCCGGCAAGCCCTCCAGAAACCACGTGCGGCCGGTTCGGAGTAAACAAACCCTGCGCAATGTACCCATTGGGTCCGCCCAGAGATTTGGCAAGAGGCTCACTCAAATGTCGTAGTTGTGGAGAGCTTCCCAAGCCCATAACAGGCTTGATTTCAATGTGGGGCTCTTCACTCTGACCTAGTGCCTTGGCTTCAGGATCGGGTTGTTGGACGATGACTACATGGCCTCCAGACACCTTTGCTTTCTGCAGAACCTGTACCGCAAGCTTCTGTGTAGCGGGGCTGGAAATTGCATCGAAGACAAATTCGAAGGGGAGTCCTCCCGTTGCTTCGAGAAGCGCATCCGGAGTGGACTCTGAACGATCCAAAACGACATGGGCCCCAATCTTTTTGAGAAACTCATGGTTGCTGGAACTGGCATTTGTGACGATACGCTCAAATCCTGATAGACGAGCCATTTGAATGGCATATTGTCCCACAGAAGACGCACCGCCAATGATGACTAGGGACTTTCCCTTTCCAACGCTTTGACCGCCTTCCTGCCACGGTGGTGTCATGCTGTGCCCTGATTCGGAGTAAAAGGCAGTCGTAACAGCTACGGTTGCCAGCATGATACCCGCGGCTTCATCATCGCTGATGTTGTCGGGTGTTTTCGACAATAGCTCAGCTGGCATCTTGCAATACTGCTGGAAAGTAGATGATTCGTAGTTTCCAATGATACCTTGGAAGAACACACGCTCGCCGACCTGCAAGTCTTTGACCTCAGAACCGACAGCGGCTACTACACCTGCTGCATCAGAACCGAGGACTGCAGGGTATTTCTGTATGAAAACGGCGTAATCGCGTATCTTGTAATCAACGGGGTTGATAGCCGTGGCAGTGACCTTGACAGCTACTTCGTTGGGTTTCAGATCAGATAGGCTGCGTTGCGCAATGGATAGCTGGGCTTTTGGCTCAGGCACTTCGGCGCCCTGGAAAGTTGAAGGTAGAGACATGATTATTGAAGCCTTTTGAAACAGCCTAGTTGTTGTAGGAGATTTTGTACGTATAACGGATAAATAGATTGCTTAAATTCGGTAAGTGTGGTAACAAGGTAGTTTGGGTCAATGCGATGCTGATTGAGAGCTTTAGAGTAACATGAGAAGACTGAAGGAATCTTTTATTTGCAATTTTTACGTTTCATGTCAACTTTTACTAGTATGCGGGGAGTGTAGTGGAGACGCAGGATTACATCATCCGAATCGGTTCGGCCGAATAAAACCGGAAACTGGCGGCCGGTCTCAACAGTGCGAAACTACCGAAAAATATAGCCAAATTACTAATTGTTGCTTCTTAGGCAGCTGTAGCTCAAGGTAGCGTAAATCAATGTTTCACAGTTCCAAGAGAGTAGACTTTAAGTCTGCGTTTTGAACTGTGAATACGTTTCATAGAAGTAAGAACGTTGCAATAAATAGTTTGTATAGTGTTGATAGTTCGTCCTTGTAGGCAATGGCCGGTTATGTTGATTTTCCGGTTAGATCGGTTGCATGACATCCTTGTCATGGAACGCACTGGAATTGTTGTTTACTCGGTATGATGTCGTTCTTTCCAGCGGCGTCCCCTTAGTAGCGCCGTACAAAGGCTTCTATTCGGAGCCGCACACTGCGTTTACCCCGCTCTCAAGAACCACAGAAACGCAACAAGATGTGTACGTAACGTGAGATACATTGATGCTTAGCCAAGTCCTTACGTTATGCTGGGCGCGAGCATCGTAAAGCGAAGTAGCAGGTTTTCAGTATGAAAGTACATATCGACCATTATAGCTATGTTCTCGCCAGGTTTGTTCTATTGATAAGGAATACCTTTGCTTTCTATTTTTGTTTACTTTTTATAAATGTAGTTTGCTTTTTGTCGTTGTTTGGCGAAGTTGTTGCAGCATCATGACACATAGTACACGTGCTAATGTGTGTTTGAATGAATACGTAGTGTTTAATCCATTGAGTCGTTGGATAAATGTGCCAAAAGAGACATTTAGATAGTTATTGAATGAGAAGAAAAATGATTCATCCAGATTGAGTATGTGTAGGAGCCATGGATGTGATCTTACTTTGTTAGCTCTGCATTTTCTACCAATAGACATGCATTGTAAAGAGACAAATAGGAAGATATACTTCGTTGTTATTAGGTAAGCGAGGGATGGTGAACTGGTGAATTCATGGTAACAAGTATGTACTGATTACCTAGATGCAGGGTCAGGATCGACTTTTGTGCATGAGAGCTAATATTTGCTATACATACGAGTGCGCACCACTACTGAAAACACATCGTGTACGTTTAGTAGTCTCTGATACGTTGAAAGAGAGATGGTTTAGATGAAAGCTAAGACTGAGACAGCTGTAAGCGATTGTTTGCATTTGAAGCTTAGCTGCTGATTATTTTCTTTCCAGTTTGAACAGGTAGCTCACACGAGCGAAAGGATGCGCATTCAAATCTTTCTCAAATCCCCGTCACCATGATTTCAAAAAAAAAACGGCCATAACAATAGTGAGGAGCGAACAAGTTGCAGAATAAATAAGAGATCAGAAACTTTTGTTGGCGGGATGCGTAGGGATACCTAAAAGACATCCCCTGTCGTTTCTCGGGGTTGAATTTTAAAGATGAAATATGTTAAGTATTCAATTTACTATGTGTTGCTAGCGAATTAAATGAAAGCTCGATAGAGGCATCTGAAGTATATTTTTCTCTGAAGACTTGACGTATTTTGTCTTGTTCGCAACACAACCGTTGTGTACCAAGCACTACAGTACAAGGACTTCAAGATCAAAAGGATACCCTCAATAATGTTAGCATTGGCCACGGCTTCATTATCAGAAATACCTTCTCCAGATACTTTGTCTAATTCGTTCTGCCCATAAAAGTCTCCTTATTCAAGTTAAGCTTGGTCTTTTGCGGAACTGCTTCCGAATTGGTCGCTTTCATCGTGAACAAGCAGGGGCAGGGGCAGGGGCATCCAGCATCCTCGGAGACTCGTTGAGTGCGCTCTCTGTCTAATTCGAGTCTGACACGACTTAGGTCGATATTTCTTCGCAATAATTCGTACGGTGCCACTGAGTCGGTACCCAGTAATGAGCCGCCTAATGGGCGCCATCTTCGGAACTTTTATTGTCATGGGGCCTTGATTGGCAGCGCCCTTGCCTCCAACACCACATAACGATGGTATTTCTATATCAACTTGCTCATTGGGGGAGTTGCCATGATACTCCGCACATTCGTCGTCACGTTTCTCATTACTGCACCGAGAATTGCGAAGCTGACATTGTGTGACCAGCGACTGTGTGTCGTGACCGTGTTCATAGCCATAGCAATCCCACCAATTGCCTTCTGCGTCACAAGAGGGGTCAAAAGTTTCCTTCTGAGAACCGGGAAGACATGACGCTTCGGGGATCACCTTAGGTCAGCATGAATGGGTAGATTTATGTGGCGGGGTTATTTATGGGTCTATTGGTGGCGTGCTTCTGGTCGCGCATAACGTTGATCATGTCATCGTCCAAAGAGTTGGACAGTTTACACTAGAGCTGAATACCCCTAAATAGCGCCGAGATTATTGTCAGTGCAACAGCAAATAACCGCTACACAATGGTCAACCAATGCGCAGAGCGAAGAAGCGCATCAGCTGTCAAGTGCTTTGGTTGCGATACTCCGGGCCGAACAGAATATCAAAGCGTTGCGATGGGAGAGTTGTAAGCTTTGCTACCTTCCAGTATAGTCCATAGTGTCTTTTCTACTACAACAAAACATCGGTCCCCTCTAACCCGAGGGTAATGTACGGAAAAACCCCACTTTACCGTGTATGCATGAAGATCCCCTTCCAAGCCTCGTTTACACTGGCGTCCCTGGTTTGCCGAGCTGGCGCCAGGCGATTTTAAGTAAGTGTCTTTGAAGCACACCACAAGTATAGGTTCTTGCGTGCAGATTGATAACCGGTTAGGCTACCCCAAACGTCATGGTCGACCGGTTGTTTGTACAAGTTTGCTCGGTGGAAGGAGCACGAAGCCGGGTAAACGGATGGAAGATCTGGATACATATCACTGGTGTTTCATGCCAAAATGAATCAGGTCAGGCTTTTTAGTTGGTTGCGACTGCTTCCATTCTTTTTTCTGTCTCAAAATGAGAAGAGCTGTTGTCGGCCTAGCTGGCCTTTTCAGCTACACGCTCGCACAAACCAGCTCTGTGACAGTTAGTTGGATTGACGATACACCCGGATACTTGGATGGAACTACATTTGGCGTACCTTGGCCTCGCGGACAGCACCCTGCAAATAAAACAACCTTCACAATCGATGGCGATGTGAGCCTTCAGTCATGGGTCACTGCGTATTGGCCTGATGGCAGCTTGAAATGGACCGGGCATGCCTTAGGGGCCAGCAATTCTCCTCTCGATCAATATACTATCACAGCAACAAGTTCAGGCGATTCATCCTCATCTCGTTCTTCGAAGCGTGGCGACGGTATTCAAGTCAGCGACTCCGATGACGAAATTGTAGTCGATAATGGAAAAATCACTGCAGCATTCCCGAGATCAGGCAACGTGCTTGTTTCTAGCATCATATCCAATGGGAAAACTGTTGGGAAAAATGGTCATCTTGTATTGCGATCACAAACTGGTACCCCGGATGATGACGACGACGGCAAACCTATTGGTGTCGACTACTTTAGCTTTACCAGCAAAATCTCTAACGTTACTGTATCTGAGGGAAACGCAGCCCGTACGCTGGTCACAGTTAATGGTGTTCACACCATAAATGGAGATGGTGGCCATAAGGACTGGCTTCCGTTTGCTGTGCGCTTCTACCTTTATGCAAACTCTGAAGCGATTCGCATCATCCATACGATTATCTATGATGGCAACATGTACAGCGATTTCATTTCCGGCGTAGGCATCCGATTCGATGTGCCTCTGGCTGAAGAAGAATTCTACGATCGGCACATTCGTATCGCCGGTGTCGATGGTGGAATTTTACATGAAGCAGTCAAGGGCATCACGGGTCTCCGCCGTGATCCAGGCCAAGATATCAGAACAGCGCAATTCAACGGCACAAAACTTCCGGACCCTTCGACTTGGGACCAGCGTGTGACCACCCGTTTACAATGGATCCCGACATGGAGTGATTACCGTCTCACTCAACTCTCTTCAGATGGCTTCAACTTAAAGAAACGCACAAAGGCAGGTCAGAGTTGGGTAAAAATCCCAGACGGAACGAGATCCGGAGGTCTTGCTTATCTTGGTGGTGCAACTTCTGGCGGTCTTGCTGTTGGCCTACGCGATTTCTGGAAAAAGTATCCGACTAGCCTGGACATCTCCAATGCTGCCACAGATACAGGATCGATCACTATGTGGCTGTACAGCCCGCAAGCAGGGCCTTTGGACCTCCGCCCGTACCACGACGGGCTTGGCCAGGATACTTACAAGAAGCAGCTTGATGCTCTTGAAATCACCTACGAGGACTGGGAATCAGGTTACGACAGTCCAGTAGGTATTGCGCGCACCAACGAGTTGTACATCTATGCTTTCGATACCACACCCTCGGCTGATAAACTCTCCGTGCTCACTAAATTTACGAATAACCCGCCAGTACTCATTCCAGAGCCTAAATACATGGCTGCCACCAAAGCACTCGGATCCTATTGGGGCGTTCCAGGCGCAGTCAACTCTGCCCAAGGACAAACCATTGAGAAGAACATGGATTTTCTCATCGATTACTACAAAGACCAAATCGAGCAAAGGCGCTGGTATGGTTTCCTTGATCATGGCGATATAATGCACACCTATGACGACGACCGCCATCAGTGGCGATACGACATTGGCGGGTACGCCTGGGACAACTCGGAGCTATCACCAGATCTCTTCTTCTGGGACTACTTCCTCCGTACTGGAAGTGCTCATGCCTACCGCATCGCTCACGATCAAGTGCGCCACGGTGGCGAGGTTGATTCATACCACATCGGCAACTTCACCGGCCTCGGTACACGGCACGGCGTCCAGCACTGGAGCGACAGTGCCAAACAAGCCCGTATCTCGACGCCAGTATACCGAAAAACCTTCTTCTACATCTCCGGCGGCGACGAGCGAACAGGCGACCTTGTCCGCGAAGTCCTCGACGCAGACCAAGCCTTCCTCCGCGTAGACGCCAGACGCAAAGTCCGCGACCCAAGCATCATTTACAACCCGGACCCCACTGCACTTTTCCTCAACTTCGGCACTGACTGGGCCGGCATCGCGCAAGCCTACCTCATTGAGTGGGAGCGCCGCGGACCCCGCTGGCAGGACTCGTACAACAAGCTCGTCAAAGCCATTACTTCGTATCCCAAGCTAAAGAACGGGTTTGTAACCGGCGAGGCCTTTTACAACAGCCTAACTGGCGAATGGGCGCCTCCTCCCACTGATTTGAACAACACAGGCCAAATCACTGTATCCCATCTCTCTGGCGTTTTTGGCGTCCTCGAAACCATCGATCAGCTCATCGACCACTTCGGCCCCGAACAACGCAACTTGACCAAGCCGTTTTTCGACGCGTTCCTGGACTACTGCTACTACTATGGTGCGAGCAAGGCGGAGCAGAAGGCGCGGTACGGCAATGACTTTGGAAATCTGAATTTGAAGCAGGGTCACTCGCGGTTCACGGCGTATGTTGCTCACCACAGGAACAATGCTACGCTTGTGCCGCGCGTGTGGTCCGAGTTCTTGGGCGATGGAAGCAAAGATGGTCTTGCACCTAATGCGCCGTGGAAAGCGGTTAGAATCGATGGCAGTGATGTGCTGAGTGCGGTTGATGAGGCGACGTGGGTTAGTACGAATGCGGCGGCCTTGTATGGAGTTGCGGGGATTGAGAATTTGGCGCTTGTGGGACCGCCGGACGTAAATATTATTGGGGGCGGTAATGCTACTAGCAAGAGATGGGCATAGTGGACTTGTGTGGGATTTAATCCTATTAGTTTAACAATTTAGCAAAGAAAAAAAAGGCCTATTTTACACGCGTAGGAGTCCCTTGCCGTTTAGTCCATCTGTCCCAAGTGTGTAAATGCTATGAATGCCAACAGGCTCAGCGATGTCAGTTGCCGATTTTTTGACCACACCCGTATCTTCGTCTTTGAGAATAAACTTCTTGGGATCCAGACAGGCAGCTGATTTGCCGCCTCGGTTGTTGGATGGTCGGTAGTTGGCATGAGTTGTAAGTCGCCTGAGAAGAGAGTCGTGTAAGAGTGCGCCGTCGGGAATGTCTCGTGCCGATCCCATGTTAAAAGGCCATGCGATATAAGCCCACTCATGTCCCGAACCTTTCAATTTCAATTCCCAGCGTCGAATTGGTAGATATTCTGTTCAGACTTGTTAACTCAGCGCAAACTCGAAGCATGGGTGTGACTTACCCATGAAATTCCAGAGGATGACCTTGAATAGTGATGAGCCACCTGAGACCTTGAGGGTGTCGTGCATTGGGCCATCGTAAGCCTGATTCCGCTTCATAAAGAAATGTTTCTTAAATCCGTCCTTCCTCTTGTTCCATGCAATCGCTGCTTCTGGTTCCTGTTCACCAATGATTTCCAATTCACGGATCATCCAAGCAAGGGGCACGTCACTCATTTGATAGGGATCAGTACCAGGGTTGGATGCGTTCGGGTCCTTCCACGATGTGAAGATTCTGCGCCACCAGCTTCTATCGTCCTTGGGCTTCTCGGTCGTTGCGGATTGCGCAGCTGGCCATCCTCCACCGACATCGCCGTGATTGCCGGGGAACCAAACTTCCTTTACATCTTCATCGGTAGTGTGAGGGTGGGATTTGTCTTGGTGAAGCAAAGCAGCTTTGAACTTAACACGGTGCTCGTCGACAGCGACGGCATGGCGAACATGACGGGCAGTTCCCGCAACTGAGACGGCTTTGGGAGCTTTTCCAAATGGGCTGTCCAAGACGGCAACACTACTGACGCAGTCAAACATGCCTAAGAAGTGCACTTTAATGCCCGATGCTTCTACGCCCTCTGAACGACAGAATGTCGCTTTGAATGCATTGAGTTTATTCTTTCTGAGTTGTTGCTCATCAGGTTCCGAGCATTCGTGCATGTCAGAGCCACTGTTGATGAGAGGGTCGGTTTCGTGGCATCCATTGGATGATCCTGTGGTAGGCGGAGAATCCCTTCGCTCCTGGTCGGGGACTTCCAACTTTCCCTTCTCGTAATCCTGGTAGAGATCATATGCGAAAGGGACCATTTCTTCGTTACCCTCAGAGAGTAGACCAACTCTGTAAATCATGCGTGCAAGGAAGCGGGCAGTAAAAGCACCCCTCGAGAAGCCGAAAATGTAGATCTTATCACCCTCCTTGTAGTACCGCATGATGAAGCGATAGCCTGCAATGACGTGAGCGTCAAAGGTTGTGGCAAAGCCACTGTCTATGGTTTTGGAGATTTTTGAGCGGATAGACCCCAAGAAGGTCTTATTAATAGGGCCTCCATCGACATTGTATGTGCCAATACCAGCTGTAGAGTTGGATGTCTGGTCAGTATAGCACTACGGAAAGTTTAGAGGTTGCTTACTTTGGTAGTAGTGGTACTGCATAGGGTCCCTTCTGTCAAATTTGTCGAAGAGTTTGACTATGTTGGTGTCCGAGGTGTTGCCATTAAAGACGTTTCCCGTGCCATCAAAGCATAGAACGAGTTTCCTCGGTTTTTGTTCAGTGGAATGGGGCATAGTGACAGTTGTTCTTCTTATAGTAAAAGGGGGTGATGTCGTCCTCAGATAGCAAAAAGATATGCTGTAGTACTGGAAGCGAGCGGAGGAGGAGACGGCAGGTATAAATGAACAAGTCGTTGAATCTTCACACCAAGAGATAGTAAGAATTAATGACTTTCTTGGTATATTCTCATCGGTAGGTGAGAAGGTGGACAGCACACTGATACAAAAGCAAGTAAGAGAGGAGTAGAGGCATAGCGTTATATACGTGGCGAGATATAGATGGCATTGAAATCTATAATTCTACTCACACGACACTATGTTGCAGGAGGATGGAAGGAATGACGAGTCAGGAATGGTTTGAAAGGAAACGGCTGCACTACTTACGTCCGTGCATACGATAATGCTTTTTCAAGACAGCTGTGCACCTGCACGCTCAAAGTTGATTTTACAGGTAGGCCCGGTGTGATAAGGCGGTAAGAAGCCAATCACCTATTGAAAATCACCAATCAGAGCAGTAACATACGACACCGTTAATGTGCCCAAAGCCAAATCACTGTTTCTTTTCCTTACTGAGATTTCGTAGGAGAGGAGAGCCGAGTTGTGGCTGGCGGAGATGCCGACTAGCGGCGGGATCCCTCGGACATGGCACCAGCCCGACGCCTTCATTGCCATAATTGGCGGTTTTGGTCAAGGTATAGCGAGATCTGGGGTGTCACAAACAAAAGTAGTTGGGTGAAGAGGGGTATCTGATCTGGGCTCAGCCTTAGCGGTGAGACTTAGAGCTACCTGCCAGTTCAATCCACAAACAGCAACAACCATAATCAGTCGAGGCATACTGATCAATCATTGAATGTAGTAAACGTAAATCTGGTATAGTTAAAGATGAGGTCTAGGTATAAACCCATGCCAAACTATATTGCATGTTTTCACATGCGATGCATCATACAAGGGTCCAGTCAAATTAGCGACCCCTACACCCCGGCCCATACCCCTGTATGTCCTGTAGGCGACGACACACGCACATGTGAGTACGAGAAGATGGTGTTGAGACAATCCACACTTGCCTTACATCTAGATCTTGCACAGACTTTGAAATCTGGGTCGGAGAGGGCGAAGGACATTGCTCCGCTCGCTTCGGTAAAGGCGACCAGTCTCCAGGGTACAGTAGTAACGCCACCAATAAAGCCTCTTCCTTACATGCCGCCTAGCCCTCCAGCCTCGACCGCCCGAACATGTCCCCACATGATTCAAATGCCATTGTAGCTGAGAATAGCTGACCATAGCTGAGGAATAGCGGTGCCTGGACCTTTGGAGGCTTGCGTTTGAGATGCCTGGATTGCCCCCCTGGTTCGTTACCCCTATCCCAACATCGTCACTGACATAGTAGGAATGGGTGCGGCTAAGCTTACTAGTACAGCTTCGTTCGTACTGTGTCAAAGCCACAACACCGAAAATGGGATGAGGCTGACGAGAGTCGTGCAAGCGATATCCCCAAATGCCCATTTCTTGAGAATAGCGTTGAATCGATCGGGACGAGACCACTTGCCACCCACTACCACCCGGCATGTGCTAATGCCCAACTGCCGATTGGGGCTGCAATCACACCTCAAGTCTCCGTCTCAACTGGGCTGGAAAACCATACCCGAAGTTAATACGAGCAAGAGAATGTCTCATAGCATTGACCCAGACCCGGGGTTTTCTTTGGCCCCGAGGATGGACTTTATGGAAGACACTTTCAATGAGACTCGCGCGGGCATCTTGTTGGTGTTTTCCTATCATGCTTCTATCCTAAACCACGCCATTTGCTTGAGAACAAAATAAGCATAAACATATCAAAAACAATCCATACCTCGAGTGGCACTACTGCATATTTCCAGATTAGCACACAATCTCCGTCGAACAAACTTATCAAATAACTCCGGCGCGTACATGTTGAACGTTTCCCAAAACCTCTTCAGCATTGTGAAACCCAGACTATACTACGTATATATCCCACTTAATCCATCACTCGACCCTCTGCAGCGAAAGTAACCACGTTCCCCCATTATACCGGGCCCAAATATCACCCTTGCCATTATCGGTCCCACCACATAGCACCGCACTAAGATCCCACAAACCCCCAACCTATTACGTGTCTTCATACCTAACTGGCGCGTATCATAATCTTCTCCCCCATCTACCTCACCACATCACAAATCTTGTGTTCACACTAAACAAAGCTCACTACTAAACACCACCCCGACGCTTCCCTCTCCAAACAATCCACCACATACTGCATCTACACCCTATTGCAAAAAAAACTGCAATTACGTAGTCCACTGCAAGTGGCTTAGCTAGGAAAATACACGGAAGAAATGTTGAAGCGCGGGCTACCACTTTCTAGATCTACGGTAAGAAAGTATGTACCGGATTTTGCAGAATCAGAGCCCACCTATAGCTGGGTTAATATCCGATTTTGGAAGCATCACCACGGTAAAATGTCCGCTAAAGCTACCACGAGCGTAACGTGGGGTTATCCAGCAAATACAAGTAGATAGAAATCCAGTATACGGTCATCAATGTACTCCGCCAAGAAGCCTCGCGATAGTAACGTTTTGATGGTAGTCTACAGCTTCATAATCAAAAGAGACATCTGATTACCGAGGAACAATTCAGCATGAAGACTGCTTCATCTTCGATCTCGGAGCTGTTCGCAGTACTACGTAAGGCGTTTTTACGTTCTAGTGCTGAAGAAGCGTTCTTGAAACCTTCACCCTCATTGACTGCTGCACCTTGTTCCTGAAAATGTTTCTGTGTCTAGCTACTTCAGATATTGAAACAGCACTCAAAACATTAAATCATGAATACAGCTTCATTTTTTGGTAGGCGCTCATTTTTGTGGGGTGTTGCATTGGGTGATGAACTGTTGCACGCACTGACCAGTGACAGCACCCGTATTCAGCCTAGACCCGACGCGTCAGACATGCATTGGCGGTCGCGACGAGCTCAACGTCATGGCTTCAAGAATTCAGACTCACTTCCAGCACTTCTATCCTCACACATAGACATGGCACCAGCGGCCTCGTCTCCATCTGTGTCTCATTTCAACGAACCCTTCATATCGGCTCTCGATGCCGCTGCACCCAGCAATGCAAGTGACGATCCAAGTTACTATGCCCGATATCCCCGGTCTCTCATCACTACATCGAATATCGACACATTCATGACCGGGACCGGGTCATCCATCTATGAATCTCTTGCTCCCCTTCTGGAATCAGCCGATCACGAGCTCATTCTCGTAACCTGTTTCTGGGCCCGATCAGCCAGCTTGGACACTCTCAACAGCGTGCTAAGAAAACTATCAACCAAGGCCATAATCCGGGGAACGCAAAAGATCAGAGTCCGACTTTGTTTTTCCTCTAGCTCCATCTTCCAGAAGCTCTTCCACAGCCAAGGCGTCACTGGTCAGACATATCCACCCTCGACATGGGTAAAGAAGCTCGGCCTCCCCGACCCTTCAGAACTCCACGGCCTCAACCTGGAAATCAAATCCATCTTCCTCCTTCCCTTCAGCGTCATGCACCCCAAATTCATCATCGTGGACCGCAAAACCGCCGTACTCCCCAGCTGCAACATAAGCTGGGAAGAGTGGTTCGAAGGCGCCATCACCCTCACCGGCCCCATCGTTATGCAATTCCTAAAATTCTACCGCTCATTCTGGGAACGCAAAACAGACGACGCCTCGCCCATCCCCCCATCCACCTCTTCCTCCACCTCCTCAAACCCCCCTCTCCCCCAACCCAAACAAACCCCCTCCCTAAAATCCCACCTTACCCTCTCCGCCCCCGAAACCCCCACAATCTTCCTGCCCAGCCCCCACCACCGCAACCCAACCTTCTCCCCCCTCACCTCCTCCTCGCTCCTCTCCGCCCCGCCAACCCCGCTAAACCTCTTCATCCTCACCCTCTTGTCGAAAGCCGAGCGCAAAATCACAATTCAAACCCCCAACCTGACGTCGCCGCCCGTCCTCTCCGCCCTCGTCCGCGCCCTCGCCCGCGGCATCGACGTGCGGATCCTGACGAGCAAGCGCCTCATGATCCTCGAGCAACTCGTCACCGCGGGCACCACGACGGCACGGTGCATCAGGAAGCTGATACGCCGGTACCGCGCCTTGTCGTCTGAGCGCCAGCGCTTGATCGATGAAGAGTCGGCCATTGCGGCCGGCCACCCGGGACGCCTCGTCGTCTCGTATTGGACGCCACTCGGCGGCAGGAAGCCCAGGGGCGACGAGGCCGGCGAGGCCCAGCAGTCGCATTTTAAAATGCTCAGTGTAGATGACGAGGTTGTCGTGCTGGGCTCCGGCAATTTGGATCGCGCGAGTTGGTTCACGAGTCAGGAGCTTGGCGTTGCGTTTTTCGGGAAAGACGTGGTCAGTGGCATTTTGGGCGCGGTCGAGGCGGGCGCTAGAGGCAGGGCCAAGGTCGTCTTTGATAGTGGTCTGGTCGAGTAAAGAATGCTTTCTCTCTCCTTTGTGGCCATGAGCATCACATACAAATACATGTTGGGCATATACAAACAAAGTGGCCCAGATTAAACGTATTATTCATTTCCCCTTCCGTCTCCCATGTCCTTACAAAAAAAAAAGCCCCGTCCGCCGTGACCAGCGTCATTAATATCTCATCTAAAGTTTCTGCGTGTGATTAAAAAAAAAAGAGTAGAGTGGTAAGTAAGGCCCACAAAGGTCCCGGTATATACAAAAATAATACCCGCAGGGCGAAAAAAAAAAGACCAATGCGTTTGGTACCGAATTTGCCCACAAAAGCAGCCCGCGCCCTTCACCCTCGAAAAAAAAAAACAAGAACAACCAGAACACGAAACCAAAAAAAAGAGGTTTTGTCCACATGATCCACATCAGCACTTGACGGATCGTTCCCCATTGCATTGTTCCCTGAACCCAAATGCAAAGGCGAGAACTAGTTCGAGTTATATGCCAAGGTAATCTAAGCCCAGTAGTAATAGTCTCTCCTCCTACTCCTCACTCCTTCCCTTTCCTTTCCCAAAAAAAAGCCAACCCCATTTCGTATCTGATCTTTATGTATGTATGTATATAGCAGTGGTGCTGATGATGTTGATGAGGATGTATATGTTACTGGCTGCGCCTGCAGGCAGCTTGGGTAGAAAAAAATAGACGATGAATGTTGAATGTTGAATGTTGAATGTAAATAACTCGTAAAGGCGTCATGGTCCGTGGGGTATGTGGGTGAGCGGAGGAATTCTACATGGAACCCATTGCGATGAGGGCTTCGATGGCGTCACGCTCAGCGCCGGAACCGGTAAGAGGACTAGTAGTAGAGGATGCATTGAAAACAGTCGTGAGGGAAGAGCCCGCGTTCACGGCGTGATTACCGCGGGATGCATGGTGAGGAGCAAGGAAAGATTGGTGATGCAAAGTGGCGGGCGTTTGAGTGCGCGCGAGCGAGTGCTGAGGCAGAGAGTGGGCCTGGGCGGATGGATTCCGGTAGCGCGGGTTGCTCGTCTGAGTTCGGCTTAGATAGTTGTAGTCACGGTGTTCTCGGCGCGGACCGCAGCGGGTCTCGCGAAGAGCTTCAGGCCCCATGGTCGCCCAGTCTTCCTGATCCGTGTCGTCATTCAACTCTTCTTCCAGCTCCATGTCCGAGGCCGAATCAGAGTCGGTACTGCCCTCAGAGTCGTCCAGCGACATCTGGTCCGCCATCTCTTCGTCGTCATCCTGTCGGTGGGGTGACCACGAGCCCGCATTCCAGCTACCGGCGTACACGTCAGGTTCGTGCCGCAGCCTCGGTATTTGCAGACTACCTCCTGTACTATCGACGCTATCCGGCGGAGTCTGCCCATTTCCAGAGCGCTTGCCACCGATGGGTACTCCCCGGGCCTTTGCGCCAGAGCCTGCCACGCTCCAGCGCCCCCAGCCGACCTTTTCAAACTTGACCTCGCCGTGGAGGCCGCCGCCCGCGCGGTGTTCCAGCGCGGCTACGACTAGCCTGCGGGCCTTTGCTGGGGGGAGTCCCGAGAAGCCAGGCACAGCATGGGTCAAATGGGCCATCATCTCGCGAATGGGCATTGCGCCGTGGCCGACGAGAATGTCTGGCAGGTGGTGCTTGGCCAGCATCAGCGCGGTGATTTGGCGCGTCGCGTCCAGGCCGGCCAGCGCCTCCTTGGAAAGAGCAGAGGGCTGGTCCTGGGCCGCCGCGTGCTCGACCGCGTCCTGAAGGTCTATTTCCATAGACTCATCGTCTGGTGTATGGACGCGCCCAGCCACAGGCATGGGGCGTCGCTTGTGTGCAGGCAGCGTGGGAGAAATGGAGCTAGGGGGCGTAGGCAGAGTGCCGGTAGAGGTAGCATGTCCACTGTCCTTTCGCCCAAAGGCCATGGCAATGTTGGACACGGGCTTGGGAGCAGCGGCAGCCATGGTTGTAGTTGCGAGGCAGGGGCTGACTTTGGGTGAGTCAAAGCGCGGGTTGCTCAGGAAGGCGCACTGGAAGCAGAATCCTGGGGACTGGCGAGCCAGGGCGAGTTAGCAGGGGAACCTGTGGGACCTGCAGCCGCGTGCAGGCGGGCATGTATGTATGCTCGCATGGAGTGGTTGGTAGTAGACATACCTGGGAGTCTCGGATATGGGCTCTCTGGTCTCGAGAGCAAGGTGGGTAGGGGGCAGGAGGTGAATTTTGAGGCACCAAATTTAAGACGGTGATAGAAGTGCCTTACGCGACACAGGACTAGGCGACAAAGGGACAAAAAAGGTGCTGGCGGTGTGTTGTTGTAGGCGGATGCAGCTGTGGAGCTCGACTCTATCACTATGGCCGTTCCGAGACGTCTTAGCGATCGGCGATGGGGATCAGCGAGTCGGTGTCGGGACGAAGCCGATAGCGTGTTCGGGCAGCAGCAGCGCAGGATGCGGAGCGTGCAGGGGACGAGGGAGAGCGGCTTGGATGGTGAGCAGCAGAGGCAGCAGAGCAGCAGAGCAGCAGAAGGGTTGAATATTCGAGTGTGCGATGTGTCATGAGTCTTCGACATGGCAGGCAGGGACTACGCCATGATAAGGCCCTCGCTCTCGCTGGCCGTCCCCCAGGGCCGCTGCAACCAAGGAACACAGGTGCATCTGACAACCCCCCCGGCGGGAAGCGACGGCCGGCGCGCCCCCTGTCCGCCCGCTGATTGGCCCGGAAGCGACTGGCTGGCTCCCACCACGCCCTCGCCTCTCGCAGCCGTCATGGAAACCATGGGAATTGGCCCCTCGCCCACAAGCAGGGACTCGGTGCGCAGAAGCAGGGCAACACTACGCAACACGCCTTAGCACCGACTGACGCCCATGCCCTACATGTCTGTCCACGCACCCGCGACTTGTAAGTACTTGTACATGCTGCCCACCAGCCGACGTGCCCTCTCCCCACCACGCGCTGCCGCCATGCTCCGACGTGGGCTTTGTCGTGACCCGTTCGCAGCCGATTCCAAGGCCCATATCAGCAACCCTCCATATCGGCTCCTCACGCTGCGCCATCCGTCTTTGCATGTCTCGCGCCCACAACCCCCCATTGGCGTTATCGTACCGCGGGGGTCGTCACGCCGCCGCCAAAAAGGTCCGACTTCGCTGTGCGCAGGGCGAGGCGACAAAACTCCGTAGCAGCAGCCTCGATACACGTGTTTGTCCGACAGGCTCGCCCTGCAAGACATTCGTCCCCCAACGCACCAACAATGCCCCATGGCCCAACATGCCCCGTAGCCCGAGGCGTGACGTGAGCACTGCGACACCCTGCCCCGCGTGGACAAGCCCTCAGCCGTGATTCGCGTTGACGACATACTTGGTGATGGCCTAGCGACGACGCATTACGTTAGCCATCCCACTACACATGACAATCTTGGCCCCAGACAATAATAACAAACAAACCTCGACACGTACCGATTTCAGCACGTTGATCTGCTGCACCGTGCGGTTGAACACTGCCCGATATTGATCCAGGTTTTGTTGAACAACGTCGTTGCGTGTGCTGCGGCCCTCGCATATCGCCTTCATCTGCTCCTCCATCTGCCGCGTTTGGTTAGCGAGCCTCTTGCGCCTTTGCCATACACCACCCCACGTGCATCAGCAACCCCATTACTTACCTGCTTACGGAGAAACGGCTTGCTCAGGCTCGTCTCAAACCCCACATTGTCGTACCCCTCGATGAGCGCAACCCCCAGCGTCGTCGGGATAAACTCCTGAACTCCGCCCGTGTTCCCTCCCCCGCCTTGTCCTGTTGCTGCGCCGCCTCGCCCTCCACGCCCTCCACCTCGCCCACCACCTCGCCCTCGCCCTCGCCCTCGCCCTCTGCCTGCTGCTGCACCATTTCCATCACTAGCACCGGCGCCCCCACCACCTTTGGGCCGTGCAATCACATACTCGCGTTCCTTGATTTTGGCAATGTGCTCGGCCATGGTTGCATCCGTACCAATTCCGTTGGCGTCCATCAGTGCGATCAATTCGGGCTCCGTAAGGTAGCTTGGCGCCGTCGTCTGACCATCAACCATGTTCACCTCGGTCGGCTTAAGCTCTTCTCCTACAGCATACTGTGGCAACGCCTGACTGCTCTCCCATTTGTCATATGGGTACACGTCTAGGTAGTTTCTTGCAATGACCCGCAGGCCGTGCGCATGGAACACCTCCCCTCCATACTCAATTTCAATGTCTGTAGCCTCACCAACAGCGTCCTCGGAGCAGCAAGCGAGGAAACGGCGAACCACAAATTCATACACTGCACGTTCCCGCTCGTTGAGCTGTGTAGGTGCCACATAGTTGACTGGGTGAATGGGAGGATGGGCCTTGTCGTTGTTACGCCCCGAGCGAGGCTGCTGAAATCCGCCATTCATCAGATTCTGTGCAAATGGCCCCCAGCGCCCATCTTGAGTCTGCCGCCCCACAAGCGTTCGCAGGTCCATGCCGCGATCAAACTGGTCCGTTTCCGTGCGCGGGTAGCTGATCCAGCCTTTGGTATACAACTCCTCGGCCACCTTCATCACGTCCTGCGACGTCATGCGAAGAAATCTGCTCCCATTCTTTTGTAGCTCAACAGTGGTCAGAGGCAGCGGCTTCCACTTCTTGCTAGCTTTCTTTGCCATCTTCGTCACAGTTGCAGTCTTGGAAAGCAGACAGCGTTCCATGATGAGAATGACGGCCATGCGGTCAAACAAGTGGCCCCGCCGCCAATTGAACTTGACGTCAATGCCGTCCTTTTCGTGTGCCACCTTGATGTACCAGAATGGCTCTGGAACAAAGTTGCGTACTCGCAGATAGCGGTCTACCACGAACCCCAGAGTCGGGAACTGGCAAGAGCCATAGCTGATTAGCTTGCCTCGCTCTTCGCCTTGCTGGGGGATCATGTTCTGGAGCGCTAGCGTCTGCATTCGCGTAAATGCGGCTCCCAGTCGCAGATCCAGCTCAATCCGTGCCGAGACGGCCTGCGCCTGTGCCTCATCCAGACGGATTGGATTCTGTGACGCTTGAATGACATGTCTAAAACAAATTAATCAATTTGCCTGTGTGCGGAAACAAGGTAATACAGACGCTCGCTCGATATTGCTGAAACGTGCTCGCCACACTTGCATGTTTGGATTTGCCTTGAGTGCAATGTCGCGGATCTCGGTCCCAATGTGCTCGCCCTCGCGGTCACAGTCGGTCCATATGAAGAGAATTGACGCGTACCTCGCCTGGGTTTCAATGTTGCTCGCCACCGCTTTCTTGTCCTGGTTACTGGTCAGTGGAGACTGGTGAAACGACGGTCCCGCCACCCACCTCTGCTATTCCAGACACAATCGGTGCTTCGAATAGAGAGACCGGCTGGCATGAGTGCCATTTTTTATATCTGTCGGTAAAATCCTGGGCGACAATGTGCCCAGCAACACAGGTAAAAGTGACAGAACACTGGCCCCAGTTGCTGAAGCGAAAATCAAACTTGTAGTTCTTGACCCATTGGATGCCCCGAACGCTTTCCTGGTAGGTAATATCAGCCGTCTGCCTCAAGAAGCCTGATGATGGGTGCACAACTCACAGCTCGGGCTTGCCCACCGAGATGGCCTGCGACTGCCTTTGCAATGGATGGCTTCTCTGCCACGCACAACACCCGCATCATGCCTTTGAGTTTTGTGTACTTCCATCTAAGAGAGGCAACATGGACAAGGCAAAGATGTTCACGGTCATGTGAAAGCGCGTCAGGCCGATGCAGAGCGCGTCGCAAAACTGCACGGGCGCTCTTGCAGGCCGCTAAGCCATTCTTGCTTGGGGACAGCAGCGACTCATGAGGTCATCCCCGCCTCCGGATTTCACACTTACTGCCTACCTGCATATCCATACACACACACACATCCCCTGTCTGCGTTCCACGAGCGAGACATTGAAGCTACCTGGCACAATGCCTGACCCGCGCACCTACCTCGACATGGCGATTCCAGTCGTCAGCACACTTCCCGAGTGTGTCGATTTCCACAAGACGGTCGAGCCGTACCTACCGCAACTCTATGACCTGCCGTACCAAGTCGTAGCACGCATCTCGGACGTCCAGGCGCTCAAGGAGCTCTATCTCAGCACCAACCCGCTCATATCTTCATTCGCCTTTGCCGTCCTGTTCCTCTCACCCACTGTCTTTATCCTTTCCGAAATCAACCGCAACTACTCGCAGGTCGACCGAATTTGGAGCTTACTACCTGCCGTGTACAACATACACTACGCGACATGGGCGCATCTGAACGGCCTGCCGGCAACAAAGCTAGACCATGTCATGGCCGTTTCCATCATCTGGAGCGCTCGCTTGACCTTCAATTACTGGCGCAAGGGCGGATACACGATTGGAAGTGAGGATTACAGGTGGAACATTGTAAAAGACTACATTGGCGGGCCAGCCATGTTCGTCATGAACATTGTTTTCATTTCGTTTTATCAGAATGTAGGCGCACATATATGCCCAATTGACACGCAATCCAAGGCCTTACTGACCACAAATAGTTTCTCCTCTGGATCATCACAGCACCCACGTACATTCTGCTCCTCGCAAATAGAGTCACTGGGAACACCGTCTCTTCGTACGACTCACTCTTCGGCCGATCCATGGTGGCTCTTGTTGTCCTGGAATTCTTCGCCGATCAAGCACAATGGAACTATTACGCTGCTAGAGACGAATACCGCAACACAGCCAAAGTCCCGGCTAACAAGAAGTACACGCGCGAACAGCTCGATCGAGGCTTCAACACCACCGGCCTTTTCGCCTGGTCCCGCCACCCCAACTTTGCCGCCGAACAAGCCTTTTGGGTCTTCTTGTACCAATGGTGCTGCCTAGAGACGGAGACGTATTACAATTGGGCTGCTATCGGTGCGGGCCTGTACTTGGCCTTGTTCCAGGGCAGCACCTGGCTTACTGAGCTGCTGAGTGCGGGCAAGTATCCGGAGTACAAGGTTTACCAGGAGCGTGTAAGCATGTTTCTGCCCAAATTTGGAACGAAGAGTATGGAGGAGCCGCAGACGGATGGGGAGAAGAAGAAGGTTAAGGATGCCAAGGCTGGGAAGGGGGCTATCAAGAAGAAATAGAGGGGAGGAATTATGTCATGGGTTGGTGACGAGGTGTTGTGGGGGATGTTGGCGCATTGCGAGTGGAGTTTTTCTTCTTCTTTTCCGTGGTCTTACCGAGTTGCGACGTGAACGCGCTGTGAAAGCATTGAAGTGTAGTCAAACCTGTCATGTGTAGCATTTCAGCATTTACATGCTTGAAGGAAAATTATAAAATTTTGATGCTCAGGTTCAAGATTGGCCTTGCTTTTGGTAAGATTATTCCATTCAATTACAATTGGGGATGAGTTGGTGACACGCGCTGATTCGGTATGGAGACACATGATGGGCGATGGTTTTGTGAAATCTTTGTGCAGTCCTTGGCGGCGGGAATCAATAACGGTATTGGTGAAAGTTGGGTCTGGTTTAAGTGGGAGAGTGCGGTCATGCATTAAAGACAGTAGGTGGAGATTTTGATGGGGCAAATGGTGGTGAAGCAGCTCCACCGCAAGGGTCCCCCATGAAGCTACTAATCCCTGCCAAAATTTCCAAAGCTTTAAAACCAAACGACATCATCACCACCATACTGAGATAACCACCAGGGAGTATCCGCGCACCGTCCAAATGCCAATTTCTGTCCTACCATTCAGCGCACTGCCGCCTCCACGGCGCGATGCACACGATGAATCTGACTCCGACATTGAAATGGGCGACGACGATCTCGCCATCTCGTCTTCCAAAGCCATCGTCACGCCTGGTGAACATATAACCTCCGATCCGCAGTGGATGCGTGGTCACGGCACATATATTCCCTCACAGCCAGCCGGTTCAACAACGATAATATCCACTGTTGCAGGCACCTTGCACAAAACAAACAAGCTGCTATCTGTGCAACCACTACGCGCCCGCTACCAGCCCGAGATTGGCGACCTGGTCGTGGGCCGAATTATGACGGTAGGAACCAAGAAATGGAACGTAGACATCGCCGCGCCCATGCTAGCCAACCTCCCACTCTCCAGTATCAACCTACCCGGTGGCGTGCTCCGCCGACGAACAACCGTCGACGAGCTCAACATCCGGACATTCTTCCAAGAAGGCGATCTACTCGTCGCAGAAGTCCAAAGCTTACACCAAGACGGCACAGCCTCACTCCACACGCGGTCCCTCAAATACGGCAAACTGCGCAACGGCGTCTTCACCAGCATCACGGGCGCCGGCGGCGGTATCCTCAGCCGAAAAGGCGGCGTAGTGCGCAGCCGCCGCCAGGTCTTCACCCTGAACACGGCAGCCGGCGAAATCAACATCATCCTCGGCGTCAACGGCTACGTCTTCGTCTGCAAGCACATGACCACCAGCGCCGACGCAAAGGAAGTCGGCATCAACAGCCTCGACGAGTCCGCAATCGAGACACTGTACTCGAGCCAAAACGACGACATCGAACCTGGTCTTGTCCGCGAAATCATCATGGTGAGCACCCTGATTCGCGGCATGGTCGCGTGCGGCACAAAGGTCGACGAGGACATGATTGTCAAAGTCTACGAGGCTGCCGTCGAGTTGGAGGCTGAGGAGAAGGCGTTGGGCACGGTGGAGAGGGGGCCTGGTGGCACGGCGCTGGTCGAGGCTGTATTGGCGAGGTTGGAGCTTGGGGCTGGAGAGTAAGTTTTTTTTTTTAAAAAAAAAACCCCCCCGATTCTTAGGAGAGCGATGCGCGGAAGCAAGTCGATCTGATGCGATGGAGAGGATAGTGCATAGCGGATGGGTGTAAATTCGTGTGTCCGACTCACGAGTCGAGCTGCCGGGGGGGAGACGACGTATTGCTTTTCACCCTTCTTCTTCTTCTTTCTTCTTCTACTTCTCGGCAACACAGTCAGCAAAACGAGGCACAGAAGAGGTGACCCCAGAGCCCCGGGAGGCTACAATAGAATTTTCTCAGAGAATCTTAGCAATCACATGATCCATTTCTACTACTACTACTACTACTACTACTACACATGGCGAGAAGCCCCTTTCCTCGGACCATAATGCTCGAGAGAAATTTCGCCACGTTTTGGGAGTTTGGATCTCTCTCTCTCTCTGTGTCGCCTTCTCAAAATCAGAAACGAAATAATTGGTTGAAGAACGCATTTTTAGTGCATTTATCACAGTGGGGGGAACCTTTTCAACGTTAGCGCTAAATCATGTTTTCTGATCTTTTTTTTTGTGTCCTTGATAGACTACTTCGACACAAACACAAGTATTTCGAATCTATATATTCATTGCACTTCATAAGTTCGTACTCCCCCCTCTCCTTGCCTCCACAGTCAAACTACACAACCAACAATCCCTCCCCCTCCAACACCCTAATCCTCTCCACATCCCCGCCAGCCTCCAACACGGCCTTCATCGCTGCCTGACTCAACTTCCTGCGTCGTTCCGCTGCCTCTCTCTCGCGTCTTGCCTTGGTTTTACTGCTTCCGCTCGGCGCCACGCCAGTCAGAATTTTCCTGCTATCTTCGGGTGTGAAATTGACGAAGCCCGTGTTTGTGGTGGTGCGGGAGGTTGGGTGTGGCGAAGAGGTTCTGGAGCGACGGGGTTGCGAGGAGTTTGGGCGAGTGCGTGGGCGGGGGTGGGGTTTGCGAGGTGGGGAGGTTAGGGAGGGGGTGCGGTGTGTGAGTGAGGTGAAGGAGGAGGAGGAGGAGGAGGAGGAGGGGCAGATGTGGGCGGGGAGGGCGGTGTAGTTGAAGGGGGTGGGTTCGCAGGTTATTCCTAGGCCCTGGAGTTCCGTGTTTTGGGTTGTGAAGTGTAGGGTATTTGTTGGGGAGTAGGTGGTGGTAGTAGATTCACTGTTCCACCAGCTAGCTGTGTTGCTGGTATCGATTAGGTCAGGTGGCGAGAAGTCAAAGTCCAGGTTGGGTGTTGTGTCGGGAATCCATGGCTTGCTGGCTAATGGAAGGGATGAAGGTGGGGCCAGTAAGGCTGATATGGCTGCACTGGACGTATCGCCAGGGCTAAAGCTAAGTTCTATATTTTCATTGTGGTGGGTTCTGTTCGGTTCTTCCACTGCTAGAGAGGCTGGAGTGGTTGATTGGTAATGCGAAAGATATTGTTCGTCATTTGTCGGCAACAGCGAATGACCAAGAGTGTGCACCTGACTGAATTTTTGGACAAGAAGACCGTCTTTGTTCTCATTCTCGGCAAACTCAGATACTGTAGCGATCGAAGCAGGCTCTTCAGATGCATTTCTCGAAACTGTGTATATCGGAGTTGTCTGGTTGTTCCATAGACCCGGGGTATGAGGACAAAAATAAGAGGTTTGCATCGTTGAAGGCCTTGTCGACAACCTCGTCGATGAATTCCTCGCGCTACGATCTTGCGTTTGGTTCTGAAAGGCTACAGCCTTCTCGAGTGACCTATGGGATGTGTGGGATCGCGGTGTGCAAGGCTGGGACATGGACCGCAACTGTTCTCCGACCGATCCAATAAACCCTTGATAGTTTAACGACTCTGAGTCGCTGTAAGACTCTGTGGCAGAAGGAGAAGCAATGTATGAGGGAGACGCAGAATGGCCGGACCATGGAGAGGCGAAGCTCTGGTCACACTCCTGGAGAGCCTTGTGCCAAGCAGTCTTTGTTTCCCGATTGAGTATAGATTCAGCCCCGAAGTCGCTCTCATTCGGCGAAGCGATCCCTAGGAGACACGCCAAATTGTCTGGGCTGGATTGAGCAGATGATGAGTTGTTGAGGGGGCGTACGAGATCTGTGTCGACATAGTCCTTGAACAAGTTGTCCAGATCCACACCCTCTGGCTCGCTGTTGCAAATTGACTGCGTTGACATGATGCTGTCGAAAGGGCAATACAATGCTGATCACAGAAGAAGGTTATCTGGGAAGCAATCGACGCGGTCGATGTATCCACGATTAAGCCGGGTATGTCGTGGAACTAACTGGGTGAAAATGTGGAGTGTAAGTCGGAAATCGCAACGTGATACTTGTAGTTTAATAACGAAGGCGGGAGTAGTCGTAGGCCTGTAAGGAATAAGATCTGTGACACGCTAATCATGCAAAGACTCAAACATGTCGAACAAACCCCACGAGAGATATATAATCCCACATGTCCAAACGTGGCAGTGGCTTTCAACGGCCATCTCTCACGCAATGCACATCCCGTCTATACTTAGTACGCTAGAACATATTGGGCTGACCTAGGGTGGGTCGGGTAAACGATGAACTAAGCCTCAGCCCTTTGGTTTCAGGTAGTCTGGATGCGCCTGCACTGCCCGCGTGTCAACAGTGGCATACTCGGAGGTGACGGGGATGTCTAGACACTCCATAGCAATGGTAGGCACATGGTGTATGTTTTCATACACACAATACCCAGTCACTCGTTTAGTCTTGGTTTTCTAGTCCGCGGGTATCTGTTATGCAACAATCAGCTTGTAGTTTACTTCTTTGACAACAAGCAACTTCTTTGTATCGAGGAATATCCAACTCGCATGTGAGGTCAAATGAAAAATGCGATAGCTGTTTCAAAGTATTGTAGTGTGGCTTTTGTGAAGCCGTTAATGAGGCCTGGTAATGAAGTCATCCACGATGTTGTCCATTGCAGGTGTTCAGTTACTACAAGAGATGGCCGTTTCATTCCGGTGCATGGCGATAAATGCAACATTGCCGCACGAGAATAATTCTCAAAAATTACGATATTTCTGAATAGCACTAGGCAGGCGAACTGCCTGTGTGGATAGATGCCAGGAATAGACCGGTAACCTGGAGCATGGCTTGACTAGGGCAGATCCCGGGAGGGTGGATCAAAGAAACTGCCTGCCTCTGCAGGGTCCTGCTACGCTATCAAATGTGCTCTAGCCGAAAACTGTCGCCGGCGGATGTCGGGTACAGCACAATAGATTACACATGTGAGCAAATTAGCTACCAGAGCGACGGTAATCATGGCAAACTCAATCAATAATCGGAAAGTCCGAGGCGCGGCTGCGTTGTGGGATGCGATTCTTTCTCGTCCTCAAGAAAGCGTCGGCACGGGTCGAAGAAATCAATCCACGGAAAGCTGTAAACTCAGATGGTTGATAAGAGGTCTTTCATTGTTTGTGGATAATGCCGAGCGATGATGGTCAATTGTTGTCGGGACAAAATGATGGGGAAGGGATGGTAGTGTGATGTTGCGTGTACCTGCGCACGGCCCAAGTTTGCGCGCCAGCCAAGCACCAACTCGTTGCTATTCATCCCATGTCAACAGCTCTACGTATCGAATCGTAATAGCGGTCACAATTGCGCTATTCGTGTTGTCGTTTATTGTCCTGCATTGTAGTGATTCTCTGGTCGAGTTTGCCGCACTACTATCATGGACCCTGACGCGCCCATCGCCAACGAGCCTCAGCCCTCCATCTTTCGCTGGATTCTGGGCTTCCTCATGGTTGGCGCATGCTGGGGACTTACGACACCCTTTATGCGTAAAGCTGCAATGTACGTTCGGTTTCTTCCGTGAAACCTTATGTCGTCTTATTCTACGGGCCGGCGGTCTATCGGACCTTGCTGACCTTGCTGACCTCACCATAGGAACTATACGCCGCCCCAACGCCCTGCCCTTACCGATCCGAACAATTCATGGCTCAAGAAGAAAGTGCTGGGTGTACTTTATGCTGTGATTGGAGTGCTAAGTCGACCGGCTTACGCGATACCATTGTTGCTCAATGTCACTGGAAGCGTGTGGTTCTTCATATTGATAGGCAAGGCGGAATTAAGTCTTACAGTGCCCATCACAAACTCACTCGCCTTTCTGTTCACAGTCTTAGGCGAGTGGTGGGCAGAGAAAAAGGTCATCAGTAGAGGTACGTTGCAACTTGGCTTGGGCGTGAGTTATGCACCTCAGAAGCTAACATACCACAGACACTTGGATAGGCATGGCATTCGTGCTCGGAGGCATCGGCTTGTGCGTACAAAGCAAGTCGTAATAGATAAATATATTGTAACATGTCTACCAATCCTTTCCAAGTCTATTGCTCGAATCGAATCCGTTCGTTCCATTTGCCGCTCCTGTCTTCTCCTGATATAGTCTCGAGAAACCCTGTGCAGGTGGTTGCAGCCAATTCCTCTCGTCATACTTTTGGTCGCCCTCAATGACGTGGAATGTATATATGTTCCTGCTCTTTTCGCTTGTGTTCTTCTCACTCTTGTGGAGAATATTGCCATGAATGAGGACTAGCGTTCCAGCCTTGACTTCACCCATGTCATACTTTTCCTCCTTCTCTACCATCTCATACCCCTTCTCACCTTGACTCTCGGGTGTTGTGCTGTTTGGGAACTTGGCTCCGTCATTGTCGATGAAGCCGGTTCCATTGCCCGTCCTCACAAACCTCTTTTCGATAGGAGCTCGCTTGTGGCTCCCAGCAGCAAAGCTTAGACAGCCGTTTTCTTTTGTGGCATCCTCGAGGGCATACCACCAACCCACAGCGCTAGGTGGGTCAGTGTACAAGAATGTGCTGTCCTGATGAGGTGGTACGGCACCCCCTATCTCGGGCTGCTTGCAAATAACCATGGACTGGAGAACCCGTGGGTCACGGAATCCCAATGACGAAGCAATTGCAGCATTGCGATCTGAAAGAGAGATGCTGCGAAATGAAGGGGAAAGCTCGTGCAGATAATGACCGATCTTGTTGATTGCACGATGTTTGGGCTTTGTAAGGTTGCCGGATTTGTCAAAAGCGTCTGCCATTGTATCAGCCCAATTTATCTCCTGTGAATGTAATGTCAATGGGGCGTAGGGAGCAGAACTTACCCTCTTCAAAGAAGAAGCGTACTTTGTCCCCGGATTCCAAAAAGTAGCTGTCCCCTACATGGTCTGCGCCGTCTTCACCACCAGTCGAGAACTTAGTCATAGGGTGGTCATCCAGAGAGAAGTCATTGAGCATTTTGCTGGTGTCATTTAGGAGCTCTTTGACCGTGTCTTGTGACAGCGCGTCTGGTATCAGGAGATATCCATTCTCATTGAAGAAAGCGAGCTGCTCTGGCGTGAGACCCTGTGCAGTTTGGACGGCCATGTTGATGTGGTACGAAGCCTTGGGGACAATTTGCGGTGCTATGAGTCTTGTTGAAGCAGGCAAGTTGGCAGACTTCTATCGTACCATCCGAGCCATGGCTAGCCGTCGGAGGTGGCCGTCGGGTCACCAGCTGCCAAAAACTGCCCCGCCATTGCCCCGCGTCGTCCGGTGCCGCTCTGCCTCGGGCCCTGCTCCGCCACCACGCAGCCATGTCCCTATTCAATCTCTCATATTGCCATGCTGTCCCTGCATTAACCCACATAAAGCGCCATTATGAAGACCGTATCTGCATCTGTGTCCCGATTCCCGGGAGATGGTTCCTTTGACATGCTGACGGCTGAAACGACACGTGGTGGCTCAGCAGGTTGCCGCACCCTGCGGCTCATCACGTCTTTTTTTTAGATTTCATTACTATGCATATCATGGGCCGCTCATCCCTCTCTTTAAGGATCATCAATCCTGCACATTTTTCTTTACTCTTCTACACCGCGTGGACGGATCGTTTGATGAAGCTATCGCCTGTTCGTATCCGCAAATGGAGCGAGATCCAGACCACGACTGAATGGCCGCTTCATGGTCATCGATATTCACACGCTGCCATGCAGTACGTATTATAGTTGTCGTCATCTAATCATATGCAACCTGGAAACCCTAAATTCAAAGCGAAATGCAACCATGACTGGTCTGTAAGAGAGCTATCTTCTGGATTTGCTCATGCTGCTCTTGTTATTGCCAAAAGCAGGAATTCATGGCTTGGGTGGTGTGTGGGCGGCACTCCAGGGATGGTGACCTCGAGACCATCAAAGAGTCTATGAGGCTACGAACCAACATTCGTTTCATATTCCTGATGCTATCTACAGCCTGAGTCTAGGACCTTTTTCTATTGTGAAGAAAACCATGCAGCAGTGCTCAGAACCTCAAAACTACCCGCAGGTATAGCTTTGTCCAAAATTTCCTTACCGCACAAAGCCTTTTGAAAAGGCCAAGTAACCCGTTGCGATCATAGCGTTTCGCACCACTATCTCGTAATGATGGTAACAAAAACACGGCTCTAAATCAGAGCAAAAGAATTCAGCCTTTGTCAGGCGCCAAATTGCCCATGTCATGTCACATGCGATAGTTGAGGTTTGGGGGCCAAAACCGACACGTCCTCGGTAAATCCTGCCATCGATCTTGCGATTTGCCGCGACTGCAGATTGTAACAATTGGCCTGTTCAATAGTATCCGGATATTTCCAAGTGGGGTTGCCAATGGGCACCGATTGAGCGTTCAAGATTGCAACAAGGCCATGGAAAGTCTCAATGTAATACGCCTCTCTTTATGAGGCATGTATCGGCCTGATATTCATCTTATCAAACTCGCAGTTCTTTTACTTGGCAGTATATCACGAAACTGAATCGTTAGTTTTAGCATCGATCCATCTATACGAGAGGTAACGCATTTGGGTTATCTGGCCCGAGCACGTGCCGGCCAGATTGACAGCCATGGCTAATGTCTTTGCGAACCTACCCGCTTTGCACTCTACTGGAAGTAAAAGCCGGGCGCTGCAGGCCGCGTTCAGGGCAAGTTAGCAGACATCTGCGCTGAGTCAACAGCTTGCATTAAGTCGAAGCGAACTTGTGGAGCCCAATGCATTATAAATGGCTGGACTAGATGCATGATTCGGCCTGTCGTGTAACGAATTACATGAGGACTACAGCCATACTGGAGACCAAAAAGATCTTGGCAAGGTAAGGGCTCCATCCAGTTGGTGGTTCTCGCAAGGACCAAAACTGTAACTTGGGTGTCTGACGCGTCTTCTCCATGACTTAAATTCGCAAAGACCCACACATCTGCACTCACCCTTGCCGGTTGTTTGCCAGCTTGTTAAATCTCTTGCCTATCACTCACCTACAATTCTTACAAAGATTTGGTTCAGTAGCTATCGTGTTCAAACATGACTGGTTTAGAATCCTGACAAATGCCTAATTCAATTCAGGAACGAGAGCAATTCTGCGGCTCCTAGCACCCCTCCCGACTCCATGACCCAACACAAGCTCTGCGACGTTGCTTTGATATCCATTGAGGCGCTCATGAAGTTCTCAACTTTTGATGAGAGTAATCATCCGGTTCTTTGGTATAGTCACAATTAAAACGGTAAAAATGTAAGCGCGCACATGCAACTTGGGTTCGGCTTCACGTATCAGGCGTCCAACAGAGCTGCATGACCACATTCTAACCGACGATCAACAGGCCCCAGAAAATATCTTCCGCGTTCCCATAACCTGGATCAAGGGAGCTTTCTTCCAAGGCAATGTGCTAGCAGGACACTTACATGATGCATTGATCATAGGAAGGTACCGGATGTTGTGGAATCTGGACATTCCTGCCATACTACCAGGATTACTTATAACAGTCACCACAAATTGCTCTATGTACATGCATGCATATGCAGCCTTTCCGTCTCGGAGACATGTGGAGCCGTACCCAGCTAGGCAAAACGCTACTTAACGCAGTCGCCTCAAATAGCACCCAGCACACGCAGTATATAACCTTGTTGAGTGAATACCTGATCAATGCCATTTTGCTTATCCCGCATCCTTTGATTTTAGGGTCTTTAAGATCTGGTCTTCTAACTGCACATGCTTTATTTTGGCACCGTCAACACACTCCTCTGGCATAAACCCTATGGAACATCTAGCTGATACTATTCTACACATAAACAGATGACGTGTTTCTTAGAGTTACAAATAATAAACTACGCCAACCTTGGGGTTTTCTCAACAAAGTACATATCGGCGACGGTAGAGACATTTATAGGAACAAAGACCCACTAAGCAGCTGATCACACAAAACACAAACATCAGCGCAAAGCGCATTTCGCAATGAAGCTCTCGACTACTCAAAGAGACTCTCAGTCAGCCTCTCCCGACAAAAAAAGCTTCGAGCCAATCGCAGTCGTCGGCTTTGGCTTCAAATTCCCCCAAGATGTAACAAACGCCGAAACCTTATGGAAACTTCTCATCGAGCGCCGCTCGACCATGACCGAGATTCCGAAGAATCGGTGGAATATCGACGGCTTCTACAAAGAAAACGGTCACAGACCCGGCACTGTGAAGAACCGCGGCGGCCATTTCCTATCCGACGATCCAGCACGTTTCGATGCACCGTTCTTTTCCATCCAGCCGGCTGAGGCAGAATGCATGGATCCACAGCAGCGCTTGCTGCTCGAAACGAGTTATCATGCTCTCGAAAATGGTACGTAAGTCACTCTGAATCACTGAAAATCCAGACTAACATTGAATTCCTTTAGCTGGCATTACTATGCAAGATGCTGTAGGCACTCGAACGTCCGTTCACGTGGGCTGCTTACTACAAGAGTACAGTCAGATCTCTCAGAGAGATGCTCAGATGCCTGGCGACTATCGTATTGTTGGCTCAAGCGGTTTGGCCATGTTATCAAACCGTTTGAGTTGGTTTTACGATTTCAGTGGACCCAGTATGACGGTGGATACGGCTTGCTCAGGTGGTCTCGTTGCTCTTCATCTCGCATGTCAGGAGTTACTTGCGGGAAGTGTTAATATGGTAAGTTCAATCTCATAGCTTTCTCAAACAAAGAAGCCGAGAGAAACACTAGTAGCGTCTCAGAAGTGGTAGCAATATTCGGATTAATATGAGGGTTTCGGCCTCCTGATATTACCTGGGATGGGTTTTGATCCTAGTATTAGGCTACTGACGATACTAGTCTCTTGTGTGCGGCACCAATTTGTGTCTGCTACCAGACTCGACAGCCCTGTTGAGCAGTCTGAATATGATGTCCAAAGACAGCGTATGCTACTCTTTCGACGAGAGGGCTTCTGGCTATGCGCGAGGAGAGGGTTTTGGAGTCCTTGTTCTGAAGCGACTTTCAGAAGCTATTGCCGACGGAAACAACATCCGCGGTGTAATTCGGTCGACTGGTTGTGGCCAAGATGGCAACACTCCGAGTATCACATCGCCTAGCCAATCCGCACAGGAGCGCCTCATTCGCGAGACGTATGCACGAGCCGGCCTCAGTCTCGACGAAACTCGCTACTTCGAAGCCCATGGCACTGGCACAAAGGCTGGAGACCCCTGTGAAGCTGCTGCTATCAACAGTGTGTTTTCCGCTCGGACACCTGAAGATCCCATTTTTGTTGGCGCACTCAA